CACGGATAAACTGAAGGACCGGATGTGTCATAATCACCTCCTTACAACATAGCAATCGTTGCCATCGTTACTTCACCTCACATACTGCTGCAGAACCCCCATGCGTAGCTCATTTAGCTTTCTCTATGTATTTGTTATCAAAACACACCTCCCCTGGCTAATAGTACCTCCACCTTCTTGTGCGCCCTCTGAGTGTAAACTTCAATTCACTTCTTGCACGATTAACCATCATCTCCTCGTTAGTGCATACTGATGAGTTGACAGCGAATTTGGCATTATCATAGTAGTCACTAGATCAACTTAGTACTTTGGTGCTTTTGTGTACCCATCGCTATACCTCTATTAGAGGAATCTCCTATTCTATCTTCTTCCCTGTGTATTTCGTTTGTCTACTTTTTACACTGTAAAGCGTCAATCGGTAGCATTGGTGCATATTATATCTGTTGTTTCGGCCCCAATTCTACCACTGACACAATAAAACAGATGGTTATTTTGAGACAATTTAAGTCTACACACATCAGTACTTTAAGCGTAAGTGAGAGGCGTACGCATAGATTCGTATCCATACACTCTGTTTTTCCGCCTTACAATACAAATGTGTATGAAAATGTGAATACATACTTTATTACATTGATTTGGTGTTGTCCCACTCGAACAGTCGTATGTGGTGTTGGCTTCCTAACTTTCTGTTTTTATATTTGTTCGTTACTTTTGTTGTCACCACTGTACAAACTGCTGCTACCTGTGTCAGTAAACTCGGTAATTTCAGCTCCGTGCTGCCACCACAGAAGAGCTGGACTCGGATGACATTTAGACCCTCTTTGAGGTTGAAATTAAACGGGGAGCCACTGTACATATACCGTTAAGTCCTAAAAACCACATAACAAAGAGGCACTGGGAATAGCGTGCATGCATTTTCGTAGACCCTTCGCTGCTTGTTTTTCATTAAAAGAAAATATAGGACGCAACCACACATTATCACACTTCCTAACACATCAAAATGAGAAACTCGGTTAAACACCAATAGCATACACAGATAATTATACACTACGGCAATCGGCCAGAATATTCACTATGATTATGTAAAGCCTGGAAATAAATCTTTCCGGCGATTCAGCTTATGTAATTCGGGCAATGGGCCTATCAACAGGTACACCAGGTAGCGCCAGCATTAAAGAGGGGTCGCGATATATATAGCGACTTCTACGCAAGTTCTGACAAGACATTGATCAGTCATCATAGTATGGTGGTAGTAGAGATGGGCAACCGATCCAGGACAAGAGGGACCGATAGCTTAAATACATACTCTGTTCTTAATTGTACCGCAAGGAAGCGACCAATTTCGCAAGGTCATTCAAGTCTTATCGAAAAAACGAAAAAACTACAATTGCACTATTATCGCAGAAGAAGAACCTCAAAAACAGTGGCCATTATGGTATTCTTGCGGTTTTATTATGTATAAGACTGATGCGAATCATATAATAAAATGAAACGATTTATGACCGGCAAGTAACCCTACAACGACGGATGACTGTATTCCTTGGACTCCGAGAATCTGGTATGGCTTGTGGATCTCTGCATGGAGTTACAAAACACCATATGATGAGCGACTGATAGGGTTATATTATTCATATACTGTAAGTGAGCTCCTAATGACAACGTGTGGGTGCGGGTTCCGACAGCTACAGTACCACTCATGAAGCACTGCTGGTTATTCCAGCGTTCCCAGCAGACCACAGGCTTACTGTAATATGAAGACAGCTATCTCTTTTCTTTTCTTTGCCCTCCTACGGGTCATGTGTTATTCTCTCTAAGACTATTGGTGGTGATGTTTATGCTAGAACAAAAAAGTGACTCAAACTATATTTAGGTGATGCAAACAAAATACCAGTATTTGACCAGCTTCTTGGCTATGAAAAGAACAGGCGCTGAGCCAAACAGAGAAGTGGTAAAAGAGTAATTAAGCCAACAACTGATCAAAATATACATGTTCGTTTGCTGTTTGTTTGTATAAGGATAATGCATGCAAAGTAAAGTCGGAAGAGGTCCATTGCAAAGGCGAGCAAAGTATGATATGTTATTGAGAGGTATAAGTGTGCATGTTTATCGTATCATAGCTTTTTTTCTCTGTGTTTTGTGTTGCCATATTGTCGTATCTTAATGTGTCACGTAGAAAAGAGATAGGAACAGAGGAGAAAAGCAATTAAGAATATTGATCGAAATTGTCGAGAATCAACAAAAAGTGTCTGACAAGAAAGAAAGGATGGCTTCGCAATCAGACAAAGACCTTTCTTATTGTTGAAGTGTCACAGGCATGATGATACACCTGTATTTGGTATAGTACTGTATTAAGAAGACAGACCCTTGCTAACGTGATGGAGTCAAGTTGTAGAGATTGACCCTTTATTTCTATATGATGCTTTATTAATCGACCCTTATTATTGATTGTTTTCTAGTAACAGCAGTCTACAGTACATGATTGGAACAGATTCACTAAGGGCGCACTGTGATGTTGGGATGCTTATACTATGATTATATTGCACAGAACGATGAACTTGGAAACGCGCACTGCCTCATTCTCGTATACAATATCACGGAGTGATGAAATGGACAATTAGAAACGATGGAAGGTGCCTTGTTATCAGGCTGCTAATAGCGACTGTCTCAAGAGAGAGTGTTGTTGGGATTGAGTCATGACTGCCGGTGGCAGTACATCTCGGTATGGCAATCTATGCACCCTTTGATAAACCCTTCAAGGGAAATGATGGTGTTTTTTTTACGTTGCACGTTGTGCGTTTTACCCATACAGACTGTTTTAGGATCGGTGGCCTTATAATCGTCGTCGCGGATGATGCTATCGAAAGGACCCTGATGGAGATTAATAATCTTCTGACGAGGGCCCTTAACTTTTCCTGATGGGATAAAGCTTATGTGCGTACAACAGACAATAACCGTAAGAAAGAAAAAACCGAAACGAAAACGAGAACCCTTTTTTTCCCATGAAGGCTTTGAAGTTTTCCAAGAATTAGCTATTTTAGAAATGGCCAACATGGACAGCAAAAAAAACACACACGTCGTGATCCTCATCATCATCAAAGGGCGTTCTCCCTTTTTTCCCACATCACAAGTGCACCTTACTCAATCACTTTCTTACTCTTCAAAACGTCTATAGCAAGCGGTAAAAAAGCTACTACAATTACTGTAAGCTTATCAGCGAATAACAGATCAAAGATCCGAAGATAAACTTTGCCACTATTGTAGTCTCAATCGTCTCTGATCCCTGGGTGGGATTTGTTTATATATACCGCCTGGCTGTGGATTCTCACGTGCGGGTGTTACACAGGTATACCGCTTATATAAGTGCTTCCGAGTTTGCAGTCGCACAGCATCAAGGTAGTTGACCTTAAACGGACGATACCTGAAACCCTTACTTTTTTCCCTTGACTCACCTTGTGCACCGTTCGCAAGACAAGGGGCAGGGAGACAGAGAATGAGCCCATGAGATAACAGAAAAAAGGGTACATATCTTCTTCAACAAGGTGGAAAAGAAGCGATTGTCGAAAGCAAAAAGCTACCTCAGCTGATCCTGTCATACGTTCTTTTGGAGGAGGTTTGGTAAAAGGCTCGCGGACTCAAGAGATTGGTTGTATTACCAGGGTCAAACCAATTGCCGCCCATGTGTCACCCCACTTGATACGAAATTCCCATACACCCTATCATGGCATGACCCTGACCACTCAATACAGGCAATCAAGCAGGTCCCTTATCGAAACATGATAATCCCTCACATTCCATTATGTAATCCCGACTGAGTCTGGCCCTGCTCTTGCCCTTCTCTATCACACAGCGCCTGCGCTATGGGACAAGAGGGTGCGCGGGGGTAGAGAGGCATACAGCAGATACAGATAGCCAATATGTGGGACTAACAATGACAGCAGCTTACCAGTTTGCCACAATGGCTAGAGCGGAATTTTCATGAGTGTGGACATAATTGCGGGGAAAACGAGCGGATCAGCTGCAGTGGGTGATGAAGCAAGACCGCGACTGGTCCTTTTTCTATTTTTCCTCCTCTCGGTCTCACTGGTTTGCTACGCGTACGAGCAACTTGATTTGGCGAGCAGACACGGCTGGTGCAATGTTATACGAGAGGCAACCCTTTGTATTACCCACTCACTCACTCACTCACTCACTCACTTACTCACTCACACGAGAACTCCCACCCTGCTTAGATAACACGCCCATTGGTCGCTTTCAAAAGGGTGCTGCTGCTACGGTCACTCTTCTCTCGTTTGCAGTCCCGTTAGGACGGCGTTGATGCACAATCTCTCGCGCTGACGAAACACATGACGGATAAAGAAGACGGAGAAGGTAGTTGAAGGGTCCAAAAAGGGTCCTGTCGTTGTCGCACGGGTGGGGGATCGAAAGGCTATATAAATGGGGCCCACAAGGTAGGAGGCTTGAGGCTCATTTCCTTGCTTAAACCTATTATTTAAATCGCCCCACGCTTCCTTTTTCTTTTTTCTTTTCACTCTCTTTTCCTTTTGACTTAACCTGAGAAATGGGTCGACTCTACACTATATACTCTTCGCCGCTCACACAAGTGTGTCTTCTTGGCTTTGTATGCTTGTGCTGCCCTGGCATGTTTGTAAGATCATCGACAGTCCTTTCCTTAACTAAGATCACCGACTGCTACAGTCTATGCTTAGTCTAATCCTCTCTTCTTCTTTCTACAGAACGCTCTGAGTGGTCTTGGTGCTGGTGGTCTGATGGCATCCGACATCACTCTCACAAACACTGCCAACAGTGTCTTGTACGCGCTGTTTGCTGTTGTTGGCTTTGTCGCCGGCTCCGTCACAAACAAACTCGGTGTTCGGTACACACTTACGGTATGTTGTGTCGTGTGTGATATGTGATGCGCGTGCACAGAAATTCTTACACCGCCTCCTCTTTTTCTATTCTCTCTTCTATGCACGATAGATCGGTAGTGTCGGCTATGCCGTCTACGCATCGTCCTTGTGGGTCTATGATACCAGACAGGTGTCTGGCTATGTTATTGCTGCAGGTGCCATTCTCGGTTGCTGTGCCGGTTTGCTGTGGTCAGCACAAGGCGCCGTGATGATGTCGTACCCTGAGGAAAAGAATAAGGGCAAGTACGTCGCCACCTTCTGGGCTCTCTTCAATGTTGGTGGTATCCTTGGATCCGTCATCACCCTCGGCATGAACCTCGAGAACCGAGGTGGCTCGGTCGCCACTGGCACCTACACCGCCTTTGTTGTCATAATGGTTCTGGGCATCTTTTTGACTTTAACCATGCTGCCTCCCTCCAAGGTGATCCGTGCAGACGGCACGCACGTCACTGTTGCCAAGGCTACTCACTGGTCGGATGAGCTCAAGGGTGCTCTCAATGTCTGGAAGGAGTGGAGAATGATTGCATTGGTAAGCAGTGAAGCGTTGTGGAAATACATAAAAGGATGGAAGAGGGTTCAAAATTTAAAATCACAACACAATCTGGTTTCGCGTGGTGTAACTCTAATTTCTTTTTACCTTTTCTTCCCATTTCTAGATTCCCGCTTTCCTTGCCTCCAATTGGTTCTACGCCTACCAGTTCCATGTCAATGCTGTCTACTTTGATGCTGTCACCCGTGCTCTGAACAGCACCATGTACTGGACTTTCCAGATCATCGGCTCGCTTCTGGTCGGTCTGTTGCTCGATTACCAAGGCTTTTCTCGTCGTGCACGTGGCCTCATCTGCGGCGGTGCATTGTTCCTCATCATGATGGGTGTCTGGGCTGGTGGTTTTGCTTTCCAATTGACCTTTGAAAATGACTATGATGAGCCTCATCACTGGACTTCGCCTGGCTTTGGTGGTCCATTTGTGTTGTATCTCATCTATGGTATGACCGATGCCATGTATCAGTCCTACATGTACTGGCTCATGGGTGCCATGTCCAACGACCCCTCGCTTCTCGCTCGCTATGCTGGTTTTTACAAGGCTGTGCAATCGGCTGGTGCTGCCTGCGCGTTTGGTATCGATACTGGCAGTGTCCGTCTTCGATGGGCATGTCTTATCAGCTGGTTGTTGCTCTTCGTTTCATTCCCTCTCATCATGGTCGTTGCAAACCAGATCAAGCCTACCAATATCACCGAGGACGATTTGGCCATCGCAGAACAGCCTTTCGATGAGTCCGAGAAGGAGCATCCATCAGAAAAAGTTTAATCCAAGACTTTTACGTAGCCCCTTTGTTGGCAATTTGTACCTCCCAATAACCTTTATTACTTTTCAGCAGCATTTTGAACCTTTGAAGGTTACTCTTTCATTGGTACTTTTTGTCGTATATTATAATATGTAAACTCAGATTCATTAATATAAGCTCTCTATGATTACACAATTTAGTTCGTTGGTTCTTTTCTCATCTCTAATAAAGAACGTCTCTTGTTTCACTTAAACCCTTCAAAACCATCCGCAGCCACTCGGATTAACTAATTTTATCAAACGAGGTCTGATTCTATCTCCCATTACAGTCCGTATCCCTTCTTTAAAATCATTCAGATCTTCTTCCCAATCCACCGTTAATGATTGTGTAACTCTTATGTTCTTTGAATAAGCCCAATAAAGTCTTTGTCATGAGATAACTTTCTTGTGCAACTAAACAATGTTTAACATGTCATGTGTAAACTGTTATGCATTTCCCATCTTTATCATAGCCAGCCAAATGTACACATTGATTGTAGGGCGTCCACGCCAAGTCGTTTGCATGAAGACAAATAGGGAGATTGCGAATGATGCTTGCTACATGTAATACCAGCCTTTCCCGTCAGGTATTGTTATATACTATATCAATCTGGTTCTTGACAGTACAGTAGCTACAACTACTACTAGCTCTCCCGTAGGCTATAAGCACCTGTCGAAATAGCAACTGTATGTCTCTATAAATAAATGCTTATCGCCAGCGAATGATCTTATGCTACTTTTGGAACATGTGCTGGCCAAGTTCTGTTTTGTAGTGGTACTTGGTGTTTACGATGCAATATTTTTGTGTTTTCGTAGTTGTCAGTGACCTGGATAAGCTGTTCAGCAGCTATCTCCAAAAGAGATAATGACATCTCTAGTTATGACAACCATGCAAGAGGTATTGAATGGGGCATAGTTGAAAATAACAAGGCTACAGTTTTAGGTCAATACCCTCGTGATAGTTCAAATACAAAAATTCATGATTGAATGACTTAATATACTCTCCAAAGAGTCTCTAGTATATTTTTATTGAGCAGTTGTATAACAAGCTTTGTAGCAGTGTCACTCGTACTTATTGAATGGGGATGTACATAAATTAATATGATGACAAGAGGAACCTCTTGGTATTAATCGTTTGTGGCAATGTTGTCTGTTTAATGTCTCCGACTTCAAGTAGTAGCATAGCGGTTTACAAGTTCTAGTAGCTTATCACAGCTCGGCAAGCTAGCAAAAGGCTTATATAGGCAACAAAAAGTGATAATGAGTGGGGGAAAAAGACAATTCTACAGGATGTGCATCAGCACTACTGCTATTTCTTAGATGATCCGTTTCCTAATACTAAACAAGAGGAGGTGGACTAAAAAAGGCTGTCTGTTTGATCAGTTTTTGTACCTGTTGCTACAACTTTTGGATCACATCAATTGCAGTGTCATTATTCTACAAGTCACTTGTTGTCAATAGTACATCCCGATAAAAAAAACCACCTGTCTAAGCTCATGTTGGCCTTCTGTCACTTATATAAGCTTTTTTGCTACGTTTCTGAGCTGTGATAAGCTATGAAGACCTGCAAAATGCTAATAAAAGTGATCAATATGTGTACAAAAAAAAGGGTAGGAGGTTAGTTACAGGATGTATGCCATTTTTTGAAATACAGTTGACCCCCTTTAATGTCAACCCTCAAGTACACCTGAAAGTGTTGACGCTAACGGGGGTTGACGTTAAAGGGGGTGGCACAAAGTTTAACCGTATAATAAAAATATTAAACCAGCGCACCCCGACACAATGTATGTATGCAACAGAGTCGTTCCTAACAATGTATTTTCAACCAATAACGAAATAACCTCTTTTGATTGGATATGTTTGACCTCAATAAGAAGTCAACCCTGGCCAAGGTGTTGACATTGACCTTATGTAAAAGTTGAAATTTATCTCTGCTAAAATATGAGGTTCTCAGAAAAAGGTTGACTATATCGGGGGTTGACATTAAAGGGGTTGACATTAAAGGGGGTCCACTGTAAATAGTTGTTTTGAGTAAAGCGCTGTTGTTTCATCCCTACGTGATAAGACATATCAAAGGGTTTGTATTGGGGCTCGAGCAAGTAAGGGTGAGACAGCGAAGGGGGAGGTCATGTCACAGTTATATACTACTTACTCCTCAGGATCCTTGTATAAGGTGCTGACAGGAACAACACAAACAAGACCGAAGAGATACGAAACCAAGACAAGGCATTGACAGAAATCCCGGACAAGAGTGTCTTTGGTGCTTCCAGCAGGAACACGACAGGACGCTGCTATGGAGCAAAACGCTATGGCTGCACAACATTTGATCGGCCTTCAGAAAGAGACGAACGAGATGAATGTGATGACTGCCAATCCCGCCAATATGACATAACTAGGAGAACGATGGTTTGCGAAGAAACAAGCGATGATTATTGACCAAGACGAGACAGAGGAGTTAGAGCAATAGGAAGGAGAACAAAAAAAAGGATGTACGCTATCCGGTATCATTTAAAAGAACATAGATAAATGGTAAATCGACTGTTATGCGCAATTGCCTATGGGTCTCTTCCTCACGGACCTCTTATAGGCGGGATAAATACACATAATTAATGCTAGAATCGCCATGCGAGAAAGATGACGAAACGGAAATACCCTTCAAGAGTATCATAATCAAATCCAATTGCTATATGGCTTGGATTACTTACTCGCTCATCCTCAACAATCATATTATGGAAAGCGCTGCTACATTCCAGACACGCGCAGGCTGGCGAACGATACCCACGTGGTAGAATGGCACCGAAAGAACGTTCAATGTCCTTGCGGACCGATTTATTGTCTCTGAGAAAAGTACCACATAGTGTTGCCGTTTCAAGTCGTATGCTTCAGCAAGTCTGACCCGTTGGTTCCACAATTATTACTTTTACTCTTTTTCTTCCTTGAGAAGAGCCGGAATAGACTTCACCAAAGTTCTGACGACCACGCAGGGTACATACCCGTCAGCCAAATAGTGTCATAATCATTGCCATTGATGGTGTATCTGACGGATGGCGCTCGACCGTGGATCGCGTCATCTCAAAGACAGGAGAATTAGGCAAGACGTTGATGTCATTACAGGAGCCAGGAAAGAACGAATGTCATATCCACACAATGTGAGAGGCAACAGCTTTGAGAATAACAGTAGCCTTGCCCTTTCGTTTCCCAGCGTACGTGTCCCTCCCAACCTTTTGGGCAATTCTTACACTTCCAATCCATACAATCGATAACATACCCGGGAAATCCTTGTCTCTCCCCCCTCCCCCAACAGCAAGCTCTTTCAAATCGTTCTCGTTTGTTGGCGCGCGGAAGATACTTGACAGCAAAGCACTCGATGAGACCTTGACAACGAGTTTCCTAGCTGTTGGTGCGCTCATCTTGAGAGATATTCCTCCACAGTATCAGCTGGTTTTGCCGTAAGCCAACATGCTGCAGTTCCTTTCGCATTATGGATGAAAATAAAAGTTCACCAGCAGCGTCAGTTCGTTGCTAAAAATATGCGTACTTGCTTTCTAGCTCGCGATCGATGGACACTAATAGCTGTTGAATCACGCAACAGCGTCTTCAATATAACACTGCATCATAGCGAGAATTGGATACGAGGTAACGTCTATCAAGCACCTTTCGAAAAGGGGACGGTTTGCGATCGATGACCTTGCGCTTCTTCTTTTAAATTGGAGGCGTTTTTTTCCAGTCTTTTACGTGCTGTTTCACGATCTTGTTCGTTTCGGATAAGCTCTTCTGCAATCACGCCGCTCTGAAGGATGAGGCTGTTGACAACGAGATGTGTAATTGCTTGGTTGTTCATTTATGAAGGAATAGAGGTCCATTATTTCAACAGCCGTACCATGTTATTCACGTGAGTTTAAAAAAGTCATTTTTTAAAGTCACCGCTGCAGATGCTCTTATGCTCTCCCCGCCTTCACTTGGAATTACATACTTTCTCGCCCGGCATCACTTTGGCTCAAGAAAGACACTCACTGTATATCTAGGTACTCGTATATGTAACAATACGCTGATAACTATCATATATTTAGGCACATAACCAGCTTAATAGCTCGTCCGCTCGTTCTTTTCCTCATCGAATGATCCATTATAACGTACGTCTCTGCTATTAACAATATCAAGTAGTGATACTGGCTGTTGTAATCTACAGCTAAAAGGATGCTTGAGTGATAGTGACGCGTCTCCTGAAAGTAAATGTTATATGTAGGGACTCCAATCAGGAGAGTTCTGCATAAACATAAAAGAGAAGCAGACTGCTTATAATGTTTTCTGTGACCAAGTGTGGGATACATGACAAGTAGAAAACAGGAAACTGTAACGTAGTAATAATAACAGAGTAGTTTCTATACTGATGCATTGTAAGTATTCTCTTTGAATGCAAGAAAATCTCTTCTTTTGTGTTTAGAGAAGTCCCCACAGGAGAGTTTGTCCTCATCGTCCCCTTAGGATCGCCACTCGATATATTTTTTCATCGATAACTGTTAGAAATGTGTCGTGTTCGAGAGCTCGAATTTTTTTTGTGTAGCAGCATTTTCAGTGTGAATGTGTGTGTGCCTTGATACGACATGTAATTATTTTCTTCTTTCCACTCCTTCTTTTTTCTCTTTTCTTTTTCTTCTTTGTCGTGCATCTCGCCACACACTGTATATACGCAACACACAATGAGATTCCGTAAACGATTACTTTTTCTTGTCGTACTCGCCATTGCATCCTTTGTCGTATACAAAGTATACCGAGATCCGGTGATGGAATGTAAGCTTTTACCGTTTTTGTTATTTTTATAAAAGTAGTAAAAATAAAATAAAACTGATGGGGTTGCCTATTCAAAACGACCATTATGCCCAAAAAAACAGTTGTGCAGAAGGTTGCCATTGAGCTACGTGCTCAACCGGTACTGGGGTCTATGGCATTAAGCATAATGGTGATGGCGACCTCGGTGCCTCCGTTGCTTGGTTTCACTTTTGCGTCGTCGTTATGCGGGTTTGTCTACGGCTTTCCGGGCGGTATTGCACCTGCAGTCGTCGGTGAGTAAAAAAAAATGTAACCTTTTGCGAATGACACTCAAACGTTTTTGATAAACTTGTGTAGGTGCGTTTCTCGGATCCATGGTGTGCTTTGGGTAAGGGCAGTTTGTGAAATAGTGGGAGGGGGTGGAAAGACGAGAAAAGCTGAAACTCATGTGTCCCTCGCTACAATGCTCCTTTGGAAATACAGCTTAATCCGTCACTTTAACTTTGCGCGTTTCATCCGCCTTTCACCCGACAAACAATTGAAATACCAGGCAATCCAAGAAGCGATCCAAGAAAGTGGATTTGGTGTAAGGCATATTGACATGAAAGCACCCACGACGGACGCATGCTTACACACACACTCATACCCTTGTACCTTTGATGATTGCAGATGATCGTCTTGATCCGTATCACGCCCATTCCTTGGGAAGTGACCAACACGGTGCTGTCGATGCTTCCCAGTATCAGCACCAAAAAGTACGCCCTGTCGGCCTTCCTTGCGTCATGGAAAGTGGCATTGGAAGTCTGGTTTGGATCGCAGCTTGCGAGTCTGTCCGATCCCGATTTGCCTCCGTCAGCGCACCGCGTGACATTGATTACCTTGGGCGTCGGCTTTCTGATTATTTTGGCCTTGGCAGTCTATCTTCACCGCGTGACGATGCGCAAGATTCGAGACATGCAAGAAAACGAGCAGCTCAACAAGGATAACGCCCCACCACAAGTAATGGTTGTTCCTAGCGCCGATGAAGAAGAGACTCGGTGGTTGTTGCAGTGACGATCATCAGCCTTCTCTTTCTTTCGCTTTCTTTTGCAATGTTCGTGGATACCATACAAGTTATTTATTTCTGCCTTTTTTTCTTTTACTTGTTTTTTTCTGCTTTCTTTCTTTACTTTTGCGTTTTCTATATAGTTCTGAAAGTTTTGTTTCTTTCTCTCTCTCCTACCGTCGTTTCCTTGCTCCCTCTTACTGTATATCGAACGTGGCTACTAGGGCTCAGGAAGGACAATGTTCGGGAACGTTTGACCGCATCGTTTGCATACGCACTTTTTTTTTTTTGATATATAAAATTTGAGTATTATGTATTATATAAAAAAAAAAGAGTAGAGAACATGTTTCCATTACCTCACGCTTTCCTCGCCAGCCACACAAGTAGGGCAAAATAAGGATGGCAAACAAAAGTGTCGTGTTGGTATAATGCATCCGTAATTCATGGTAGCCACCCTGTGGACACACGGGGCCCAAGGATTGTTCGATCTGATAACGTTGTTGCATAAAGGCGGGTCGGATAGGCTGGCCATAGGCATCATAGCCTTCTACGCCACGTTGGACAGCTGGTGTAGCGCCTACTACACCTGGATAATCACTCGATGACATTGGCTGCTGCTGCTGCTGCTGCTGCTGCTGTTGATAGTGTCCTGCTGCAGGCGGCGGCCCAGCAAAACCTTGAGTGTTTCCATAAGCGTATGCTGGCGGCGCAATGTTTTTCTCCATGGCGTTTGTTGTTGTTGTTGTTTGTATGTAAAATGAGGGAAAAAAAAGAAAGCAAGAAAGAAAGAAAGAAAGAGAGAGAGCTACCGCGGTAATTTTACAGCTTGGCCGGCGAAATCATGCAATGTATGTACATTGGCGGACGGAGTGACTTTTGGGGGTGGGGGGTGTGTGTGTGTGTGGATAAATAGGCAGGGAAGATCTTTGGGGTGTTGCGTTCTGCCCCTGTCAATATGCGAATCTGAAACGTCGTCTGTTCTCATTTGCGTATTAGGGAGGGATGATTTATAAATGTTATTGAGAAATTTCATATATACCAGCTACTATGCATTGTGTACTGTCTGAATAAGATATAATTGGCATTGTGCAAAACATGGGACGAGATTGTTGATCCAGAAGTACAATTGATGCGAGTGTCAGTGACCGGGGGGGGGCGGGGAGTGCAGGATGGAACAGTAAGTATAGAAGAGAAGAAGCAATTAGGTGAAGTTATTTAATATGTATGATAAATTTGGAAGAGAAGGAAAACATAGAGTACGACGAACGAAACGGGGCGGGGGGAGGAAAGAACATATAGTATATGCGACGAACATTTTTTTGTAGTAATAAGTGTGTATGATATATGCGCGTGTAGTAGTAGTAGTAAGGTGTGAGTGAGTGAGTAAGTGAGTGAGTGAGTGAGTTAGTTAGTTAGCTAGTTAGATAGTTAATAGTAAGTGTGTGTAGTAAGAAGAAGAAGAAGAAGAAAACGGACAACAACAGAAAAGAACAAAACATTAAGTGTTTAGACGTATGTGGATAAGGCTGTGTGGGGGGTTGGGGGTTGGGGTGTGTAGATCGTATGCACAAGGAAAACAAAGTAAACTAAAGGTGGCTCGGGGGGGTTGCGGAGGGCGCTTTAAGGTGAGAAGAAGAAGAAGAAGAAGAAGAAAGAAAAAACATGAACAAGAATGTAGAGTGGGAAAGTATAGTAAGAATAGAATTAGGGCCTTAAGCAGACGGTGCGCGTGGCTTGCTACTGCTGCTCGCTTCCGAGGACACGTCTTCAGAACGGTAGATCTTACCACGCGAGGTTCTGCCGGTGCTACCGATCTTGAATGTTTGCCAAATATAGTTCTTGCACTGGTCGGCATGGGGCAAGTCCTGGATCATCTTGGCGATCGTGTTCTTGCGCAAGCCGAAAAAGTCCGGGCCGACGGGATTGTGGCCATAGTCCATGTTGCGGATGGCAAATGCACGGCGAACAGCAATGGTCCACACCGTGGTCGGGGTGGGGCCCATGTAGACCTCGCCTAGATTGTCGTCCGCCTCAAGACGGAACTAAGAAGCAAAGAGGAGTTAAGGTTTGCTATTGTTTACATCTGCAGAGTCTGGTGACCCCAATGGTAGCCGGCAACACAAGCCTATCTGAGAGAGAGTGTGTGTGAGCACTTACAATGGGCTCCTGGCCACCATCAAGAATCTCGCAAGTGTACTGTGTATCACTACGCGGGTCTACCATGCTTCTGTACCACCTATAAAAACAAGCGGGATGAGCATTTCCTCTTTTTTTCTTTCTTTCTTTCTCTTTCTCTTTCCACTCTCTTTCTCTCTCTCTCTCTCCCTCTCTCTCTCTGTCTCTGTCTCTCTCAGCCGTGTAAAGAAGGAAAGATAAAAAACCTACTTTTTCACCTTGTAGCCTACGGGATAAATGTACCGTTGGTTATGGAACGCAGGGCGGTCAAAGACAACCTGGCCCAGACTCAGCACCGTCCATGAATCGATCTCAACCGGCAGTCGATAATTGCCATGCTCGTCCCGTTCGACCTGGACAAACGTGCGTACATCGTTCACATTAGGCGGCTTTGTGTCTCGCTTCTTTCTCCGGCCAACAGCCGTATGCTGCGTTGGCATGCGCAGCGTTTGTTGTGTCTGCTGATGCGTTGGCGGGAGTGCTGCGGTACTACTACTGCTGCCAGATGCAGGATGCGTGTGATGCTGATGATGATGCGAATGTGGAGGTAGAGGTGGATGTGTCGAAGAAGATGCTGGCTGATCGTAATAATAACGTTGCTGTTGCTGTTGCTGCTGCTGCTGCTGCTGCTTATAATGCTGATGAAGATGCTGTTGTTCTTTGCCTCGTAGATCTAATAGTGCAGCGGGTGGAGGCAAGGATAAGCTCGGTGAAGAAGAGCTCGCAGTAGGCGGCGACAATCTGCGCTTCTTGAAGCTGGCATGATGGTGTTCAGCAGAAGAACAAGATGTCGGATCATCAGGGCTGCCACGGCGGTCGATCTCCGACAAAGGAGGGAAGAAGGACCCTTTCGAAGCTGACGAATCAGCTGCGGGGTCGTCAGGAGGTGACAATCGACCAATCGGAGGCAAGAGTCGTGCATCGTCTTCACTACCGCGATAGTACCTGTAATGAGAAGGGGTTGTCGTCGTTGTTGCTGCTGCTGATGTTGCGATGATACTGCTGCTGCTGCTAGGGGCAGTCGATAGGGCGGGAACCGACGAGGCTGGCGATGGCTCGGAGGAGGACATGGGCGGATGCATCGATGGTAGGCTGATGACACGTCTGACAGCCTGTGGGTCGTGCGGTACGGGCGATGATGGAGTGGTGATCTGCGGTCCACGCCGATGCACCAATGTATGGTAGTAGTCCGTTTTTGATATACGATGCGTCTACAAGATCAGAAAGGGAGAAGCGGTGTGACATATGACGATATGCACGAAAGAAGGAGGTGAGTGAGTGAGTGAGTAAAAGAAGGGCTGCTTACAGATGAAACTAGGGCAGTATAGCAAAACAATGGGACCAATCCAATAACAGCAACAACAGCAACCAGCCATCCACCATTCATCAACAACAACAACAATAACAACAACTTCATCTTCATCATCCACCACAGCGGCTTTCCTTGCAGATATGGACATCCATCCTACCACTATGCCATTCAACATGGAACATGCACTCAACACACAATGCTACCATGCTGCAACCAACGGAGCAGGAGGTGAGGACTCTGTGACGAAGGGGAGGAGGGGGGGTGTGGAGATTGTGCGGGAGCAGGGCGGGAGGAGAATGCTGAGGAGAGGAAGTGTGTATATGGTTGATTGATTGATTGACCGGGTTGCTTGGTTGGTTGGATAAGAAATAGTTGAAAAAAAAGCTAACAAGAAGGAAATGGTAGAATATACGCACAGGATGTAATTGAAGCATGATTTCAACGTGCTGATTGTCAATGTACTTGCCATTCACATGGACTGCAGCTTCTCCGTCCAGGAGCCACGACAGCAGCCCATGCCCTTCCCAAATGGTGCCCGACGGCGACGACGGCGACGAAGATGAATGCGTCTCCTCAAAACTCGCGCTGTACACCGCACAATCTGCGTCTGGATAAAGGAGCATATCTGGGCTACAAAATCCCCAGACAAGAAACATAACGATGTCAATTTCACGCGTCTCACACATGCTAAGCGGTCGTCACCATCATTGCAGCAGCAAGAAGAAAGGGAAAAAAAAGAAAACTGAACGTACCATGAAGCACATAACGCCATCAGACATTCTTTTAAGGATACAGACACGTACTCGGCATCGCTGCTGCCCTGATCTACACACAATGGAAACGTGCACAAACACGTCGAATCGATGCCCTGAAACGTGTAAAAGACCTTGACTGGTGACATGTGTGAGTGTGAGTGTATTAGGTAACCGGCAACGAGTTAGATGATCGAACGACGAAAGAATGGATGATTTTGAAAGGGGAAGGGCTCAGTACACAGAAACTAGTGTGCCGAGAGAGAGAGAGAGAGAGAGAGAGAGAGATGATGACCCCAATCCCCGGAATGCCTATCAAAAATCAGTTTACCTTTGATATCTTTTTTGCCGGACTCCTCAACGCTCGCAGTAACAGAGCTTGCACTGCTAGTGCCCGGGCGATCATAAGTGGGATTGTCGGTGGAATACGTGAATGTCATGGAGATGGCGGAATGGGGGGGGGGATTTCGGTAGAAACGATCGAGAAAAGTCAAAGAAGCTGATCCACAGCAACGGCAAGAAGAAGAAGGAAAGGGAAAGAGAGGGCTGGTTGGCTGTAGTAGTAGTAGTAGTAGTAGTAGTAGTTGATGTTGTTGTTGTTGTTGCTGCTGCTGCAGTTGGTAGTGGGTTGTTGTTTTAAGGTAAATATACAAGTATATATGATATATAGTAAAGAAGTAAAAGAAGAGAAGTTTATAACGGACAGGACATGTCACAAAGAAAGAAAAAGGAAAAGAAGAAGAAAGGAAAGAGAGAGAGAGAGAGAGAGAGAGAGAGAGAGAGAAGGGGGGGGGTGGGAGGAAGAGCCCTGAGCAGAAAATAAATATAAAAATTAAAGACAGTGTGGAGAGAGAGGGTGCGAGTGCGTGTTGTGCGTCTTTGGATGGGATGTTCGTGGTGTGTACATAGTCTGGTAAGCAGAAACGCTCCAAAGCGATCCGATCTGTACCTTTTCGGGAAAATCAATAGCGCCAACTCCGCATGAGCAGGGTGGATTATATATTATTGCGCAGAAATGATTCGGCAGCCGGGCATTTGATAATGTGCTACGCGTGCAAATGTCTGGCAGCTGCTGCCATGAATGAATGTATGTGTGTGTGTGTGTGTGTGTGCGTGTGCGTGTGCGTGGTGGCCCAGGCCCCCACGTTAATTTGCTCATTTATTTCTGTCTGTCTGTCTTTCAAAGGGGATTTTCCATAGGGGAAGAAGCAGTGCTGTTGACATGATGGCTGGTTTCTTTGAGCAAAAAAGCTAATATTAAAAGTGCTACAACGATCATTAACCTTCTTTTCTACACAGCCAGCACTAACGGTAATAGTAATACCAGGTCAAGCGAGAGAGGAGAGAGGGAGAGAGAGAAAGTCGTCATTGTTCCATATAGCGTATGCCACACACACACACACACACACACACAGAGTTAAATGAAAAGAAATTACAAACACAGTGGTGGCACAACAGGTTTACGTGAGGTTATACAAGACACCCCAACCCAGAGAGTGTTACCATTCTTAATATAAAACGGGACCAGTGGTTAGCCGCCTAAGCTATTGTTAACGTTTTCCATTCACATGGCGAATTGAGTGTAGCGTGCAGTCGTGCACGTGTTTTCACTTGTTGAGTTTTATACTTCTCATCCATACAAGGACGGATCTTCAGGACATACGTAATGTTCTTCTTCTCTAGGTGTCTCTTATAGATTCGCCCCGTCAATCGTGTTCTATTTAGCGTGAGTGTTGATTTGGTGCTACCAACCCATCATCCCACAATTATGTTTCATTCTCTTGACACTAATACGAGTCGTCTAATGCCAACTGATGAAAATGTTGACACTCTCCTCCTCTCGTGCCCCCCCTCCTCCCTACTTTGCAATCCATCCATCCCGATGACCTGCATGCTAAAGAAAACAAAAGCAATCATCATGGTAATTTTTAGTTTATCGGGATTTTGGCTGCAGAAAAAAAGAGATAGTCTGCGCGGGGATGCGAAGGAGGAAGACGAAGAATACGGGCTTTTTTTTTTTGGGGGGGGGTATGGGAGTTGGCTTTAAGCAAGGAGTGCACGTATCATCATCACCATCATCAGTAAGCCCTCTTCCGCTATCTGTCTTTTGCTTGCATGTTATTGCAGCATAGGACAACGATGCAATAAAACGGGGCCAGGGTAGATGCTCCCTACTAACAGCGTCCACAAGTAATATATAGCGACTGCCAGCGACAAAAGCCCGAATTTAATAAAGGCTCGGCGGGCACGCTAGCGTGCTCTATGTCTCACTATTACTGAGAGACATTATTTTCGAGATTAGACACACACACACACACAAAGAGAGAGAGAGAGAGAGGGATCATTAAAACGCAACTGTTCCACAGAGTGTATATTGCCAAAAGAAAAAATAACATCACGCCCTGTTTTTTTATTTTTTCATTTAAAAAAAGAAAAAAACGCAAGCATTCTCCACATGTCCAATGTAAGCTAATGGCAACCGCAGTTTAGATCGCCGCTACACAAGCACGACACCCAAAGAACATTCGTGCGTTAACTCTTTTATGTCGCATCTCAACTTATTACGTCTTTTTTTTTTCCATGGGTGTAACCAAACCCCAAATCCAGGCCCCCCCCCTTCTTTTTTTTGGACCTTAGCAACCATGGACATTATTGTCGACGGTGTGTGTGTGTGTGTGTAACGCTGCGCCAGATGGGAAATTATTTTCATATAATTCCAACCGGTCGATCACCCTCTTCCACAACAACAATTGACTCGCGCACATCACCTACACTTCCCATTGTAGCACATCGTTTGCTGTGACGTGTGGACAAACCAAACAAGAAACGGCCGATGCAAAAACATGCATGATGCGGCTAAATTAAGGAAGCCCTATGTCGTCGATAGCATGCAAATCGGCAAAGGCGTCTCTTTTCAGTTCCATACTGGACTAATCAAGTAGGCTAATAGGCTTTCTACTCGGTCCAGGAACCTGGAAGGAAAGATCGGCACTAAGCGCTTCTAAAAATACAACTTTAAAATTACAAACCCAATTTCAAACGGCTATAATTTTCTCTTTCCCTCCCGACAATCCAATGATAGCCAAGAATGCATATTTGATTTTATTAAATGAATTGGTGTGGGTGTTCTAATGATCAAGCCTGCTGGTGGATGTCAACCAGCACCTAACTCGGAAGGTCCGTATCTCTTGCTGTCCACACAGACTATAAAGTACAGTGTGCATGCTAAAAGCAGCCTGCTATATATCATTTGTATCACGAAACCGGTGACTGAGCTTGTGTTCTATGAGTAGTGTCAATACAAATTGATGATCAGCAGCTTAAATCAGTTTTTAGCACCCACGGAGCTAATAAAGTTTACTGAGCATATGCATTCTAATCGCAGAATCGTGCTTTTTCTATAGTAACCGCATCGTCCAAATTGTAGTTTTCGTTGCGAATATGCCGCTTATCCTCTATCAGTGCAATTACTTAGACCTACATTTTCTAGTGGTTGCGTTTTAAAGATAAAATGATGGTCAAAAACAAAAAAGTTCCTTCCGGGCAAACGACGCTAATCAAGTTCGCGGTTTATTAGATCGTCGTCCTCAACGGTAAGCACATCATTATAATTAAAGCCAATCATATCTTATACAACCAACTTTTTTTTAAAATCTATAGCTATCGTAAGAGCGTAACCACGGGTTTCACCGAGCCCGCTGATGAATCTAAAACTGACGATTGGCAAAAAACACAGACCTGAAAGTCCAAGTTTTTTTTTCTGTTTCGCAATCTTTGATATGTGCTGCTACAACGATAGATACCAGGTTATGTTCCTATCACCCCTTCAGTTCTTGTTGCATCGATCAGCCCCTGACAATAATTGTACGGAGACAGAAGAAAAGGGTGTTCGAGAAAGCAGTGATAAATTTCGCTCCATAAATCGGATAACCATTTGACATCAAGCCTTAAGCTCTCTATCTTATCCTTGTCTAGCAAAGACATGATGCTAATCTTCTTTTTACAGCATATAATTATTGCACGTATCTAGTAAAGCGTTTATTGCAGACACTTATTTACCATTTTGGACTTTTTGCTACATTGTATCGACGGCCGTAAAAGTGTATCCCAATACCCATTGTTTCGCAGTAGACATAGGCCATTGTATTGATGGGAGGGGGCGGAAACGTAGGACAATATGGTCAAGCACTCACCCGTGAATTTCGTGTTCAAATTGAATTTTTGAGCAGGTGATAAGAGCACAACGTTGCAACGATAGATACCACATATATTCTGCTATTTATTAAAGTGTTTCTCTCTTATTCGTGCAGAGATACCCGCTGGCAGCAATTTGGGATGGTTCTAGTATGTTTTCTTGCTTGAGAGGTTCTGCGCCTCACTCCATCATTGGTTAGCAATTGTTTTTTTACATTTGTATAGGAAAGTATTGTTGATGCTTATTGTCAATCATCGTCTAAGCTGACCCAACCATGACTTATCGCACCATGTACCTATGGGTAGATGGTAGATAATGTATGGCAACTTTACTTTGTGTTTTCAGTCAAGATGTGTACTGTGTCCATAACCATCTCTGAAGTAACCTGTTGCTATTTATTGTATTGCGATAATTGATCACTCAATCAATAGCCTTCTGCCTCAAAAGATACGTAGTAGAAAAGCGTGAAAATACCTGAAGAGAAATCGGTAATGATTACAATTGTAGTAGTTTTTGTTGTTGTTGTTGATGATGCTGAGTTGATGTTTTGCTAGACTTTTAAACACCAAAAAGAGTATTGATGTGCTTGATCTTTCGATTGTAGGTAGTAAAGCACGTCCTTCATTTTTATTTGCGGTGAAATTTTCATGAGGAAGCAATGACAGGTACAAAAGCTTTTTTTGGAGATAGTAATCAGATTGTGTCCAAATAAGACAGTTTTTTTTTGGTCGTGTGATTGGTAAGAAAATAAAAAACAAATGGATGATGAAGAAGAAAAACTTTGTATAAAGAGTAATAGTGTGGTCAGAAGTATAAGTTATAATAAATAATAGTAATAATAATAAGAGTTAAGGAAAAGGCTACTCCATTTCTTTCTTTGAGCCTATTGCCTTGTCACTATTGGTATCATACGCACATGCTGCTTTATCCGCATCCAGTTGTAATAACAGACATCGCAAAAACGCTTGTTCGTATTTTGAGTTCTCCAGCACAGTTGTGAGTTTTTCGGACGGACATCGTAACAGGTTGGGCGCATAGACCATGGCCAGATTGTGGACATTCATCAGGGTATGCTTGATCACCTCTGGGTCAATGAACTCTTGCAAGAAGCTCAATATATATAAAACAATCCGTCGGTTGACGTTTGGTAACGAGTTGATGATATCAATGGCCTTATCAATGTCTTCTGCATAAGCAACGCACGTGTCGTATAAATCCATTGAAATTAGCGGCTCAGGTAAGTCTCGGATCCAGTATTTCAACAAGGACGCCGGTACGTTCGGATCGGTTATTCCAGTTGCATCATAGTTTCCATTCTCTATCCGCACTCGCTAATGGTAAATCAGTGTAACAATGAGAGTTAGCATTGACGTTTTGACTTTAAAAAGAAAGGGGATTGGAGGACCAAGGGTACTTACCAGTTCTGTCACATCATCTGCGTCGCCAGGTACCCGAAATATACCTTCCGATTGTTGTCCGTTCAACCGAATTACTGCATCTGCCAAAAACGGCACAATCCGAGGTATTTGCAGACAAGACTCGCCGTCGTTATTGTTACCGTCTTGTTGTTGCTGCTGTTGCTGCTGCTGCCGTTGTTCTTCTTCCCGTTGCTGCTCCATACTCATTATAAATGGCAAAGGCTCACCAAACACCGAAGGTTTGAACGGTGCGATTTTAGCCCGTTCAATCTCTGCGGCTGTCAGGACTTTACCCTTGGCGCCGCGGATACAGATGCGTTTGAGTTTGTTGGACACGTGTTGGCTCATGACATTGACGTCGTTTTCAGTGACTTGATGGTGCTGTTGTACAAAGTGGGTCAGGTATGATTCAAGGTTTTTAGACGGCGGAAATGTTATGCAGACAATGCATAAGATTTCCCAGCCTTTTCGAATACTGGATCCGCGCGGGTTGTTGTGAAGTTGTTTGCATACTTGGACGTAAATCTCGTCGCGCATTTGCCCTTTGGTGATTCCGCAGCTCAGGATGGACTGCAAATCTTCGACATCGCTCGAGTTGCGTGGTCGATGGCGATCCCCCATGACCATTTGGATCATTCGGAAACACCGTAGTGCGTCTTTATGGAGATCTTTGTTGAGCATCATGAGCGGCTTGTTAAGTGAATCCTACACGGTGATGTTTCCTCCGTTATGAGTATTCCCACTTATTCTCTCTTTCGTTTATACTCACCCGTTCTACCCTTTCTATGCTTCACTCTATCTTTGTCTTTTATCTCTCTCTCTCTCAAACGCTCTCACTGCATATTCCGCTCTATCATCTAATGTTTATCCTATAGATATAAATACCTTTGTCCATTCTAGCATCTCCTTCATAGGTACTCGTCGCCGGAATAATCCGCGTTTATGCGTGGCAAAGTATTTCTGTGCAAAGCCGTCAATTGCAAACTGATTGATATCATGTTGTAAGCTTGTAGGTAGCATCATCCGTTTACTGTTCAATTTCAAATATGAATAATCAGTTATATATATATCTCAGAGTTAGTAGTCGACAGTTATATATAAGCTACCTTTCTCCATTAGAGATAGGTTGATTGTTGATCTGAGCCAGCAGATTCGGAGGCGGAGGCGGCGGTGCGGTCAAAACAGAGGCGGTGTCAATCATGGATCCGTTGTCGTTCAAAGGATGCATAGAAGCCCTAGCCTCTATGGATTAAATATTGATGTTTTGTGGTGAAAAAAAAACGAAAAGAAGAAATAGAGCGGTGAGAAAGAAAAGGGGGCTTAAAGAAATAAAAATATCTTTGTAGAGTCCATGCCAAGACAGAGAGAGAGAGGAGGAGGGGGGTGAAGATTTACCTGGATTGTTGATTGGTGCACTGACCTGCTGTTGCTGCGTCTTCTTACTGCCTCGCGTAAAATTGGCAAATGCCGTTTCTATAGAAGTACGCGATCGAAAAAAGTTCGAATGTCGCTAAGCAACAACTGATACCGTCAATATCATCATCGTCATGGATATAACTGTCATGGCCGACAGTCGCCATAGTTACTGTAGTATCCATGGTATTGGCACCCCTCATTGTCCCATCACAATATATCTATATATTACCTTCAAACTCGACTTTCGTGCAGGAGGATTCCGCGCCCGTCTTCCAAAGAAGCCACCACCTCCCGATGAGGAGGTAATACTATTATCACTCATAGTAGTACTCGTACTCGCTGCATGCTGATGATGATGGTGGTGATGCTGTTGGCGGGTTTCTTCGGACGTCGATCTTTGTGGGGTTGCGGCTATCTTGATATTGCCGTTTTGTTGTTCAAGATCCAATGATCGGCTATTCCTCTTATTGTTGCTGCTATCATCGTTGTTGCTATTCAGCCATGGAGGGGGTGGTGGTTCCTTGACAGAAAGTCGTTTCTGTGCGCCTGGTGAAGACTATTAAAAATGAGGGTTTTTTAACGTTTTCCTATCCTTTTCATCTCTGCTCCTTTACACCTTTGTCTTATCCAACCACCATCAACTCCCCAAAAGGCATCTTCTTTACCTCCCGCACAATACCCCACCCCTTTATCCATTTTTTTTTAAATATAGCAACAGATTAAATCGAAAATAAAACGCAAACCTGTTGTATTTTGACAAGCGAAATAATTGTAGATTCTTCTTTTCCGGGTTTGTTCCACTGAGTCTTGTTGTGTTGTGTATGGTAATAGTAAGGTAATTGGGTTTTTTCATCCCACAATTCCCACCAATCACCATCAGGATGAGGTGCTTTACTATATTTTTTTTATATTCGTACGTTGAATATATATTCGTATGTGGTTAGGGTGACGTTGTACGTTGTTGTTGTTGTTGTCGTCGTCTTTTATTGTTTTTTCTTTCCTGGTCACTTCCCATAGGCGAAGGAAAGGGATACGGCAAAGACAAAGGGGCAAAAAAAAAAAAGAAACTTACATTGACCCCACAGTCGGTTTTTCTTCCCATAAGCACTCGCCGGTCGTCTAATAGGATAGAGTCAGTTGTCGACAAGGAAAGGCGGGGATAAGGTAAGATCGAGATGAAGTAGTATATTTAAAAAGAAAGACACTTGCTGGATTGGCATAATAGACATGTTTTGTGTGAGGATCGTGGACTTCGACCCAATCATAAGCTACTGCCATGATGGCGAATTTTCAGTAACTTTTTTGAAGGGGTTGTTGTGTTTATGCTGAGGCCGCAGATGGTGGAAAGGGGGGGGGAGTAGCGAAAGTGTTGTTACTGTGGTGCAGAAGTAATATGCGCGCTTACTGCTGCTGCTTATTATGTTACAGAAACTGGTTAGTTTGGGGGAGGGCGTTAGGTTATATGCAAGCAAGCTTCCTTTCGGTAAAGCAAGTCGACATGCAATAGCAACAGTCAGTCAGAGAAGGAAAAGAAGAGAAGAGAAAGAGGAGCGACACGAGCAAAAACTGTGATAATTATGTTTCAGCTTGGCATTGGCTGTCTCTTTCTGTCACTTAATAGACATCATATTATCAATATTATTGTTGCACACAGTGTCTACTACATGATATGCGTACTTGAGCGCGAGCGTGGCGGATCGTGAAAATGTCGGTGTCCCTGAAAGCGGTCGTTTATGCACTTACATACATTCACGCATCTTGCTGCTGGAAAGGAAGCATCTCCTCTTCCTCGGCCAACACACACAACGCTGGCTGTCAAGGATGAACAGGGAATGCTTTCTTATCTCATATGCCTCCTTCTTTCTCTGTCCCTTCCTTTAGTTTCTCGGCCGCAGGGTCACATCCGGCGCAATTCTGCTATGCACGTGCAGCATTACTTTATCCTAACTCTTCATCCATGTCTGTGCACATTTTAGAGTTACATTCATTTTCGTGTAGTCTTTACTCTGATGATTATTTTTTATATCTTGTCTAGAATAAAAACAAAAGTAAAAGAGAGAAAGGAAGGGAGCAGGAAGTGTGTGTATGTGTCAAAGAGAGAAGGGAAAAAGAGAGAAATTTCCTCTTTCATCATCTGCGTGGGTATGCGTTATTGGTACGTTGTTGTTGATGCTGGTTGGTTAGCCAGAGGTGGAACAGGTACTGCGTATCGGGCTTTTGCGAATGGTTCATGCAACCATGGATAATAGGCGTGTCACCACTTCCATTGTAGTGTGTAAGACGCATGTTATCACCTCTGATAATTTGCACCAATTCACCCTGAAAGAGAGACACCTTATAGTTAGTTGACCCCTCCTATCTTGCACTTGCTTCTCATTAAACAGATGTGATACTTTACCGTATCCACGTGCCGGATCTCAATGAATTGCTGATCCACAGCAATGATATATGGGTGCTGATATACTATATGGTCTGGGGTGCCGTTCCATTCGCACAAGAGCGATCTAGTACGCAATGTTGAAAAATGCAGCAAGCGTCAGCTGCCAGACCCTCCAAAAATACCATTAAAAGAACAGCAAACAATAACACGGCTTACTTTCCAGCACCACGCTGCACCAACGATCCATTACGGTTGTTGACGTAAAAGGCAAACCGATTGTAGCAGAGCAAAAACTTGTCTTGGATACGATACATTGCCAGAGGCTTCAAAGGCTCCGTATGACGCTGAATGAAGTTGAATTCAGGGTTTGCACTGTCGGGGATGTTCCGTCCTCCGACAGCCAAGTTCTCCGGGTCAATGATTTCAAACCCTCGTGCTTCGACAACAACGCTCACTTTCGATTTCAAAAAGTGAATATTGCTCGCCTCCGCTCCAACGTAGAACTCCTGCAAAGCCGGTCATTCGTTAGTTTTCTTACTCCTAGATTTGACGTTCTTGATAAGAGAACTTCTTCTATACCTTGTATGTCTTGAACCATGAATGACTTGATCCTCGACTCGAAAACAATCCCGTTCGTTGCGTCAGCAGCTTTTCACTCTTTGGATGGCGTAGGTCACAAATGGGCTCCACTGCAACAAACACGCTGCTCGTGCTCTTCTTTTTCTTGTATACAACCAAATCTTTGCCGTTACAATAACCCACTTGGAAAAAGTTGACGTTCTGTGCAACTTCGTGTCCCGTCCGGTCTGGTGCCCTCGTTGAGTTTGGCGAATCCAGTGCATCAATTGAATATGCCTTCAGTACCTTGTCTATATGCAACCTATTTTCAGTATACAACCAACGATATCATCGATAAAAAAAACAAAAACCAAATCTTTTTTTCTTGGATTTACCAGCCAACACTAGCAAGATATGCTGTCGCTCCATCATGGCCACCTGGGTGACATTATCGGACGGAAGAACGCGTCGTATATCGCTGGCTTGCTGTAATGACTTGATATAGACACCCACATCCGTACCAATAACTATCTTTTGCTCTCCATTTACCGATTCTAAATCAGGGATATTTCACGTTCACATCAGTCAGTTTCCAACCAGGTCTTTCTACTGAGCATCTTTATAAAAGAAAACTTACGGAAGGGCACCGAGCAAGTAATACGACCTTGACCAATCGCCGAGTTGACCGAGCCCAAGTATCGGAAGGATGCATCGTCCAGCGTCCGCATTTCGAATACGTCGTTATCACCTTGTCGCTTCTTGAGTGCTGCCTTGGCATCCTCAATTGCTTTGATCCAGTGGTACCGCTCATCCATTGAATTACAGAAGAAATGGTACAGACCGTCCCGTTGACCCAAGTGCTGCAAAGTTAATGGCACGGCACCACCAGCGACAGTAGTCGTTGCACCCTGGAGCATGTAAGAGCTTGAAGAGTTAGACATTGGCGGTCGCGATCCAGCAGAAACTGGATAATCGGTGCCGCCCTGAACGAAAAGCATCTGGAGCTGTATAGGCCGTTTCCAAATACGATATTCCTCGCCAGTGTTTGTCTTTCGATACTTTGTCATCAAAAAGAGATGGTCGAATACAAACGCATGGATGTCGCTCTTTTCTGTCACTTCGATGGCCTGTGCACGTCGTTTCAGATCCCCATGATAATAGAGTCGACGATGACTATCTCCAAGCTGCAGATCATGGCTCTCGCCTTGCTTGTATGTAAGCTGGTCATTGATCTCTAATATTTCCACATGTTGCTTGACAGCTTCCGTCTGGAAATCTGAGCGCGATGCAATCGTTTGGATCAGCTTCTTGCAGGTTGTCAGATATTTGCGATCGTCATGATCTTCCGGTGTCTTTTTGATGATGGCTTCAAGCAAAAGAGGATAACGCTGCATACGCGTGACAGGATTCAATAAAAAGTGACGGAACGCCAATCGTCGCATGCGTGTGTTGCCTTCCATGTCATTGATGAACCGAGCAAAATCGGGGTTGCGTTGCTTTTCAATCTTAATCTTGTATTCGGCAAGTGGTACGTTTGGAGTATAGGTCGTGTATGGGTCGGAAAAGTAAGTGAAATGGTCAACAAGAATATCGCCAATTTGGGGAACGCATTTTTGATCGTTTCGTCGCTGGAGTTCGAGTAGATCTTTGTAAAGTGCGTCACTCAACTCTCGCAGCATATGATAGTTGTTGAACACCTCTCGGACAAACTGCGTGCGGCGTGATTCTTCAATCGCGTTCGAACTGAGCAAAGGCATGACAATTACCTGAGTGGACAAGGCAGGATCTTAAGTAAATGGATTGCTAGTAATTTCTGTCTGGCGGAAGCCCGCCTCTTAATGGACATACCTCATGCAACGTATCCAAATCACCACGATACACTTCTTCCGAGTAAATCATTTCATTGATAGCTTCCTGTCGTTCACGCTCTTTCTTTGGTGTATTCTCCAACAATTCGCGTGGCACTCGTTCAGCCCATGCTGTATGTGGGAAAGACTAGATATGTACGGTGCGGATGTTCAATACATGTGATAAAACGTGTCTACCCTTCCTTCACTTACTTTAGTGTCGTCCACAGATGCATTTGATCTAGTAGATGAGCGGCGTGTAAGACCGGCATGTACCTATAGCGAATCCCAAATTGAGTTTAGCTATTTATCCCTGTATCTCGTTTCCGTCTCCATGTTTGAGCAAACATTTGACCAAAAAGCGCTTTCTTACCATGATTTCGCTTTCAAAGATGGCCGGGTTATTTGGACATCTAGGCGCATAACAACCGCCTTGCTCCGGTTCACAACCATACGTGTAGCATTTCGTCAACGACGTGAAAACGCCGACAGGAATATCGCTATCCGTATCATCTTCGTCAAAAGTATAAAACTTGTCCGACGAATCATATACTTCATTGGTGATCCAAGACTTGTGGTTCTGACGAATCGGTTGGAACAAAGGTGGTGCACAGTTCATCAATGCATTGGCAATAAGAATACAATAACCATCTGGAATGCCTTTGTCGGATAAAATTTCCTGCAACAAATCCTGTGAACATTTCCACCCAACCAACGAGTTATGTGAGTGTGTGTGAATATACATCTAACTTTTTTTTCACACAAAACAAATTCACAGAAAATATTTATGCAATAACTTACGATAGCTTCATGTCCGCTAAATGATTCTGGATACTCGGCAGAACTGTTCACCTCACGCACGTTGGTAATACGCTTCATACGTCTTCTGAACGCCACAGAAAGCTCTGACATTATTGAATAATCCACATTCGCTTCAACTGACATACGTGACATGGACGAATTACGCTGTGCAGCCGTTGGTCGTTCGTCGTGCATGATAGGGTCAATCCCCTCGTCAATCTCGTCCTGATTATGATGAACATCTCCTTCTTGTTTCCTCGGGGACACGACCGAGAATCGCGTGGGTGGTGGAGATACAGGTGAAGATGCTGTCGTTGTCGTCGTATCAGCGGTAGGAGTGAAGGTAGTAGTATCTGCCACGACAGCAGCAGTAGCGGCAGGGCTATTTTTACTGTTATAACTATTGTAGTTATTGTTGTTTGTGTTTACAGCAGTAGTGCTAGGACCATTAAATGGGTAATCATCTTCATCGTCGCTTGAGATCGGAGAAACGGCAATAAAAGGTGCCTCTTCACCCTCTCCGACTTGCGAAGTATCAATAGCGGAGGGTCTCGTATATTTGGGTCTTTCGATAGTCATGATTGTATTCTTCAGCGATGACGGTGTGCGTCGATGCGAGGTCGTCGTTGTCGTAGTGTCCGAGCGATATGTTCCAACGCCACCCATACTGTTACTGCTATTACTTCCACCATAATCCTGCGAAGACGGTCGCGAATAGCTGCTACTCGGTTGCGAATATCCAGCCGAAGTGTAACCGACAGGAGGTGGTGGCGGTGGCGCTTGCTGCTGTTGGAGCATCTGCTGATGCTGAGGTTGCGGGGATGCTTGGTACGATTGACGAGCTGCTGGTGATCCTGGAGGTGTACCGCGTGCTTGTTGGTAATCTTGTGGTGAATACGGCTGAGCCGCGACGACGGGTGGTGAGTAGGCGCCAGCGTTTCCAAAATGCGTGGGCGGCGGTGGTGGCCCGGATGGGTCTACAAGTCGTTGCGGTGGATAGGCCATACCGTAGTTACTGCTAGAAGTACGGTTAGGCATTGGCGTAGTAGGAGGCTGATGATGATAGTTTTGCGAATATGAATTGTCGTAAGGATATCCACCGTATTCATTTGACCCGTATGCTCCGTTTGGATATTGCGATGGTGCCATCCCTGTAGACGAGTATCTGTTGCTATCCATCGACATTTGCTGCTGCTGCTGATGCTCGTAATACATGTCTTGGCGCTGTTGCTGTTGCTGTTGCTGTTGCTGGGCACTAGCATTGTAATAATCATAATACCCGGCATACTGCGTATTCTATATATTTCAGCCCAAAAGTGAGTATCAATCCATTTACTCTTTTCGCTTTTCCCGGACTCTTTCACCTTCCGTCTTTTTTTATCTTTTTGTAAATTGCATACGTTGGGTTGATGGCCGTACTCGGTGCCGCCTCCAGCCCGATGTTGTAAAGATTGCCCGCGTGGTTGAGGAACAACGTGGCCGGACTGACCTGGAGCCATTTCGTTTAGATAAGAGTCGACAGAATGTACGAGACCGCCCATCGAAGTGGTTTCGTATGCTCCCTGTTGCTGACCAGACATTGTCGACTGCCACTGACCAACTTGAAAAAAAGTTATTCTTCGTCTCTCGAAGTACGTATATGTGTAGAAGAGGGAGACCTCTGTTTGTTGTTATCAAGAGGAGAGAGAAGAAAAGACTAAGATAAAGAAAATAATATAAAGTTAATTGCAGTCCAAATATAAAGGGTTTCGATAGAAAGATGCTCCTCCTTTTTTTCTTTCTAAATGGCATCGTACATTGATACTGCTCTTTTCAAAGAGGTGAAACGTTACCAGCTTCATTTTTTTAGGGCAGTTGCTCACTCATAAGACAACCGACAAAAAAAATTGAAGCACCGAACTGTGTGGTCGCATTTGCTGTCTCACGTACATATATTTTATCCCAATTTTCGAGTGCTATAAATATATTCTCGAATGCTTTGCAGCTCCAGTCCGGCAAAATTAACCATACCAGTATCATAGCCAGCTTCCATAATGCTTCGGTGGGAAGACAAGCAGAAAACACCTAATAGTAATCAGTGTCCGTATCAACTCGAGTTTCGCCTATGTCTATACAGCTCACAATGAAGTAGACACTCAAAACTTAGTAGATGAATATCAACATCTGTGTGTAAATAAGTCCTACTGCCACCACAAGCTCTAGGTAACCGGTCAGCCTGTTTAGACAGTGTTGTGTTCAGAAAACAAACTGTAACTGTAGGATTCAAACAGTGTTGAAGCACAAACCAAGAAGTGCCTCTCTCGGCACAAAGTTTATTCTCCCTTCAAAGTCCCAATTCATTTGTTTAGAAACAGCAGCCGACCGATCCTGCACTTTCGTGGCAAAAGAACAAACCAGAAAAAAGAGGGTAGGACAAAACCTTCGTCATGGTTACCTCAGATAATTTGTTGGTAGTCCTCTAGCGTACCAAACTCTGGGGCGCTTCATCTGATAGGAATCGCATGTTAATTTAAAGGATCACAAGATATTAGCACCTCCTCTGGAAAACAAGGAGTCAAAGAGGGTTGAATTAAGGGGAGTATGTGTTGCTCGCTGCAGCAGGAACACAGACCGTTCTTGACGACTCCAGGTGCAGCTTTAGAGCATCTTTGAAAAGAAAGACTCTGTGGTCAAATGACCTCACATGCTATTGTAGTAGTGATAGCTTTAACGCATTGAATTTCAACAGACGGCATGAAAGCCTTAATCGGTTGATTGGGGAGGACCTTCCCCCATATGGACGGTCATTGGATGAAAACCAACTAGACTTCATAAAATGGCAGCAGAAAAAGGCGCCGATTATTTGACTTTTCTTTCTCTTCCATCTCTCTATTTCATTCTCTTTCCCTTCCGCTTACTTGTTCTGTGCTAAGCATACATTCCATGGACGACTTGCATCGAAAGCATACGAAAATGGCGCGTGTTTCTCGGGATTCGTACGACTCTGCATCTTCAATCGACAGCCCCGCAATCAGCACCAAAGAAAACCGTCGTCATGTCAATGGCGAATTCGATCAAGATTTCATAAACCTTGACCATATTAAAGATCTTGCACGTGCATTAGCTCAGGATCCATATAGCGGGTCAGAAGCAGGCTCGGAACATATTCCAGCAGCGAGAACGTTCGAGAAGCCTCGTTGGATCAGTCGCAAAAAAACGAGTTCTCGCGACAAGGATGCAATCGGAGCGCCGAATGGCATCTCGTATACGCTTTTACGATACCCATTGATGGTGAGCCTTTATTTGTTCTCCTTCAATATTTTGACGGGAGGAGAAAGGAGCGGAGAGAAAGAGGGACTCACGAGATTGCTTAATATAATAACGGGAATTTTATTTCATGCATTATGTTTCCTTGCTCTGGCTATACAGATTGGCATAGGCACCATCATTGTAATCGAACTGATACTGTATATTGGGCTGCGCCAAGTAGTGCGCGCATGGGAAAGTTTATTTAGCTGGTAAACAAATAAGCATGACTTACCAGAACAAAAAAATACAAAAAACTCATCATTGTTGTCGTTGTTTACAGGCGCGGAAAACGGCGCCGGCTACGTAGCAAATTACGAGCTGCAGAATCTTACGAGGAATGGTGTCAAGCTGCAGATGCACTGGACAGATACATGGGCAAAGATGCATGGAAGGAGTCGGCGCCCTACAGTTTTTACGACTACCGTCTTATTCAAAAAGTCGTTCGGCATCTTAGACTGTACAGAGCCAATGCAGAGCATGACGTCGAGGCTGCCACCAACCTTAAAGACGTGCTGTACGCATGTCTGAAACAGAATTTTGCCGGTATAGAAAACGCTAAGCTGTACAGTAACACATATCTTGGTACCAAGAACTTGGTTGAAGAATACGTTGATGAAGGTAAATAAAAACCGTTCGCTTGGTGGAGAAACTAACCCCGAAAATGGACTGACCGTAAAAAACGATAGTAACTCGATCCATCGAAGCATTGGCCAAAAATAAGCACATTTCACTTGAAGACAAGCGTTTGGGGTTTAAATTGTACTCGAAAAATTATGGTCGTTCTGCGTTCTGTCTTTCCGGTGGTGCCGGGTTCGGTTATTATCATCTGGGTGTCATCCGCGAACTTTTAGATCGACGACTTTTGCCACCGATTATTACTGGTACTTCAGCTGGTGCTCTGATGGGTGCAATTCTATGTACCCGCACTGATGAGGAGCTGCGACAGGTGCTGGTACCTGAATTGTCACACAAGATCAAGTTTGTTCACGATTCATTGATTGCACATATTGCTCGATACGCAACTACTGGAGCCATTTTTGACAGTGACCAGTGGTGTCGCCTCGCATTATGGTTTTGTCGTGGATCCCTTACCTTCAAAGAAGCATATGAGCGCACTGGACGTATCTTCAATGTTACTGTGGTGCCGAATGATCCTCATTCACCACCGAAGCTTCTCAACTATATCACGGCGCCAAACTGTGTCATTTGGAGCGCCATCATGGCGTCAGCTGCAATTCCAGGGGTATGAAGGGAAACCCTACTTGACATGTGGGAAATAACAGACAATTTGATGATAGCATTAATCGTGTATTCTGTGTGTATTTGCTATATAGATTCTTAACCCGATGGTCCTGCTCCAGAAGACCCCTCGATCGAATCATTTGACACCGTACAACTATGGCCTCAAGTTCAAAGATGGTAGCTTGCGCACGGATATTCCCACCCAGACATTGTACAACAGCTTTGGCGTCAACTACACAATAGTGAGCCAGGTCAACCCACACATCCATCTCTTCTTCTACGCTAACCAAGGAAGCCCTGGAAGGCCTGTTACACATCGATGGGGTAAAGGCTGGTAAGTTAAATTCTGCTATGAGAAAATATACGCATATTCACATGTTGATGTGGTTGTATTGAATCGGCCAAAACGATCTAGGCGTGGTGGTTTTCTTGCATCGGCCGCTGAACAATTTCTGAAACTGGACTTGACAAAGTGGCTCAAAGTCCTTCGAGATTTGGATTTATTACCAAAGATCATGAACCAAGATTGGAGTTATATTTGGCTTCAAAAGTTTGATGGCACTGTCACCATATTGGTAAGTGAAGGCTGGATAGCACTCGGATTATATTCTCAAATAAAACATTACTCACTTTCAATTATTTTATCATCCAAAATAAAATCAAAAAAAAGCCCAAGACCAACTTACTTGACTGGATCCATATCATATCGAATCCTACAGAGGAGCGAATGAAGCATGCCATGGATGTTGGTCGAGCACGGACATGGCCTAATATCTCCATGATATCCAACCGTTTAAGGATAGAAAACGCCATTCTCCAGGGAAGGAAACTAGTACGAAGACAGAACAAACAGGAACAGCGACCACGAGCGCAAAAGCGAGCGTCATTGGCTATGGTGAGTGATGACGCTTCGGGCAGCAATGACGAAGTCATCTTTTTGTCTGGGCGACGTGCAAGTATGCCGGATGGCTCGGGACCGCTACAGGAAAAGGAATGGCGTAAAGAAGAAAATCGTCGACGCAAGTTCCTTGCCCAGTTTACTGATCGTCGCGAAATCATGGATGGCAAAGAAATTGAAGCACAAGCAGCAGAATCCCAAGCATTCTACTATAACAGCGACGAAGATGATGAATCTGTTGCATAAAACATATTCCCAAGTCTTATTTTCGTTGCATTTTCCTTGCGGACAACGCCAACTACCTGCATTTCATTTATATCCCCTCCTCTTTTCCCCTTGGTAAACTTTCTCTCTATCATACCTGTCATCATATCACCTCCCATTTCCTTCCTTCTTTTAGAGCAGTGTCGACTTCTATATAAGTTTTATGTTCACTTGTCAATGTATTTTTTAATCACTTACAGTGAGTCAGAGAGAAGTATATACCACATTACTTCCATTATATATTCAAGAAGTAATATAATGCGCATCATCCAAAGTCAACAGCTTGAATTAACGAATGTGTATAAGAAGATGGCTTAACCCTTTATGGAGCGTAAACAACTGATAAGGAAAATGAGTACTAATGTTGCTATGCATGACATGTAGCACTTATCCCAGACTACAATTTCACAAATTGCTTGTTGTACACATGGGAAGAGCATTTGCCTGGATGGAAGCTGGCAGGTACACAAGATAATTAAACCCCGGCGCAATATCTACCTTCCCAGCGACGCAAACTGATTTTACTACGATGCTAACTGGGAGGAAAGATCCAATACATACTAGCTTATCCAAATGTTGTTGTTGTCATTATATACCTCCATAAACACACCGAACAATTGAGATCCATTTACTCTAAGATCATATTGGACAGCGACATAGCAGCAATTGCAACAACAAATGACACGTAGTAGCTTAGTATGTACATGATTGATCTCCTGAAATTGATGTGGCAGTAGCTCCAACGCAGTGGAAGTTTGGCGTAGTGATAACAATGAGTACACAACATATGATTTCTGGTCCTGATACAGTGTAATGTTTAAAAGATATTCCATTGCAAAACCAGTATTGCCCCCTTTTAGTGCTCCACTCATTAAAATAACGAAAAATTGCTTAAAACTTAGCACGCAATTGATCTGAAGTAGGAGAGGGGGGGCTGAGTCATATGAATTTCATTATTAGCATGATCTAACAACACTTTATTGATTGTATGCATCATGAGCGAGCTTGCTACTTGCTGAAGTTTAGTATGCTAATATTCGCTAGCTCAACTCTGTTACACTTTGTGCACACCTGGGGTAAATGATGAACGCAAGCTTAGAATTGAGAAGGAACGGAACAGAGAGAGCTGGGCTGGGCTGGACGAGTTATGGTAGATCCATTGGCAAAAAGCAATTATTAGCAACAAAGTGCTCGAACCATCTTGTAATACCCAAGTAAAAACTGAGGTTATAATATCCAAATTGCCGAAAATGACAATGATCTTCAAGCTTCATGGTAAAAACAAATGTTTTGTGGATTTGTAAGACAAAGCAAAGTAGCTTAATGGTCCAGTAAGACGAATGGACAAAAAGGTTGTAATCTTTCCTTTTCGGAAACTTCTCAACTGATTAAGAAAGCATGCTGCTATTCATAGATCATTGTGTTGTGCTGTTTACCTTAAGAAAAGGATTTGGACTAGTTGTATAGCCATTCTCAGTTAATGTCTTTTCGAAAGCCTATTCGGGTAAATCAATCATCAATCTACGTAATTATGGTAGTACGATGTCTTTGGAGCTGAGGGATAATTCTTGTTTTCTCTGTTCTCTCACTCGACCACTCACTCGCTCTCTCTCTCTCTCTCTCTGTCTCTCTCTGTCTCTCTTTGGCTTATTGCACTCTCACTCTCAACCCCAATCCGTAACAATAGCCGACGAGAAGATTCCCCGCTTATCCTGGAATAGTAAAACGGGAGAAAGGATAGCAGTGTGCATTGCTCATTGGTTCGCCAATTGTTTGGAAGATAGCGTTTTCCGCGGTCAAAGTTAGTGCGACAGTACTTTATTACAATACAAGTCGGAATAATTGTTGGAGCCTTTTTTATACAAGCGACATTTTAATATATACTACAAGATACAGCCGATACTACAATACGATAAAGAGTGTACAAGCGCGAATAGGTATATGTACAGTGGAGAAAGAAGGATGAAATAGAGAAGCTGGAGAAATGGGGGGGGGGTTGGCAAAACGCGAGCTGGGTGACAAAGAAGTATGCATGCGTGAATATGTGTGAAAATGCGTGAATAAGATGTTGTAGGCGGGCCATACTATGGGCATAATTAAGGGAGTGTATATGTAACAGAGAAAAAAAAACTCTAGCACCGTAAGGTTACTTTGCTTCCGTTGTTGCCTTGGCTTGAAACTGAAGATTGCTGCTTCTTTGACTTCCACCAACCCTCAAAGTCGGAGGCCTTGTCGTCTTGTTTAAACTTGCCCATTCGACGCTTCCAAGACAAGCTAAGGGACGATTTTCGAAACAGGAACAATGGCTTTTTAGGCGATGAGGGTGTTTTCGGCGTTGTCGGTTGAGGTTGGTGCTGGTGATACGGCCTGTCGCACAAGGTTGATGGGCGGAGAGAGGTAGAGGAAGATCGGAGAGTTTCACGAAGGTGCGATAATTTCTGCTCATATTCGCGTAATTGATAGAGGAGAGCAAGATTGGGACTGATGCCCGGCGCCTGCGCCTTGACATAGTCATATGCCTCTTGCATGGGGAGTTTCATGGTCTTCATGATGTAAGCGATAATGACTGTGGCTGAGCGAGCAACGCCACATTGACAATGGACAAGGATGGTATGTCCAGCGTCACGTGCTCGATCAATGGCTGCGATGGCTGCGTCGAGTTCATTTACGAGGTTATCTTGGTTGTGCTTCCACGGTAACTTCTTGTATGCCATGTTTTGCTTTTCGCATAATGTGTTCAGTGTTGCCAAGCGGTTGCTGGTGCTAGTGCCATGGCTGGTGTTGTATAGCGAGTCGCAAACTGAGCCAATTGACGAAACCGATGCCTGTCGCTGCTTCTTTGCCCCTGGTAGTAACAGGGTATGCTCGTGTTTGTCGAACCATCTCGGAGAGGATGGGTGCTGCTCGAGCGGTGTAATTGTGTGAAGGCTGGATGCAATGCTGCTCGCGGTCGACGCGCGCGAAAGTGACGGGGAGGGCATGACGCTGCTGCTTGCAGGACGTTCAAACATGCTTTCAAATGAGACGAATTGGCGTTCCTGCGGGTGCACCACTTCCTCTGCAACGTTGAGCATGCAATCGATTGAAAGGCGTCGTAAGCGATCAAGGTCAAGAGCGTTGTCTTCGGCGCCCAGGTATAAGTGTGGCATGATTTGCAGCGGGCCATGTTGATAAGGGCCTTGCTGCTGTTGCTGTTGCTGTTGCGGTTGCTGTTGCGGTTGGTTTGGCGTCAGGTCGAACTGCATTCGATTTGGTGTGGCGGGAGCTGATGCAAGACGCGCCGAGTCCGACAAACATAGCGAAAGATTTTTGTTGTTTCGGCGACGGCTTGCTAGTCCGGAGGAAGATGCGCTGGCGGCGAAGGAGAAGGGTCTTTGCGGCGAAAGGCTAGTTAAGACTGGCGTGCTGGATGTGGCAAGCGGGGCCGTCATTGTTATGGTAAAGTGGTGGCGAGGAATGTGGGAAGAAAGAGAGAAGGGCGGGTAGGGGCGGATAGATGCTGTCCTGTTTATATATACATCCGTATTTATATAGTAAGCTCTGAAGCGCTTATGGTAGTGGATGCCGTTGTTATTACAGGGCGAAATGAGGGCGGAACCACAAATCAAACGACATTAATTAAATGGCCAATCAGATGACCGATGTCCAAATTGGACATTGTGTGTACCACTGGGTTCCAGACCTCCGTCCCCACCCCCCCCCCTCCTCCCCTTTCTCTATACTCTTAGTAAAACACCATAACGTAATGTCACAGGGAGAGAAAGAACCGCGCGAATTTGTTTTTACCAATGAGCCTTTCCTTTCTTGTGCTCGTCATACAAACGAAGCCTTCCTACCACTCTCTTCCCCCCCCCCTTTTTAATTATTGCCAATCGTCGGCTTTTTTAGATCCTTCGTTTGCTTCGATAAAAGAGCTGGAGCCGCCAATCAATCAGTCAATCACAATGGTTGGCCGTTGCTGCGAGTCATTCCCGCGCATTCAATGAGGAGGATCTACTTGTTAACATCACCACGCATCCGCAAAAGCTGGGGCCTGCGCACCAGGTAAACCTTCTATCCCGTCTTGTGCGTCTTCCTCTTCATCAACAAGCATCATCATCGGCAGCCAGCAGACATGTCCACAAGATCTAATTTGATGCGTGCTGCTAAAAAGAGTAAAAAGTAATTTGATGCACCCTTATTATGTTATCATACGCCCGTTCGGCTGCAACCAAATCAACTCCAACTTTTGCTTAGCCTTCTTTTTGTTTTTCCGGTTATTGATCGCTAGGCCGCCCAATCAATCGATCAGCTCCTTCTCCCTTTCCCTCTCCCTCTCCCTCTCCTGCCTTGTTGTCTTGCAATGTACTTTTCTTGCCAGACTAAGAATAGCCTGCCTTATTTTTGTATAACCGCTCTCTCTCTCTCTCTCTCTGTGCCAAGACGATCAGCAACTGCCTGCCATGAAGGAGTAGCAGTGCATATCCATTTCTTCGGTTCTCTCGGGATTCCTATCCTGTCGGTGTTTGCTTGAAATATAACAAATGCAATACTCCTTCCCGCTGCCATGCGATATTGAGTTCATCCGACGGAATGAGGATCTAAAAACAGCCACCTTCAGTTCTATCGTAGTACTGGCAACTTGTTGTTGTTGCTCAGATATATTATGCGTTTTTAGTCTTATGCGTGTGCGCCACACAATAATGGTGCATGCATAAACATCTTTAAGCAGTGATAGTAGTATGATGGTCCGAGTACTACTGCAATACCGCCCGACACAACACAATCTTAATGTCAATCGATGAAGCCGCTGGCTTATTGAAAAACGTCAGCTTTATGTCATTGATATCACATCTATCGATATTATTAATAAATGTAAATACTTTTTGCTGATCATCTTTTAGAAAGTCTCAACCATACTATGAAGAATGCTAAAAATATGTCACTTTCTAAAACAAATCTTTGTAACAACAACAACAACAACATGCCATATCAGTCGGTATTCCTTAGTGCAGTATTCAACCTCTCCTTTAATTCATCCATTTTCTTCACCAACCAAGCCCATCAACAAAATAAGCCAAGGCACTACCAGTTGTTTACCGGTCCGCTATCTATCTCGTTGTTTTACTGGAAATAAACAGAAAGCAATGAAATTCTATAAGCAACACACTGTGTGACCCAAACTTGTTTTTTTTTTTTTGGGTTTTTGTGTACGTGTGTGATACCCTAATCTCCTTATGCCTAACTTGCTTCCACCTTCTAATTCAATATAACACACAAGGAGAAAGTCGTGGACGTTGCTGAACAGCGTTCGTTGATTACAAAGTGAAATGCTCAAATGTAGCTGCTTAAAGTATTGGAATTTAGAGATTCGACAAAAAGCGTAAAAAAAGTTTTCTTGTGTTTCATGTACAGTTTTCTTTTTAATAATCCATCAATGATAACGAAATGGTAATATAGCCAATGTATGTATGTACGTGTGATGTGAATACAAGCCGACAGCACATCAAGCTACTATGTACAACAAGTTCTTGTCGAGTTTGTGCCATCTACCGGGCATCCATGCTCTCGTGGACGCGTGTGGCATTCTTCGGTTCTTGAGACGAATCGATTCGTACAGAGTTGGGAGCACGCGGTTCAACACGACCAAGTCCTTTAGGCAGACGCGATTCGGGGTGATACTCATCAAGGGTCTTGTACATGCTGTTATCATCAGCATTTGATGTGGCTGTAGAGTTCTGTTGTTCTTCAGAGGCAGGGTCATTGGGATCGAACTCGTCTACAGCGCTGTTTAATATTTGACGGAAAAAAAACATTCTTTAGTTACTAGCGTATATTATAGTGCAATGCGCGACCCACTAAATCAAAGCTACTTACGTTTGAGCGTCAATAAGATCGCCCCAACCTTGTCTAGTCTTTTTCTCGTTGTTGCTAAAAAGATCAGAGTAAGAGAATCCACGTCAGTAACCCTGAAAGTATGTACCGTGAACAGATAGCATGATGGCAAGTGTTTCTTACTTGTAAGTAAAGTCACTTTGGCGATCCTGCACAGGTGGCAGCTCTTGCTCTTCCTGTGCTACTAGGTTGCTCTCATTCCCTTGGGATTGCACCCAGTTATCTTGCATGCCGCGATCAGGACCTCTCTTTCGATCAGGTGGGGAGGCTACACAATTCCAATTAAATTTCTGCGTCTACCGAAAGCCTTCTCTCACTCACTCACTCTCTCTCTCTCTCATGATCTCACACGCATAATATATATAACAAAAAAGCAACCATTTTAATTTCTACCTGCAAGACCGAGTTGAGCTTTCCGCTGTTCGTTACGCAGCTGATGTCTTGTCATTGGTCCAGAATCATCCGTATCATCTTCTTCGACCTTAGTATTGCCGAGTTTATCGATCTTTGTGTTTTCTTCGCCAATGATGGGGTTGGGATCGTATGCAGACATGATGTATCAGATGTGGCACTGGTTAAAAATCTTGTGAAATTGAAAAGAAAGAAACGTTGATGCCTTTTGTGCGTGGGTTGTCCATGGGTTTTTTATACTCTTAACGCTGCGGCATGAATCGCATGTTTCATCACAGTGACGGCAGTTGCTACGAGTCGGCATTTTTGGAAACCCGAAGAAAAATCAAAAAAAGCGTATGATGTGGCCCGTTTCGGAAAATCTTGTATCCCGGTTACCGCATTACTTCATTCAGGAACTGTAGGTGTGAGAAAAAGCTTTCTCTTTAAAACGCCACGGCTCCTTGGTAGCAGTTGCTGCTCGCTTTGTGTTCTTTTCCCCATTATTTATCTTTCCTAGGCAGCTACAGAAGTATGATACCATCGCGTGCCTTTCGACTCCTTGCACAGCAGCAGCGAGCCACCCAATTCGCGCCTCGTCTGTTCTTTTCGACAACGCGGCTAGTACAGCAAGAGGACAAGGCCAAGATACTGGAACAGTGGCGTGATGCTATCATCAAAAAGAAAATCGTCGAAAAAGACACAATTACGGCGTCGCAGTTTAATCTTATGGGCAACACGATGAATGATCCCATCTACCGGAACGACCGTCTTCCGTCGGTCGGCACCGCCTTGCCACCTGCTTGGCACCTGGCGTATTTTCCGCCTCGCGTTACAGAACAAGAGCTATCGTCGGACGGCTACGAGCAGGACTGGAAACCGCCCTCACCGTTCCATCACCGTATGTGGGCCGGGGGCGAGTTGGAATGGAACCCAGACAATCCGTTGCGTGTTGGTGACGAGGCTCATATGGAATCATCGATACGTGATATTCAGTTTCGACCAGCAGGTCGTCGTGGAGATTCGGTGTTTATTTGGGTGGATAAGCGGATTAGTAACGAAAAGGGATGGGTTATGACCGAGTCGCGATGCTGGGTCTATGTGCAGGCCACAGACAAGAAGTCCTCTTCATCCGAACAGCCAGTTGCCTCCAAGCCAAAGAAGCCAACAGCAGGTAATGTGATTTTCATGCGCAGCGGGAAATAAAAAGAGAGTTGCAATTAATCATGCTTTTTTGTATTTCTCAGAATTACCAAAAGCAGATTTCAGCTTGAACTTGGTACCCTCGCCTATCTTATTGTTCCGTTTCTCAGCTCTCACGTTCAATTCGCATTTAATTCATTACGATCACATTTACTCGACCACCGTGGAAAACCACCGTGGATGCTTGGTACATGGCCCTATGTCGTTTATGCTCATGATAAACGAGTTGAATAAGCATTTGAAGAAAACGGATGACACTCAGTATATCAAGTCCTTGTCCTACCGATGCCGAGCACCACTTGTTGTCAATGAACCAATCCAGGTGCAAGGAAAGGTTAAATCCGATGAGCCCGGATATTATGACGTATGGGTAGCAGATCAAAACGGCAACATGGCAGTCAAAGGCACGGCGATTGTCGGAAGACTCGGGGGATAATCGTCTTTACGCTTTTTATTTCCGTTCCCCTGGAAGAAAAATTTGTTAATAATTGAAAAAATGGTTAATGACAATAGCAATAGCAGTAATACAGACCTGAGACGAATTAATGTTGGATAAACAGGGGTGGAACAGGTGCAATATTAGGTATCATTTTTATTGATGAGGACCTAGTATAAATAGTAGACGTGTACGTCGTTGTTCATGGCGCAGTAGACGGAATAAAGGGGGCGAGAGAGACGAAGGTATTTGAGTTAGAGATATGAGATAGAGGATAAAAGAAAGGACATTTGAAAGGGAAGGAGAACAGGTGGAGTACTAGAATGGAAGAGAAGGAAGATAAACAAAGAGCTATGATACAGCACTATCAATATACAAAGAAAAAGAAGAGGTAACGGGGTAAGAGAAGAAAGTAAAGATAGAGATAGTGAAAGTAATTTTGAGTTTTACTACAAACACAAAGAGGATGTATTAGCAAGGGGTGTTTTTCTAATGTGCATCCTCGATGTGATCAATTTTCTGAACCTTGCGATCGGTATCGTCAGAAAACGAATTATTGCTGCCGTCGGACGAGCCAGCCGAGCCGTGGGCCTCCTCAATTTCGTTGGATTTCTGATGTTTTTGTTGGTCAAGGTCTCTATGTGTGGTCTCGGGCATGCACAAGACCACGAACAGGAAAAGCAAAAAGTTGATAGCGGCAAAGACAGTGAAGCTGTAGTCGCCGAGGTTGGCGTCCTGATAGGGCCAAACGGTATTAATTACAAAGTTGAACAGCCAGTTCGAAGCGTTGCCCAATGCGGAACCGGGGGGTAGAGCGACGAGAGGAATAAGTTCGGGAGCAATAAGCCATGGAATGACACCACAGCCCATACTGTAGGTGAAGGTGAAGAGAATGGCGGCAGTAATGCTAAGTGGTGCGAGACGTTGGGTTCCATCGTCGGCTGCGGAACCAATAACGAGGAAAACGGAAGCAATGGTCATACCCAACGTTGAAATCATCATGAAGCCCTTGCGGCCAACTTTATGCATAGTGATGACGGAAATGAAGGTGGCGACAATATTGGCAGTGGCATTTGCGAGGGAAATGTTTGTTGCTAGTTCAACGTCACCACCAAAGATCTTGGAAAGGAAACCGACAGAGTAGACTGGAACAATTGATAAACATTTGCGTTATTAGCGAAATTACATCTAGAAATAACAATAAGCCAGCAAAGGATGTAGTAATGTATTTACCTGACATGGGACCAATACCACCAATCTGGTTAGAGGCCTGCAAAACCATGACGATGATAACATTCCAGGTAATTGTTCTGTTCTTGACGAGGATAATGTCAAGGATAGACATTTTCTTAGAACCAGAGTCGACTTCGCGCTGACGGGCATCCAAAAGAGCTTGGAATTCGTTATCGATGTCGGCACCTTTGCGAAGACGTCGCAGGGAGTCTCGGGCCTTGTCAGCTTTGCCGTCAGCACACAAGCGACGGGGACATTCCACAGTAAGGAAAAGCAACATGAAAAGTTGGATGGCGGCAATGATGGTAGGGATAGCCCAGAGTACACGCCAAACGGGAGGATAGCTCATATAGCGACCAGCGACTTGAGTCAAGAGAATACCGAGGTTCAGAAAGAGCTCAAACAAACTACCAAGGGCACCACGACTCTTTTTTGTTGAGATTTCTGAGACGTAGATAGCGACCGAGGAACCGCACATACCGGCACCGATGCCGACAAAGGCGCGACCAACAGAGTACTACATAAATCTAGAGTTCAGAAAGAACGAAAAAAATGGAAACCGACGCGTATTGACAAAAGGAGACGTCTTTCTCTTTCTGTCTATGTTTGCGAGTCGTACCATGCCGATATTGATTGATACAGCAGATAAGATGCCGCCAAGAATGAACCAGCCGCAGGAAATCATAATGTTGAGGCGACGACCGAACCAGAGGTTGAGATAGGTAGTAGCCAGACTGCCTACGAGACCACCAAGAGCGAAAGCGCCAACGGTGAAGCCCTAATATTTAACGAGATTATCGATACTCGTCAGTGACAAAGAAAGTCAAATATTATATAGACCACAGTCTCTATTTCTCAATAGATGTTTATCTATTCAATCATTTACCCTGTAAAAAAATGTAAAACAAGTCAGAAGATAAGTCAAAAATAAGCTGCCATTACGACGAAGTCAATAAGAAGAGTGCCTTACCAAGTAAATTCGGTCATTGGTAAGCAAGAAGGAAGACCACTGAAATATTCAGTGCCTTCGGTACAGCCGATGATTACTTGCTGTGGCATGTTGGGTACACCTAATTGTCATGGTGATAGAGATTTAGATGATAAGCAAAAATCAAGGCAGTATAAGAAGCGGAAACTAAACGTTAGTAATCAGGATCTTGTCACTTACTGATATGCCATCCAACATTTAAGCCTGACAGAGCAGCTATCACGGCGCAAAATGTCATGTATAGAGGAAATCCAAGATCCTCGGACCGGTTATGGGGATTTTGATTGACCATTGGTATACAAATAGGGTAGTGACACTTGTTTACAAGCTTTCAGAAGAGGAGAAATCCGGATATTAAACCGAGATAACGATAAGATTTGTTTTAAAAAGCAAAAATGTAAAAAAGATGCCAGCATTTTATACCTGGGCGGGCTGCCAAGTACTTGCTACTTTGAGTATACCAGTACACTCCGAATAACCACATGTGATTCGTCCATCTACATAGTATATTGGCACCCCCGCCACCCGTTATGGTGTTGGCCCCCCACGACCCACGTTGCTCGAGCACTCACATATACTTCTCTATGTACCGCCACTTCTTTTCTAGCAAGTTTGTTATCTTATCACGCAGAAGGAGATAAGCGGAACTTTGGCACTTTATACAGCCACCATGGCGATATATTTTTCCTCATTGTCGAACTTCTCTTTGGCCAGCTCGAAGAGATCGTGATGTGTAGCGTCGTGTGAATTATACCGGTACTTTTCCCAGTGAGGGATGTGCTGTGACACGTCAGATCTCATGTCGTCATACGAACACGCGCTTAAAAGAAAAATTATCCATAAAAAATTACGGGGTGGGAAAAGGCACACTTGTTGCCCAGACAAATGGACATTTGCAGTAAAACTAAAAACCTGAGATTCTCTTTATTCTTCCATAAATGTAGTTATATCTCTACTTTTTCGAACTTTTCAAGATAGTCTATTTTCCGTGCAAGAACGTTTATTTTCTCTTACACGAGAAAAGGAAGTGACTGTGGGAGACAAAGTTGCTATCAGAATCGTTGCTCTTTCTCATCGTCCCAAGCTAAAAGAAAAGCGTACGGGTAAAAGAATATACAATGGACGTTTTTTGTGACTCAGAGCAATACTAGCAGTGTCTAGGTTTCATATAATTGAGTGCCACATTTTTAAGAAGCCCTCGTATGCAAGTGGCATGTATGGTAAATGAAAAGATGGGGCAGGTCAGGTTGTCAGTATGATATTGCTATCTACTAAATCATCTCATTCGAGCCAAAAACTGCATCGTTCTGCAATGGAATTGTCGCTATAAGGAATAGATTCACCAGTTCATAAAAAGGTGGGGTGGGAAAAGGCCCACTTATAGTGAAATGTGTCCATAAGAAGTAGCAAATATATCCAAGCGGCCACTATATCCGCAGCTTTTCAAAGAAATACGTTGCCTTTTTTATGCACTTGTGGGCAAACCGCTCGTTCCAAAAACAACTAGCGTGGCCAAGAAAACAAAAAGTTACTCTTTCCGGATTTGTCATTTTAAAAGATGGGGTAAAAGTACGATGTGCCAGGATGATGCCCACAGGCTTGTCGTTCGTATTGGATAATAAGGTTTTTTATTACTTGTAATGGATTTATTGCTCAATAAACAAGTGCAACCAGCGATACCCAATGAAACACTTACCTAACAGCCTCGTACACCTGCTGTACGGAACTTTCATCAAAAACCGATGCAGAGGCTTTTTTAAGTGCGCTGGCCATTGGATTCTACCGCTATATCAACAGTATATTTCGTAGCTTTCATCAGATGATGGGTGGATGCCCAACTTCAAACGTTACATAGCAATCGTCGTTTCAGATATCCAAGTGCACATGTCAAGGTACAATTGATATAGATAACTCCTTGGATACCAGTGCACATCATGTTTCACCGAATACTGTACCCCTGTCACAAAGCCAAATTGTCAGAAGAAGCCCTTTTGTTATAAGTGAGCAACGACTGTTGCTTTTAAAGAGCTATATATGGATTCTTTCCGGGAAACGTGCACATATTAATCTTTACAACAGCAACCCGCTCAGATCACATCAACAAACAAGCGGAAGTAGTGGGTGAGGGAGTAGATGACGAAGCCTGCCTTTCGTTTTAACATGTCGGAGAACGCATTTGAATCACACTGTTTTAAAAAAAGAATCACTCGTTAACTTCCGCTCCGCCAATGCCTGGGTGCTGTCAAAGCTCATGCACAAGAAACTTCAGTAATCATAGTAGGACGTGCCCGAATATTACCATCATGAGTAAGAACCAATAAGTTTTGCCGGTCATTTTGGCCTAGCATCATCTTCTTCGTTATGATACATGTATGATAGCAGCTATTGTCATCATCTAGTATGCATCCGTTTACCCTAAAGTCAAGTAGTACTGCTGCTCGTACCATACAATGGATCTACAGACGTACTCATTTACCCAACACCGCCAAGCAATCGCCTGGGTGTACTCAGCCCCGACACGCGCTACTTATGGTCGCGCATTTAGTTGTGTTTTCCCATTAGGTTTTTGAACGTTAAAAGGATGCGCCCAACATTCATCGTACTGCCTTCTTATGGTAGAAACACGACCGAAGTCGAATTCTCCTTCGTCCAACAAAGGAGCGATTACTACTTACCATTCCTCTATAATATAGTCTTATCGGCGCGCCCCGTGCCACCGCTAGCTTGGTATTTGAAGCCGCCTACGTCAATACACTGCTACTATGGATACAGGGCAGTACGTAATATGAAGCTGAGTGATATAATAGTAGTTTCTGATCGTGAATTGTGCCCCTAGTTCATCGCTCTCCCAAAAAGTTACGGCGCTATTTGTGAAGATTGATATTGAACAATAGGAACTTAAAAGGATGTGCTGCAAAAATAAATGATTATTCATTGGAATTATGGATTTTCTGGATCCAGAAGCATCTGAAACCCAGTTTCAAAATGCAGCTGCTAATGGATATCAACCCAACGTTATCTACGGACCGAGGTGCGGCGTTTCGGTGTCGAATGGGTTAAAGCTAATCAGTGCTTTTATATACTCAGAAAAAAAACTTTTTTTTTCAAAACTATCTAATGTAATTTACGCCATAACAGAATACAAAGAGCTTTATGCAGGCACAAATTCAGCTTCACTATATACTACATCCTATTTCAAGCTCTGGCACCAGCAGTAATGCATCAGTAATTAGTTTGCTGTTGCTGTTATGTGCGAGGAGGCCACCGAAAGAACCCCGGGAAAAAGCATTACAATTTGGCACTAACGCGTTACGGGTTTTTAAATTTGCTTGTCTAACCAAGTCGAACATGCAGAGGAGTCTCCTTTGCATACTGCCGTGCTGACCAAGTCTATATCATAAGTAATGATAGGCGTAATTTGTACTCACGAGCACCAACGACAGGCGCGGTATATATAATAAGTCAATCGTTGTCAGTTGATGGAAATGACGGTAGAGAGAATGGGTGTAGTCACAATTTTTATTGCAATGACACAGAATACATTAGGGTAAGTATATATGTCTTTTTTCTCAAGGAGGTATAAAAGGGAATACGAAGGTAGAACAGAAAAAGAAATAGGAAAAAGTGAGTAAAAGATGTGATGTTTGTGTGGGAAACGAAAAGATAAAAAAGATAAGGGCTATCATACATACACTATAACAAATATACAAGTATAGCAAACTATTACTAACTAATAGCGGAAACGAGGGGAAAAAAGAGATGGGAACTGGGATGATGAAAGTGATTTTTGGGTTGTTCTCTTTACAAATAATTATAAATGGACTAGTTTTGGAGAGAAAAACGTGTTCAAGGAGAGGTCTACTAGTATATCGGTAAACTTATTCTTCTTGTTCTCGTATCATTAAGGGCAATTACTTGGCCTCTTCAATATGCTGTACCTTTTCGGATTTGGGATCGGTATCAGAGAGCGAGTTGGACGAACCAGCCGTACCAGGAGTTTCAACGTCATCTTCTTTCTCGCCGCCGTGCTTTTGGTCAAGATCTCTATGACCAGTCTCGGGCTGGAACAGATAGAAGAAGACGAAGCCGACAAAGTTGATTGCTGCAAAGACGGTAAAACTGTAATTGCCGAGATTTTCGTGCTGCTGTGGCCAAAGGGTGTTGATAAGGAAATTGAACAGCCAGTTGGAAGCGCAACCCAAAGCGGAGCCAGGTGGGAGAGCGTGCAATGGCAACATCTCAGGGGCGATGAGCCATGGAATCGTGCCACAGCCCATGGCATACGTAAACGTAAACAGGAGAGCGCCAGTAATCACGAGTGGGCCAAGATGGTCACCAAGCACGGAACCGATAACAATAAAGATACAGGAAATGGTCATACCCATCGTTGAAATAAGCATGTAGGGTCTGCGGCCGACCTTCTGCAACGTGATGACACAAATAAGCGTGGCGACGATTTTGCCAGTAGCGTTAGCAAGTGAGATGTTGCTGGCAAGCTCATAGTCATTGTTGAAAACACTGGCGAGGAAGCCGACAGCATAAACTATAGTAGATTAAATTAGGATGAGTTATTACATTCTCCATGTCTGTATTGCTGAGACTATCATAAGTAGAAAGATGCTGATTTTGGTTTGGTTGCGTACCTGACAATGGACCAATACCACCAACTTGGTTATAGGCCTGTAACATCATTACGATGATAGTGTTCCAGGTGATATGACGGTCCTTGACGAGAATGATATCAAGAATAGACATCTTCTTCATGTTGGATTCCACTTCACGCTGTCGAGCATCCAATAGATTCTGGAATTCATACGTAATATCGGCACCTTTTCGGAGTCGTTGCATAGCTTCTCTGGCCTGCTCGGTTTTACCATCAGCACACAGACGGCGGGGGCATTCGACGTTGAAGAACACCATCAAAAGGAGCTGGATGGCGGCAATGATGGTAGGTATGCCCCACAGCATACGCCAAACACCAGCATCTTTCATATAACGACCGGCAACTTGGGTCAAAAGAATACCAAGGTTTAGGAAAAATTCGAAAACGCTGCCGAGGGCACCACGACTTGACTTTGTTGAGATTTCGGAAACGTAGATTGCAACAGAGGAACCAGCCATGCCTGAACCGAAACCAACAAGCGCACGTCCTACTGAGTACTATAGAAGCAAAATGATAATAGGACGAATCGTATCACGTGTATCAGTGTTAAAGACCATAAAAGGGTTTGACATGCGCATAAAAAATACCCGGTATATTTTCGGTTTCATGTAGTACGTACCATGCCAATGTTGACTGCACAAGCAGATAAGATACCGCCAAAAATGAACCAGCAGCAAGAAATGATAATGTTCATGCGGCGACCAAACCATACGTTGAAATACATAGTAGCCAAACTACCGACAAGACCACCAAGAGCGAAAGCACCAACTGTGTAGCCCTGTTATTTTTTTTTTCGTTCGTTATGTTATTGTTAGCTGAATTTGTTTCGCAGATATCAAAATTTCGAAATTCTGACAAAACTGATCAGATCAAATGATTTACCCTAGTGATAGATCCAATTTAGACATTAGTTATGTTGATCAATGGCGAAAAGTATGAGGAAATAGTGGTAAGTAGTGAAATGCTTACCAAGTGAAGCTGCTCATCGGTAAACATCCAGGGAGAACGCTGCTGTAATCAGGATCAATGCCCTCGCAATTCATGATTGTTTCTTGTGGCATGTTGGGAACACCTAATTGTTACAACACAAACATAGATAATAAGCAAAAGAAGAGCGAAAGACGTTCGAACCAAGAACAGTTTGGAGGATTTGACTTACTAATATGCCAACCGACATTGAATCCTGAAAGTGCTGCTACTACGGCACACAATGTCATGTACACAGGGAATCCAAGCTCCTCAGACCGGTTGTGAGGATTGTCTTTGACCATTATTATAACAAATAAGGTAGGTTAAGTGTAATATATGGTATCGTCGTAGCTGTTAATCTGGATATCGAACCGAGATAATGATAAGATAAAAGATTCTGTGCAAAAAAAAGGCGACGTTGCAAGATGGCCAGCCATTTATACCTGGGCGGGCTCTAAAGTACGTGCTACTTTGAGTATACCTGTACACCAGTCGGAATAGGTACATGTGATTCGTCCACTCGATCTGTATTCACATTCCAGGAAAACTACACTCTCATTCGGTACAGCCCCGCGAACCGGTAAACTCTGCGACATATGCGCGTGTGGCGGGGTATCACCCTTGTACGTAGTACTACTATTACCACTGTTGCCCCCACTGTTGCCACAGCTTCTTTTCTCCTCCCAATTTACTAGACTTCGAGCCATATATCTTATCACAGCTAGCTGATGAAGATAAGCGGAGCTTTCCATATCTCTGAAATGATAGATTTATCAAGAGATGAGTGGATGCTGTCGTGCGAAATATACCGGTACTTTTCCCAGAGGGAAAGGCACTGTGTCACGTCAATCCGGATGTCGTCATATGGGAGAGCAGGGAAGCAAAAAATTAGGCTTGTAAAATTTTAGCAGCTTAACGGGGTGGGAATTTTTACTGACTAGGCTAAAGAAGCTAAAAAAACCAAGTGCATGAAGGGGATAATAGGAAACGACCATGGGTAAATAAATTACCAAAAGGAAAAGCTAACGAGCCAGACCTTTCCTCATGTCAGCGCCTGGACAGCGACTCAGAAGATTTTTCTTTCTAAACAATGTGCATGTGTAATGAAAATATTAATAATGAGTGAGCAGTATTAGGTTGCCCCACATTGACCAACGATTTGTGGTCCAGCTAAGATGTACGTTACACGAAACTCAAATGTCTTTTGCTTCGACAAAAAAAAGACCAGCACTTAATTGGCCAAAATGCAACATTCTTGACCTTCGATGGCCATCCTAACGTGGACATTTTTACAAGAATAGAGAACTATATTGGAACCGAGGAAAATATAGTGCTACTGAATAGGTAAATTGATCACCGGTCATTACCACGGCAGGGGTGAACCGATCTTCCTTGGAGTCCAACGACACTGGATCCTTCCAAAGTGGAACTTCCAGTTGTGCTTTGTACAGAAGTTAGGTTTTGCACCGAAAGATTCGTTTGCTAAAACATTATCCATTGGAGAGATCGACTCCCTTATGTGAAAAAGAAACGATCACATTCAAATGTTTCCGCTGACGATGGGCGGACTTGGATGTAGTTATTGCTTGCAGGCGTAATATTTGGTCGGTCGGGGGACACTTTAGGCCGTCTACCACTATCATTGCAAAGACGAAAGCATCTGGTTGTAAAAGCTCGTCCGTCCCCAGGATTGTTTGCAGCTGCTGCTAGCAATGTCGCCATCTTCGGCTTTTACTTCTGCTCCTCGTCCTTGGCTTGAGCTGTAGCTACCCGACCCGCCTCGTTGTCGCTGAATGATGTGCTCTTTTGCGGGTCATTAGCATTACATCATTTACGTTGCCCATGCTTTGTTTCCCACATAAGCTAGCCCGTACATCGATTGATATGGTGAGTATGATACTTCGTAGGGCTCGGATGCGTGAGTGAATGCATGCATTTGGTCCCAGTGCGCATTGGCGTGACGGGGCCACCGAAACGTCATCATCTTCGATATTTTTCTTCGTGTCTTTGTGCACCTTGTACGAGGAGTCAAAGGTAATTCGCACACGCACATATACATACACTTACCCCGTATATTAGGTTCATTTCCCACTGCTTTGGGTTTATATATATCAATTATACATCTCGATTATATACGTCTTCACTTGGGAACCCATTCCGAGTCAAGTACACGTCGAAATAGGTCACGTTAAGTGGCAGTATACCTGTCTTTGATAAAGCAATGATGGCATATAGATAAAAGTAGCAGCTGATGTCAGTGCTAACCACAGTGCTTTTTCAGTCACTGAAATTTAACGGAGAACCACAAATACGGTATGATGGTGTGTTTGTTTTTGCAATAGCAACTAGCAATATTCCCCACCAAGTGGGTGCCCAAAAATCAACCTTTTATTTGGGCAGCAGGATTTGCAAGTAGTTCTCTACATGTACAACATCAACTTCGTATACTTTTGACAGCGGAAAATTGTTATGGAATGGGTAAGATGTGTCGGCATCTTCGTTGACTCGAAAGGGTTATTCTTTCTACACGGGTCCCGGATCTTGTGTACTACGATGAGGTTCGAATCTATTGCTTCAAAGAATGGACATTAGCAAGATGGCTAACGGAGCATTCGGTTGGACTGCTAGTAGTATGCTATTTGAAGTTGCTGAATACTATTCATAACGAATGTCAACGTGCAATAAGGGATTGTCTCTGAGATATCGATCTCTATATTAGGCTGTCGCATCTTCAAAAGGTATATTGACTAGAGCTTCTCCTGACCGATTTGAGCAAAGCATATGGTTGTCAATACTTTTTTTTGCAAAGAAGTTTTTTTGAGTATGTAGTCCGTAAAAGTTTACTACCAGACACAGACAGTTACTTTGAGCTTCGTACCACATCCATTCCAGCTCTTTGCATCCATATAATCAACTGTGCTATGTATTTCTTTATGATACGTTGTACTCCTCCTCCCTGACGTAGTATATGTCAGTAGATATTGGCAGCTAACCATAGCTGACCCATACTTGTAAGAAAAGGCACAAGCGAAAGAGTATTTGACTATTTAAAATAATTCATGTCCCTTAGCACCAGTCGTTCGATAATCACATCATTGCTAGGTCGATAAGTGTGTTCTGGTAAGGCGCATACTGGTAGCCATGGTACTTGCAGTGATTCAAACTTGCGAATATATTATATCACCCTGGATGCAGATCTACCATCTTGTGACAAAATACACAGTTCTTTATCGCCAATTCCTGCATCTATTGACGCGCATTGCAGGACACGTGAGTAACTCTCTTTTGAATCGAAAATGACAAGCACGTTGTTCTGGCAAAGTAGCAGATGGATCCCTTTGGCAATGTTGAGTTTACCTCCTTGTATATTGGCCCCCACGCATCCCAGATAGCATTTCATCCACATTTTTTTCTTCGGTTGTGGTAATAGTATAATAACATGATACGTGTCATCACCCGGATCAAACAGCACTTGGATGTTTTATTTGCCTCATTAGTAATGACCCCATAATATTAAGAACGGCCATCACCTTTTCGCTCATTATATTGATTTGGATAGCAATGCGTTCTATATACCAGATAATGACTATACTGATTGCACATGTTTGCTATAGCATCTGTTCCTTCAGCTGTTTACCACTGTTCTTTCTTGTATCTATATACCTTTCATATCACCAAACATATAAAAAAAAATGCTCACGATCTTTGTCCCGAAGGTGCACACTATCTCTTTTTAATTTGATTTTTGGGAACTGCTCGTGTGTTTTCCAAACAAGCTCGCATTCCAAAGAATCTAAGTGCGGCGAACCAAAAGTCCCCTCAGCTTTCTTGTCCATTTCTCCGATCGTCTCGGCGCCACTCCATACATATTGATGCTCACATGGAATATATCCAGCATTTGTATCGCTAAACGCTTCCTGTCGAAGAGTAGACAGGGTATTGATCCACCGAATGTTGAGATTCACAGTGCATCTTGTTATCACAACGTTTGTCGCGCGAGATCGCATATTGAATAGTTCTGGGCAATTTTTAGTACATAACTGTCTAGATTAGTGAGCCTGAAGAAAGTCTCTGTTGGCTCAAATGATATTAGTCCCTATTATTAATGATTATCCTGAAACGAATCGCTTTGATGAAACTTACCCTGCTATTCTGAGCCGTTCTCGAGAACGGGTACAGTAATATGAAGCTAGAGCTTATCTCATTTTTTGGCCTATCTTTAAGCTGCACGGCGCGCTACTTTCCAGAAAAAATAAAAACTTGCTAGGACTATCTCATGCTAAAATGTATGACAAGTAAACAAGGTCAATACTAGTGTGAAAGATTAGTTTTCTTCATGATCTCACTGTTCACCGACAGGCTTAATAGGAGCATATGCTATTTCATTGATATTACCCAAATGGAAAGGATGGAATGCGAAACGCTAATACTCTGCCACTTCTTCGTCCTATAACTATTATATATTGCTCAAAGCAAAGCGCGTTTCCTCTTCTACTGTTGTCCAGTCATTTCCCAGATTATTTATTTACTTTCATGAATAAGAAGAATATTGACGATGATATCATAGAGGTAATAATAACAAGTGAGGAGTAGGATACCCCACACTTCTTTTTTGTAGAATGGATACCCCACACTTGTATGTGACCCAACTAATATGTTTGTTACACTGAACTAAAACAGCTTGTTGCTTTGACAAAACAGAAGAAGCCGAACATGTAATTGGTCAAAACGTAATATTCTTGTCCTTCGACAGCGATCTTAACATGGACATATTTACGAGAATAGAGGACTATACTGATATCAAGAAAATATAGTGTTGTTGAACAGGGAAATTGATCACCAGTCATTGACACGGCACGGGTGAACAGATCTTCCTTTGGGTCCAACACCGGCTCCCTCGAGGTCGAATTTCCAGTTGTGCTTTGTGCAAACTAACTTATTTCCCAAAACCTGACCCCAAGTGGAGAGATCTACTCCCTTATGTGGACAGAAGCGATCACATTCGTACGTTCCCCCAGACGATGTGCGGACTTGGATGCGGTTATTGCTCACAGGCGTGATTGGTCGACCCGATAATGCTTTGGGTAGTCCATTGCTACTGCCGTTGCTGCCCGCGATAGCTGCTGCTGCCATGGAAGTAGTAGTTGGCTTGGTGGTGGTGGTAGGTTCGTCCTCTGAGCAACTGCTGCTGCTGCTGCTGCTGCTGCTACTGCTGCTACTGCAGTCATCCATCATCATCTTGTTTTTCTTTTTCTTCTTGTCTTTGTCCTTGGCCGCCGTCGCAGCTACAGCGACCATCGCGTTGTCGGTGAATGACACGCTTTTTTGGGATATAGTAGCCCCACCACCATTCACGTCGTCCGTGCTTCGGTTTCCCACACCAGTTAATCCAGCATCGATTGATCCGTTGAGTATAGTATTTCGCAGAGTCTCGGGATCCTGAGCTAATGTATCACCTCCAGCCTCAACGCGCATCGGCGCGACAGGGTCACCGAGCGTCATCTTTTGGTATTTCTTCTTTTTCTTCTTGTCTTTTTTCATCTTTTTCTTATCCTTGTACGCCTTGTACGAGGAGTCAGCACCTATATTTGCACACGCAGAGACTCTGCATTAGGTTTATTTCCCATCGATTCGGTATGGTATATATCGAATATACATGCCTTCATTCGACTCCCATCCCGGATCAACTGCCCGTCGAAGTAAGTCACGGACAAGCGGCAGCAATCCAATCACCTGAGCATAAAGAATCGAGTTAGGAGTGTGGGGAAAGAGGAGGAGGATGAGTGGCAAGCGGTGTACGTGGTATATACAATATGAGTTATATTAAGATCAGCTCATGGTAACACGGATAACTGTCAAATCCTGGGGCGCTTATGACTTACTGTCCAGCTTTGGTTTGATAATGCTCGCAAGTCCCGTACCTGTACGCAGGGTGTTTTTGTGCTGTCGTGAATATTGAAAGTATGCGCTTGCTCTCTCTCTCCCATTATTTTCTTAAGCTTACAAAATACAGCCGGTTGTTATCCAACACATCAAGGTCATGATCAATTTGTTCGTCCGTCCACGATCTTTCCTTGCCGATTTGTTCCAACAAAGTTGACGCTCGCTATCGCCATTTCAACAACATTAATGACTTCCGAAGTGTTTTTTTAATTTGGTATTCTAAAAAGCTCACTTACCATTGAATCAGGAAGTGATATCGATTCTGATTGTTGCGCAGAACCATTGCCGTTTGCGCCTTCATTCACGCAATACACAGGCAGAGAGAAAGATAGTTAAAAGGTTGTAAAACTAATGCCAACGCTTTTACTCCTTCCCTCAACTCCAACTATTGCCAATGTAATACAAACCTAAATCCAATGCGCCATCGTTCGCCATGATGTAACTTTCCAAAAGGGAGAAGGCTCCTTTGTTTTTGCCCATGAGGTTTATTTCAAAAAAGTTGTTTGATTGAGAAGCGAAAAAAAAGGACACTAAGGGAGGTAGAGGCAACTAAGAAATGTTGAGCAAAAAGAAAACACACACATACACACACAAACCTGATCCTGATTTAGAAGGCGCCAGTCTTTTTTTGCATGGCGATTGCTTCTAGGAAGGGTTTCAGCCTATTCATCTCATCTTGTCAGGCGACTCCTCGATGATGTTCCATGCTTCTTCGACTCTTACTGCGTCTCGTGTAAGCTATAAAGCTTGTCCCCCTTCCCTGCCAACTATCCAAGACTATTTCCTTGGCAAGAAGTGGCACAATGTGGTTACCATCATCTATTGCGCAAAAACACCATATCAACTGTCTGCTGTATTGTAAGGTCAAGTAAGATTTAATGCTTTGCACGATTCGCCCATATCAGTCTTTGATACTATTGAACGATGGTTCACACTCGTGTGCGCGCATCTGCGGATAGCAAGTGTGTGCATCTGACAACACCCAAACGCCTTTCTCAATCATGCCTTGTGTCCGTCCCAGTTTTCCAGTGCACAGAACTGCAACACAATTTTAGAAAAACATTATATGTAACACGCGTGAATCTGTTTAAGGGTTAAGCTAGCACCTCTCACTTCACCATTGGCAAATGGGCAATCACTGCTATCTCATCTATACACTTGGATGAAAGTTCTCTTAGTAGTCGCTGTTAAAAAAATGCAGCTGCTGCTGTGGAACCATATGCAACCTGCGAAATGACATTGACCAGGTTATCCCAGATGCTTTTGGTATAAGATACTTTTAATTAAAACATAAGACAACGAAGGGAACCGACCACGGGTCCACAACATAATGATAACATGCACATAGTAAAGAAGTAGGCTGGTTGATCACTGTATAGGATGCTAACGTAGCAGTTAAAGCAGCTTACTACATTTTTATACGAATGCTAAGCTAGATTTAGAAAACTAGGTAATGTTGCAATGCTTCCACAGCTATACAATATCTCATATTTGGCTTTTGTTGTCACTGATGAAAAATAATGATTACTTTAATATGAATTTCTCAATTAAATACAGTAGAGGAAAGTAGCAGCGTTAATAGTAGAATTATAATGCTATAAAACGGTATACACTTTTATCGCTATCAGCAAAACATTTGCATTAGTGGCCTATACTTAAATTACATAGCCCAATGCTGTGTATTTCATCAATTCAATTCAGTACTGTATTCACGGAAGATGGAGATACAATCTATTGTTGAAGATTGGAATTTTGGCTTGGCACGCCAAGAACGCAGAGCAATCTTATTACTTTTGTTTTATAACAAAAGCATTCTGCATAAACATTATGAACTTGGCCATATTTTAATCCGAGAAGGAACACACTTTTCGCACGGTATACCAAAAGACACATATCATACTACCAATGACAAGAGATGATATATACCTGAGACCCTAATGTATATAAGATGCACCTAAGCCTATGCGTAACTATATTCATGTTTGATTTTCTTCTAGATTTTCATCAGAAAACCTCCACTCGCTCAGACTACATCACATACTCATATCATACATTAGGTACAACTAATGATCATCAGAGCTTATAAACAAACCAGAAATCACTGTAGCTGATAATCACACGCTCCTTTTAAGCGTTATACACTGGATTAGGAGGACTTGGCCTGTCTGTCTGTAGCGTCACGCCAATTTATTTCTTTGATTGTCATTTGTCATAGCATCAAAATTGATTGTAATTACAGAGGCTCAAATTATTGTGGAAGGACAACTGCAATGTACTGTGCTGTGGATTACTTTAACTGAGTTTCAGCAGTCATTCTTTCGAGGTTTATGTTGTATGCCTCGCTTAGATTCACGCACACACGCACACACACGGGGCACCAATCAAGGTTACTATATCACTATCTTTATGATCGATCTTGCCATCAGGATAAGAGAACTTATACAATTCCTTTGCAGATTTGTAACGTCGCTGATAATTCGCGCTTGTGATTTGATAATATTTGATATCTTCACATGCTCTGGAAAGCTTTCAAAGGCTTTCGAATAAGCTTCAATAAGCATCAGACTACAATCTTAAAATTCCGGCGGTATCGCAATAAACGGGTCAAAAGTCCCGCAAGAACAGTTGGCGATGGGCATGTTTTATGAAAATATGAATGATGTGGTTTTATAGGGACGTCAACCTGAAAAATTGTGTAAGTGCGAAGAGGGTTGCATGACTGCACGAAATGATGCATGCTGTGACAGATTGCCGTTGGTTATCAGGGATAGGGTGCCTTCCGAGCACGCCACAGACGTGGTTTTTTAAAGTACTCGAAAATTAGCGAGTGAAAAACCAGGTGTTCTATGAATAGAGCAAAAGTTTATCGCATGCTTTTCTAAAAACCTCTTTGTATCGACTTCTTGGCGATTAATCAACACCATTCAATCGCTCCTTAGTACCTGCATGGATGGCCAGAGTCCTCTGCTAACCGTGAGTATCTACCATTCAGCTATAAAAGTATCAGCAGACACGGGAAATGATTTGAAGACGATCATAGATTGTTTGTATTTGTTTCTTTGGGAAAACATCAACGCGTAACGAGAAAGTTCTTCGACCTTGTCGCGTAACTTAGATACGTATACGCACTGTCAAAACTATCGTCTGGCACTTCGCACCTCTTTCTCACTCTTCTTTCTCGTCTTTATCTCTACCAGCAATTTATAAGTTCAATACTCATTGTTACCAACATATCGCAACGCACGGATTAAGCACCTCATCACTGACTGCTCCTCAACTGTCTCAAGTCCTCAATTCCACATCCTCAAATACACCAGAACGACGCCGATGTGGAGTAGCATGTAGCACCAACAACCAACCCTTGAAGTACGGCACTACATTATAAGATTCGCTTGCGACAATACCAAGATTGCGCAATTTACCCGGCACAAAACCCGCGAGAGCGTATAGAAAGCACTATCAGCACGTGTCTGGAACTGAGAATATTTGCAAGATACTAAAGATCTTGAAGCGCCATGGGTTGAAGCTTACACTAACTTTATCATTACAAAATTACTCAACAGCTCGAAGCAACAACATGTCCCATTTGTCACTGCCACCAAAAAAGGAATAAGTTGACTAAGTTGCTTCTGTCGGTCGCTTATGCCCATGTATATGACCTACTTACTGATGGTTTACTTGTCGACCAGAAGAAGCGTGCGGGTCATTAACCCAAATGACAGTGGCTTATTGCGATCCTGCATCACGTGGATTCGTATCTAGGTGGTGCGCTACAGTGGATCGAACTAGGAGATAGAGTGTTACGTGCTATTTGAAATGGCATCATCGCTGAAGTGGGGGCTTCAAACTTCGAGATCAATGGATTATCAAAGGCAATATTAGGCAGCTACAGTCCCGTGCCTGTTTTCTCACCGTTGTGCTGCCGTAAGACCTATACACGGTTTTTACCAGTCACCCACGCGATGTCGGTTACAAAACAGTTACCCCCCCTAAAGCCTGCTATATTTTTTGGCGCCAGCAACAGCCCCTTTAGTAAGCAAAGCAACTCAGTATCGCCCACCTGATCCACAAAAAATTGATTAATAAGGATGGCCGCTGTTGCTGTATGTTGGCAGACTACAGAAAGGCGGTCGCGACTTAGGGAGTACGACTTATTGAGTTGCTTTATAATGCGTTCCTTAAAAATTCCGTCGAAGCCCCTGGAGTACTTTTCGCTTGAAGGTACTACAGTCTCGATCAGCTTCATATTCAAGCCATTCTTCAACAATGATGATAGCAATTAAGTATGTATAATTTTTATCCTGTGGTTTGCTTTTAAAAGCGTAAAGTGCTATTTTGGTTAATAGTATAGGTTCGCTGCAGTATTCTCACTTTGATAAGAGGACTCTTTGTTCCAATCATTGCGCTCATTTATATTACACCCATGTCTTTTGATACTGTACATTAGCATACAGTAAAATTTCTACTTCCAATGCAAGAGTAGAAAAAGAGAGAAATATAAAGGTGTTCCTTTCGAGGCTAATATTGTATAGAAGACAATGCTCCTTATATCTTACATACTTATGTTGTTACGACAGCCGTTGTTGTCTATATAGCAAAATTACAAAGCAAGGGAGCTCACTTGTACATTTGATAACCCAAGGATCTATCTGTCCCCGCTCCCTCTCTAACTTCAGAAACCGCGCCAATGGATACAATGATGAATTCTATTTATCCTTTGTTGACAACCGACAAACAACATCGCAAAAAATTGCCATATTATAAAGGAGAACAGTTCGGATTGTTTAGTATTCAAAATGATAATACACACGCACGACGTACATAAAGTGTCATGCACCGATGATGATTACGTAGGTCATCGGCGTAAGTCCGCTGCTGTATAAGTAGGATTAAACACGGCTGTAAAAGGCTTTTTTGTGCCTAGCTATTTTTTCAACTTCCCCATTTCTTCAAAAGCTCAAGTGGAAACAGGAGGTAATATTGCATGGTTGCTGCTACTGTTGTTCTTCTGCTGCCACCATCGGTGGCTAGAGTTGAACCAACACAACATGTAATGCGCACTTGCATTGTATTTCTCAAGGTGCTTCGAATAATTTGTCGATCCTACTAAGATGTCATCGCGTCAAATAAACTGAATAAACGCGACTGCAACACTGGTACGTCAGCATTTTTCAGTTTTGAAGTATTAAGCACGCGTACCCAAATGATGCTTGATACACATGTATTAGAGTTCTAGTGGGGCAGATATGCTTGGCTTGCTGCCTCCGATGCCTATAACTTTCCACTTTACTGATGGGGGAGTGCGGTGGTGCTTCTTTTTTTCTACAAAAGGGTTGAAGCAGCCTATCATGTCATTCGCACACGTTCGCAGGTCAGGATGGGCTAATATGCATGATTGTTTATTTGTTTGCTTAGGTCCAATGATTTCCTTATAGAAAAGTTTTGTGTATATTTATTCTTTTAAAATAAAAGCTAAAATTAAGTTTTGACAATATTTACTAGCGAAAAAAAGAAGGAAGATGTGCGATGTACAAAGGCGAATGCAAAAAATGGTAGAAAAAGAGAAATTAACAATGATGATATATCCGTGCCAGCGGGGATGGGGAAGGGAGCAGGAAGAGAAGATGTGCTGTGCGATATTTGGAGTGTGGTGTGAATTATATGATGATTCGGAAGAAGTAGCAGGAATGTGTGGTCGATTTGGAAGGATGAATGGCTGGGGTATTACAATTCGACGTGTTTGGAAGGCACGGTTTCAATGGTGTTCAGAATGCTCAGGATATCTTCATCGTTGACATTTTTCTTCTTGTCGCACATGGCCTTGAAGTCGACAAAGGCCTTTTGGAACTCTTCTTCGTTGATTGCAGCAAAGCCCAACTCCTTGCATCGTTCCCGGAAAGCGTTACGGCCGGAATGCTTGCCCAAGACCAGAGCGATATCCGTGACGCCAACGGTCTCTGCGCTGATAATTTCGTAGGTTTGACGGTTCTTCAAAACGCCGTCCTGATGGATACCGGACTCGTGCAAGAAGGCATTGCGGCCGACGATAGCCTTGTTGGGCTGCACCATCATGCCAGACAGATCGGAAACAATGACGGAAGTGGGGAAAATCAGTCTGGTGTTGATGTTGTGGTACACCGGGAAGGCGGTGGGATGCGTGTGGATAGCCATGATGATTTCTTCCATGGCTGTGTTGCCTGCACGTTCGCCAATACCGTTGATAGTGACTTCGACTTGACGTGCGCCGTTGCGGACGCCGCTCAGGGTGTTAGCGGTGGCAAGACCCAAGTCGTTGTGGCAGTGAGTGGACCAAGTGACCTTGTCGGCGCCGGGCGTGTTCTCGACCAGATGCTTGATCAACGCACCGTATTCCTCAGGAAGGTTGTAGCCGACGGTGTCGGGAATGTTCAGGGTGGTGGCGCCGGCTTCAATGACCTTGCCGAGGACTTCGCACAAGAAGTCGGGGTCAGAGCGGCTGGCGTCTTCAGGCGAGAATTCGACTTGGGGTACCAACGAACGTGCAAGCGTAACTGCGGCCACTGCACGCTTGACACACTCTTCACGGTCGATCTTGAGTTTGTGCTTAAGATGGATGTCGGATGTGGCCAAGAAAGTGTGAATGCGGTGCTTGGGTGCGTCTTTGATAGCTTCGGCGCAGCGCTTGATATCGCCAGGAGTGGCACGGGCCAAACCGCAGATGGTCTAATGAAAGTTACACGTCGTCAATCAGCTTCCGGTTTACCAGCTTTTCGTCCACTACGTTCCTTCCACATCCAATTATACACTAAATACTTACCATAGGCTCGCCAATGTGCTCACGACCCTCCATAAGGGGACCGACTTCGCGTGCGATCCGCTGAACAGCTTCGAAATCGCCAATGGAAGCGATGGGGAAACCAGCCTCAATGACATCGACGCCGAGACGTGAAAGTTGCTTTGCGATTTTGATTTTTTCTTCCGTGTTCAGAGAGACACCAGGAGACTGCAGGGAAAAAACGATAAACGTTTTAGTGCTTTTTTTCTTTCCTTTGGCCACATTTCTTTTATTCGCATTAAATTACCTGTTCTCCGTCTCTCAGAGTGGTATCGAAGACGATCAGGCGTTCCTTGTCAGAGTGTCCGTTGGAGATGGGCATAATTGATATGTAGTAGTAGTAGCAGCAGCAGTGGTTGTGGTTGTGGTGAGTAGAAAGGAAAGCTTTTCCTTGTGGTGGATAAAAAAGAGGCTAAAGTGTCAAATGCAGTGCAGGTCTTTGGGCACTTTCTGATCTACCCTTTTATAAGGCATTGGTGCGTCGCTATGACAAATACAGGCGACCAATGAAATTGCCGGATCAGACCTTAAGCAAAAATGATTCACGATCATCCATTGGATATCGACTGCCCGGGTCGGCTAAATCTTGGCTGGGCTTGACTCCCATTTGCGGGATGCTTTTTCTTATTCTCACTAACGCTTTGCTTGTACATGTAATCTCTTTTTCCTTGAATCTCATTGTGTAGCCATTGCGTATACACTTTGGTTCTGTGGTACCTGTATTTTATCCGGCTTCGCGCGCATTTGCCCAGCTGCGACATTGATACACAGATCTTACATGTGCTATCGTTGTTGCATTATGCTTTGTGTGCATGAGAAAAACATACCATATCATAAAAAGAGAAGGAAACCCCTGCATATGATAAAGTTGTCGGCGTCAGTTCCATTTCGATTTTCCTCTTTTGTGATTTTCGCTGTTTGACCAGCACCCGGTCTAATATATTAGTGAGCAACTCATTTGGCTGCTAATCTTCTACGACGTAAAGACCCTGTGTAAAAAGAATAATAGGCTTATTGCACCATGGCTGATAGACTTTCAGGCAGAAGAAAGCGCTGTCTTCTTTTGAGGAGCACCAACCCTTTGGAAAACGGGGTTAGGTGGGGCTGGCCTCTTCTGCGGTATTGCGTGTGTCTATTTTCGCACGCACGCACATCACATATTTCTAACCACCCCGCTGTGCGCAAAGCGAGCTACAATCGAATGGGCCGAGTCGACCTATTCGAAAATATTAGTAAGTACACTAGTCCATGAGGAAAGGTTCATAAAACCGGCTGCCTAGTAACAAATCAACTAGAGAAAAGAGGAGCACAGTGATAGCGCCAATCTGTTGCCACCCTTTGTTGGTTAGGTCTGGAACGGCCCTGGTGGTAATACTATGTAGTGGATGGTGATGACGGTGGTGTACTCTTGCATTGGTGTTGTCGGTGGGTAACAAGGACGTACTGTATACTATACGTACATATGCAGCATACATATGCAAGTAATATAAGTGACACAGACAGGACACCTTTTCTGACATCGTGCTATCAACAGAGCACCCTATTATTAGCTATCAGTTTAGCAAGAGTTATAGTAGTAGTGCTAGTAGCTAGCAGCAGTTAGTTAGCAGTACCGGTGAAAGGGAAACAGGTACTATTATCATCTTTAATGTTGAATGTCCTACTCTTCAGCCAGAGCCCCCCTTACTGCTATGAAATAAGGAGAAGTTATTCTTTTAACGTGAACAAACCAACTCAATGCCTATGGATTTGTATTCTTTGTAGCTCTCTTGTTCTTTTGAACAAGAAAAGAAAACCTCCCTCGTGCCCCTAATATTGATCTCTCATTCCTACTCTCAGTATGTCCGTCCTCGCTCGCGCTCACATTATTTGCTTTTGTTTAAAGCTCCAATTCATGCCCCCATCGTATTGTTTCTCCACACGCACCTCTTTTATTTATTTTTATTTTTATTTGCCTCCCTCCCTCCCGCTCTCATCCTTTTTTCTCTCTCTCTTTTCCCGTGTGCGACTTTTTACGTATCTCTTTCCCTTCCTTTCATTCATCTTCTTTTCCATTTGTTTGTGTTTCTGGTAAGTTTCTATTCATTTTACAACCAAAGCGAAGCATTAGCCGAAAGACGTTGAACTGACATGTATTCGATGTTTATTACCAGTTTTGCCTGTTAGACCTGCCTGATTAGATTTCCCTCTTTCTCTCTCTCTCTTCTTCTCTATCCCCTTCCTCAATCGAATAATAATAGATACCACATACTACAAACACCAGAAAGAAAAAAAAAAGAAAAGAAAGATGCTCGCCCAAAACTCGTACCAGCGCCGAGCTTCATCCCCAAACGACTCTTCCTCCGAATCTGCCGTTGAACAACAGCCAGTCCATCCATTGCGTCCTAATACTCCCACTGCTTCTACTTCTGCATCTTCTGCTGTCGGTGTGCGCCCAAACCGCATGAATAACAACAGTCGCACTGTCAGTTTCCGACCTGCCCGGTTCATCAAAGCTGCTCCAGCACCAGCCAACCCTGAGCATGTATCTGAGGACATGAAAGGTTTTGTTCAGGCATTCGATAACTACAGTCAAAAGGTCTATATTGAAGGCTACTTGTTCAAGCACAACACCAGCGAGAGCTCGCGGACACGTTGCTTTGCAGAACTTTCCGGATCAACCTTGTCAATGTGGGACGCCGAAGTCCAGTCTCAGCGAGTCATGCCGCAGTACACGATCATCTCAGGCGCCGTTGTCGAGCAACAAGACAAGCGCATGTTTGTGCTGCACCTCATGTCGACGAAAAAGCAGCAGACGATCCAACTCGAAGCGTCGGACGAGTCGACGTTGATGCGATGGGTGTGTGCCGTGCGACTGGCTTGCTTTGAAAAGAAAAAGCTTCACTTGATGTTTACCCAGAAGCTGCTGTTGCAACATTTCGACCCAGCTGCAGACATCCATCACAAATGGGAGGCGCAATGGCAAGTATCTATGCCGGGAGGCGACTGGCAAAAGCAGTATATCACTCTCGAACCAGCGCCGGGCCAGCAGCAACAGCAACGTAGCACCAAACTGTTTGGCGGTAGTGGCAGCAAGGCAGCTGCAATGTCGGGCGGCGAGCGCCAGTTGGTCATCATGGATAACAAAAAGTCGAAATCACCAACATTGACTATGACAGCGGTCACCCATGCCTACGCTATTTATCCCGAACTTCCACAATTGATCGACAAGAGCTGCATCATGCGCATCGACGGCCTTGTGTTAGGTAAAGGTGCCAAGCAACCTGAAGAAGGCCATATCTTGCTCATGGCCGATAACTGCCAAGACATGTCCTTGGGCTTGTTGGCAATCTTTGATGCGTACAAGCTGCACGGCCGACCTCAGCAGCTTTTTACGGACCCAACAAACGAACATTCTCTCAACTATGGAGACTCTGGATCACCTCGTCTGTTTTTGGAAACAGATGATGTCGTGTTGGCTATGGACCGACTCAAGGACAGCAGTGATGGCGGCAGCAGCAGCGGCAGCAGCATCAACAACACCACCATTTTTATGGAGGCCTTGCATAAAAAGCTCTCCGAACCGATCCGTCCACCTGGGGGTATGCGTGCCAACAGTCTTCCCTTGATCACTGTGGCCTGCGAAGACGGGACCTCGTCAGTTGCCAGTGCGACCACATCTTTGCCTTTGCGCCAACGCTCTGCATCTGCAGGCATGGTCTACGATAGTGACGACGATAGCGAGGAAGATGATGAAGCTGGACAATCACGTGCTGCTACACGTCGTCGCCCGTCCAGAGACCCTCGATACAAGTTTTCGCGGCAGGTCGCTGATTCGAGTGATGAAAGCGAAGAAGAGGACGAGGAGGATGAAGATGAAGAGGAGGAAGAAGCAGACAGTGACGACGAACCGATTGCGAAAACCAAAAGCAATCTTGCATCGCGTGCTGGTTCCACAGCCGGCGTGTCAACATCTAACAAATCCGTGGCGGATTCGCTGATACCCGACTTTGACTTTGGTAACGGGTTCGATGTGTCTCGCTCCACAAGTGCTCTTTCCAGCGCTTCATCCCCTTTGCTAGAAACACCAAGTGAAGGTGATGTCATGGCTCTTAGCACTAGCAGTAGACAAGGTTCAATTGCTTCCACCTCACATAAGGATCTGTCGCATCAGCAACAACAAGCACAGCAGCAGCAGCAACAGCAGCAACAGCAACAGCAACAGCAGCATCAGCAGCAGCATCAGCAACAAGAAGCATCGTCTTCTCTTTTTGGAGATTTTTCATTGTCCATGGATTTTGGAAAGTACATGGAGCAAAAGTCGTCGTTCTCGTCCGAGGCTGCACGCAAGTATTCGTTGCCCGCGAATGTCAAGCTCTCCGAGCGAGAGTCTGTCGATCGCCAATCGGGTGGTGGAAGCAGTGCCAGCAGCTACTTTGGTCATCTATCGCCCTCGGTTGACTATGCGCACCGGCGACGATCGTCGTGGGATCCCCAACAGGGTCAGTGGATGGACGAATATAACGACTACGACTCTTATTACAAACGGTCCATGGATCGCCGCCATCCATACGATGTTGATCACGATGGATATGACAACGACGATGCACCTATGATTCCATCCTTGAGCGACCACTTTGCACCCCAAAACAGCCTTTTGGATACATACCTAGGCGAGCAGCTTACCGCCAAGGAACAGATCCAGTACTGCCGTGCGACAGGACAGCCTTTGATTCAGGTCGAGAATTCAAAACCCCATGTGCCAGAAGGCGGATTTGTAGGCATGATTTCGCGTCGTGAAAAGGATCGCAAAGAAGGCAACAACCTTCGAGTGAACGAACGTGTCCAGCAGCATCACGTGGATCGGTGTATGCTCGAGCGCGAAAAGGAGCGACGACTGTTTGAACAGCGGCAACAACAATGGATGAAGCATCATCAGGTATGGCCGTATCTTTAGACCAGGGGAACATGTTGTTTATTGGCTTGAAACTTATACATTTTCATCCTTATCTTATAGCAGCAACAAATAATGATGTACAATAACGGCCACATGCCTTGTCCTCCTCCTCCTCCTCCTCCTCCACCAGGCATGCCAGCTATGTATCCACCTCCTGCTCCGCCCATGCACCCCTATATGGCTGGACCTGCTCCACCACCACCACCTCCGCAGCTGTCGATGGGTAGTCCTCTTACACCAACAAGTCCCATGTCGCCTGGGCCGCAGTATATGATGTTACCCGGTGGATACATGTCTCCTACACAAGGACCTGGTCTGCGTCCAAACGGTCCACGAAGCCCAAGCATGTCTTCTCCTGCTAGTCCTAGTAGTCGAAGATCTTCACGGCCACTCCTTGACGAGATTGAAGATGACTCCCCTGTAATGATGGCACGGTATAATCATCCTGCTGCGGTTCGCAGCAGAAATTAGTCCACATCTCTTTCATTTTCCTTCACTTTTTCTATATTATTGTTAGCTTCTATCTCTCCTTCCCAACTTCACACACACACACACACACACACACACACACACACACACACAACAACAACAACAGCACAGCGCAAAGATCACTCTGTTCTCTCCCATGTCCCTCTTTTTAATACATCACCGAGTTATTCATCTTCCCCTTTCACGAGTCCCAAAATAAAAAGAGTTTGCATTTTTCTTGGTTACACGAAAAGAGATCACAGAGAGTGAGAGAATGAAAGCGAGCGGCATAAGGAAGCTATTCCACTGGAGCGGAGCTCTTCTTCATCTTTCGCCTCCTCTTTCCATATCTTTTAATAAATATGGCGCGTGGCCGAAGCCAGCAGCAGCAACAACAAAGCAACATGAGCAGCAACAGCAGCCAGAACAAAGGCTCTGTTCTAGCAGCGGCACAGCTCTTTTGGACTGCTTACAGAAAGGACACGCCTGCAAGTTTGAAACTGATTGACGTGTACCTGTCTTACATTATGCTGAGCGGCATCATTCAATTTGTGTACATGATTCTTGCTGGTACATTTCCATACAATGCTTTTCTCGCTGGCTTCATATCGACAGTTGGTAGCTTCGTCTTGGCAGGTAATCTAAGAGACGTACACGTAAACGTAGGGAGTGGTTAACTTTTTCTTCTTTACTTACACGCGCTGAGCTTGTTCTTATTATATCTCAGTCAATTTACGCATTCAAACGAACCCACAGAATGCCAGCACGTTCAAAACCATTTCACCTGAACGGTAAGAAAAGAACTACGGGAAAGAAAGAGAGAGAGAGAGATGTAGATGTAGATGTAATGTATGTGTAAGCCCCCCCTTCCTAAGTGCATTGATTGATTGTGTGTTTTCTTGCTTGCACTGTCATTATTAGAGCGTTTGCCGACTTTGTAGCAATTTCGTTGCTTTTACATTTTTTCTGTGTTCACTTTCTCGGTTAACCTGAATAAAAACGTCACAGCGCTTATGCAACAAATGCAACTTGTTCTTTTTTCCCCTTTTCCTTTCCTTCTTTTCTCATGTCTGATAATACCACAAATCCTGACGTCGACGCACTTTTCGAAGATGATCCAGGACCATTAGACGAAGTTGTAGACGATGACGACGACGACTTGAAGTTGGATAGTGCTGATACCAAAGTCTGGCTTGTTAAAGTAAACGATCTTTTTGATTCCTCACCATTCTTTAAATAGTCCATTTTAACAAATCAATGCATCAAACAATTGGATTTTTTTTCTAAAACATTTTGTTCTCGACAATAGGTCCCTAAATTTCTTGCTGACAAGTGGAAGAAAGTAGATCAAGATAACGTGAATCTAGGAAGTGTACGAATTTACAGCGAGTACGTTGCCGAACAACACTTTTGGTTTTTCAAATAATGAGAGTAAAAACAGAGCGCTTACCAGTTTCCCTTTTTTTCACTTCTTCTGCTTTTGGCATTTAGAGCACCACCGGGACGATCCAGTGCTGTAAGTTTTCTTATTCTTCTTGAGGGTGTACTTTTAGATCGAGGAGGTCTAATTGAGAAAGAACATTCTAGATTTCGCTAGTATTACCAGAGAACGAGACGGATAATATCCCTCGTGAGTACAGTATCCATATTCCACAAGGTGAAGTGATGAACAAATACGTCTTCACCCAAGGAGAACATGGAGGTTAGTTGTTCGTTCTCAATTTATATTTAATTTATAGGGAAAGAATGGACCATTAACGTTTTTTCATAATAAACCATAGTCAAATCAATCAACGGCACAGTACATCATGAATGTTCAGCAACACCCACACAGTTTGAACCGTATCGAGGTATTATGCGAAAACGCGTTTTGGATGCCGGCACGCCTCAACGCACTGTTCAAGTGCTGGGCCAAAACAACCAACCCGTATTTGTACCTGGCGCCAGCAGTGCAATGCAAAGCACGGGCTTTTCAGATTTCATTGTAAGTTGTGATCGGTATATTTGGACCATATGTAGGTTGTCTTACACATGTGCAAATGTATATCGTTGATTTGTTATATTGTCTATCAGCAATCCAAAAAGCAAAAGACAGACAACAAAGAAAAGGCCACGCGTATGCCAAGAAACGAGCTTATGGACGTACTCTTTGCTGCATTCGAAAAGTACCCTTACTGGTCATTCAAGGGTATTTTGGAGCATACCAAACAACCATCACAATATCTCAAGGAAGTGCTCTCCGAGATTTGTATTCTGAACAAACGAGGTCCGTATGCAAGCAATTATCAATTAAAACCAGAGTACAAGCAACGGCCGTCTGCGGCTGAGCTTGCAAGCGCTGCTGCTGCGAGCAGCAGTAAGGATGGTGATGATGGCAGTAATGCATCTTCAGGCGATGAGGAGGATGAAGAGGTCATGGAAACTATCAATGTTTAACGTTCATCTCACCATCTCTGCAATACTACGAAACAAAGAATTACATATATACATAGGCACATACATATACATATACAAACACACGCACTCCCTCTCTCTCTCTCTCTCTCTCTCTCTTTCTCTCGTATCTATTTACAGACTATATCTGTAATACACTTGGCTAAAGCAGACATGACAAGGGTCGGAAATGTGAAATCTGGTTGCTGTTATTGTTAACACCACTCTTGAACAAAGGACACAGTTGTCGGCGTCCTCTTTTGGTTGCTAACTAGACCACAAACAACTGTGGGAAGAAATAAGCGGTATCCTCTCATGCCAAATGCTATGGCAAAAGGATATCTGATTATGCACAGGCGAAAAAGCGAAATCACACGAGAAAAGCCGTCTACTATCTGTTTTTGGTAAATTTACTTGAACGTCATACCACTTTATTGTCGCTGTTTGAAGAGTCAAAAAATAACAAACGGTTACCTGGAAGCATCGTCGTTGTTATAAAGGTAGCTTTTGCTACGTACATTCTTTTCTATAGCTCGTTCTCCATACTTTGTTCAGTCATTGTAGCGACATAGTATTAAGCTTAGTTATCAGGTCGATTCATCTCCTCGCTATTCCTCATTTGTGCTACTCTTCAATAAATTTATGCCGACAGGTTGCATGTTGCTGTATTGTTGAAGCACACCACTTTTTTTCTAATTATCAATAAATAAAGAGCAAACCACTGATATACAAAAAGAGAGCAACACTTTTTTCTCTTAACAGTGACAATTTCAGTGTTCCATCACTACATTGTACAATTATCCTCATTGCTGACAATGGAGCAGCAACAGCAACCATTACTACCAGCGCCATTAATATCCAGCACCAAAGACGATTCAGAAACAACGTCTTTATCGTCATTTCTGCAAACATCTAACCATGCGATCGATTTTGTGCGCTGCCTTCCCTTTGAGCTCTTACCATTGGTTTTTGACTCCTTTCCGATCGAGAACCTTTTCGAGTGCATGAATGTGAGCCCGAGTTGGCGATATCGTATAGCGCGCAGTCCATCACTATGGCAACAGGTTACTGTTATTGGTGACGCCACTAAACACGATCTGATACCCAAACTACAACAGTCTTCGATCGCCGCGTATATAAGACAGTACAAAATCATCGATGGGTCCGAAAAGGAATATAGCCAAAGTGCCGATTTGATCGTTTCTGGATGTTTAACCCGTTTACAGTCATTAGGTATACTGTGTAGCACATGATTCTTTCTTGCTATTGTTCCTCTTCAAAAATAGGCCTTATATAGTGAGCTCACACATTGAATGACTCTCTAACTATTTGTGCTACATACACGTATGCTTATAGCAATCCATGGTGGCCAACAATACTGTTTCTATGATGACAGCAACAGCAACAACATACTGCAGTCGATCCAACATTTACGAAACACATTAACAGAGCTTGAACTGACGTGGTATGGACGCGATCTGTCGTCATCTCATTTGCCTCGGTTATCGTCCTTGCTTTCAGGTTGCCCTAGTCTTCGACGCCTACGAGTAGATATGCCTGCAATCCGTGCAAATGACGGTGGAGACAATGAAAAGGAAACTGGGGATACTCTTCCTTTGTTTTTATCCAGTATTAACGATGACGAGCACGGCTGGAAGCTTACGCATCTACAGTGGTTGATTGGATCCAGGAAAGCCACAGCACACGAATTTGCATCTATCCTTGACACGTGTCCTGCATTAACCTATCTTAAACTGGATTCCTGCAAAGAGCCCACTTCGTTCTTGTCGCTGCTACTTGACAGAAAATCTCCCAAAACTCTACGATACCTTGCACTTAGTGCAGAACACAACAAATCATTTGAGAATCATTACTGGAACGACGACGGTAATGTGGGCAGTGAAGAAGCACGAGCAGTGAAGCAACATCAGCATTGCTATAACTTGAAAGCACTGGCCATACCATGCCTGAACGAAATAGACTGGATCAACCTTACAAATTTCATGATGATGATGAATCGGATACAAGACTTGACCATTCTACATGGCGATCACCATGCTTTCGATTTGGCTCGTTTATTACGTGTGTATCACGGCAAACAGCTACGGCTACGTCATACGGGTCTGAGATACCAGTACATCTCCACCATCCATGCGCGTGTTTCATTTAATTACAGTAGTCAGCTGAATAGACAGCGCAAAACAACAGTTATTACATCCACGTTTTGTCGAGACTACATGGTCCAATGTCCATGGTTCATGAACCAGCTTAAATCCAGTAGCTTTGCAGTCTCCACCTTATCGCTTGGGTTCTCACAATGCTTTATCCTCGATTCCTGCCTGCGTCGGCTTTTGGACGGCTTCCCCTGCTTACAAGAAATCGACATTGACAATTGCGTACTTGAGTCTACTACCTTGACAGACCTTATTGATGGACTCGCCGCGGGCAGTGAAGATGGCTGTAGTAGTGACGAAGAAACGATCACCAGTCAAGATAATCTCCAGTATCACCACCGCCACCTGTTGTCGTTGCCACCTCCAATGAAGCATATCAGTTTTGGATCGATACCAGGTCTCACAGACAGTTTGGTTGCCACCTTGGCGGAAATCCATAGTCTGAAGCAGGTGACCTTGTCTTGCTGCTACTCGGTCACAGATCAAGGCGTACGTGATCTGGTCGATAAGAGTGGTATTGAGTTGGAACAAGTGGTTATTCGTGATTGTAAACAAGTTTCATATATGACCACAGAGTATATCCAGAAAAAGCTTGAGTCACGTAGTCGTAAAGGACTAGCTTATTACTACGATGCTTGTATCTTATAGTTGTAGCAGTAAAAGAGAAATCTTTCTCTATTATATAATTCTCACTTTCACGCTAAAAAATATGTATCTACTGTATTAAATTGATTTTTATTAAACCTTGTTATTTGACGAGTACATGAGGTTCATGGTGGGGCTGCTTAGCACCAGACAGAATGCGCGCTAGTGATAGTTAGTCGTAAAACAAGCAGAATCCTCATTCAGCTATTCTATTGGAAAGAGGAATGATTTGAATCATCATTAGGAAGCTTCGCTCGCTAGATTCTCATCTAGATCAACAACAGGCCTGACTAAATAAAAGACTTAGCATTCTTTGTTCTGACGAGCATTAATCATGTCGCTCATTTCGGAAGTTCAACAGGGTGCATACGTGGTCTAAACTATTGTAGATGGAAACCAAGCAAGAGGTCGGTGGTACAAGAGCATTACAGGTTACCCGTGCCCTGGCACCGGGCCAGAACACAAACTTCTCTTTTACTCATTCTTTTTATGATGTGTACTAGGTGCATATACGTATATGTAATGTACAGATCCCAAAAAAAATCCCACTTTTTCTTCCGTGGTGCAAGAAGTCCTTGTGCACTGGAACCATTCACTTGCTATTTCTCTCGTAAAAAAAAAACAAGGCACAACAGCGTGGTTTAAGTCTATGCTTTATGGATTGGCGATTAAGCCCTCTTTGGCACTGTTATGCAAGCAAAATGGGTTCTTACTATTTTTAGATAGAGTAACATTATTCAGCTCTACTGACTAATAATTTTTCATTTACACACTGTACCAGAAAAAAGAAGGGGCAGGGAACGCTTGTTTGATACGGTCGGCTGAAGACCGCCTATTTCAATGACGATATGTACACGCGTCTTTTAAGCAAATTCTTTTAACATTGACTATCGCTTGGACAACGAACAACGATATACCGGTCTTTCTTCTAAACGCTGCTTTCGGATAACGGAAATCTTATTTTTAATCGCTCAAACCAACAAAAGATGGATGGATGCACAGTGAAATTCTGTTTTTGGCAACATGTCATTACTACTTGAAATCCCGTCTTTTTTTTTTGCGTATTCCTTTTTTTTTTTTACATACATACAAGAAGGAAAAGGCAACAACCGTTTTCATTATTTTTTTTGTGATTCCTGAACCTTCATGTCTCGACAATGAAAGTTCAGGCTCTTCTTTTGGGGTACTTTTCCGACCGAAAACCGGTTTACGTATACGGTGTAAACACCAACAACAGCTCTTCTTCGACCCATACAGCAGCATTACTACTGGTCTACAAGCTATCCGACATTTCGCTCCTTTTTGGATTACCACACTTGCCACAACATCCAAAGTTAGCGACCAATCTGTTGTCCCATTCACCTCACTGCTATCGCGACAGTCAAGATTTGTACCTTTCGACCAAACTACTCGGCGAAACAGCAATCTCTCTGAACAAATACCTCCTGGCTGAATTTTGCAAGTTAAAGCCAAACGATTATACTACCGGATTGGCCGATTCCATTCTAAATTCGGTGCCACGTTTTGACCGCGTCAAGATTGACCATTGGATACCCATGGATTTGCCCATTGTTTGCAGCAGCAGCAACAACAACAACAACAACAACACTAACACAGAAAGCACGACGACCAATAACCATCGCATACCCTACTCACCGCCATCGCTTTCGTCACAACAAGCACCGCCACCACTACCGCCGTTAACTACAGTGCCAAGTCAACAAAGACAAGAAAAACGGAGCAATAGCAGCAACAGCAATAATAACGATAATAATAGTACGAGTAATATTGATAGTAATAATGAATCTGACAATCACAACAGTAATAATGAGCGCAAATCTTCGCCACTTGTCAAAACCGAACCATTGTCACCATCTTTTGTACCTGCATCTCCCGGTCGAGATCAAAACAGCAGCAACAGTAACACCAATCCAATGGCATTAAACAGCGTGCTTACGAATGGAGACCGACGCCGTAGCGGGTGAGTTATTCTACAGCCGCCTGCTATCCCCGTTATACACCATTAGCCCCCCCCTCTCCCTCCAGACTATCCACTCCTTGTACCCCTTTAATTTTGTGTGTGATGATGATGAAGATCTTTATTTAGAACTGACAATTTATTTTTGTTCCTGATGGATGTTATTAGGTCTGCAGCGGACGATCAGCAACAGCAACAGCGACAACAAGAAGTCCAGAATTCGAACAAGCGACCGCGCGTGGACAATGAAAGTAGTAGTAATAACAGCAATCTTAATATTTCCAACAAAAAGCGTCAAAGTCTTCGCAATGTTTTGCCGAAACCATTGCACACGGTCAGCTCACAATCCTCGGCCGGCACGTCCACGCTGCTATCCAAACGATTGCAATCAAAGCAAGGAAAGAACACACGCCATTTGACCATTTTCGCGCCATCGTACACCAACCAGCCAGTACTAGGGATTCAATCAGCCCCGCTCAACTCGAACTTTTTCCAGCAGCAGCAACAGCAACAACAGCAACAACAGCAGCAGCAGCAACTTGGTAATGGAACAAGTCATGGTGGCCTTGCTCCACCTTTACCGAGCGCGCATCATCCGCTACGGCACGCGCAGCAACCAGGCCAGCATTCACATTTGCATCATCCACAGCATCTTGCGGTGAATGGACAACATCAGCATCAACATCATCAACACAAGGGATATTATTATGGGCAGGGTCCGTCCACTTCGGTACCACAGACCAGCCAGGCACCGCGCATGGGGATGCTGCATCCGGGCCATACGCTTGCGCCATTGTTGTCTCCACGTGCACCGTTACCATCACAACGCGAACTGCCATCGCAACGCATGTCGCCACGCAACAAGCAAGAGTTTGCCATCCCACCGATCGTTCCTTCTCAGCAACACCCGCCACTCACTGCACATCCATCCACGTCTTCATATCATCCTTACATGGCGTCGCCCATGTATCAACGCAACAGTGCCAACAATAGCAGCAGCAGCAGTAGCAACAACACCAGTAATAGTAGTAATCATAATAATCACCAACAACAACAACAACAACAACAACCGGCTACTGCTGCATTGCCTACAACCGCACGAGACGTCCCGCTCCCACCTCAGACGCCAACGACAAATTCGTTTGGATCATTGCAACGACAGCAATTTTTACAGCCCTTTGAGCATTTGTTTGAAACGATCGAAACGTCACGAACCTTAAAGTCGACTTTGGATGATCAAATCCGACGCTCATCGACACTGATGCAGACGTTGCAAGCATCTTCCACGACGATTGAAGGTTTGGTGCGTAACCAGATCAAGGAGGCGCAAAAGGAACTTATGACGGAAATGGATGCGGCTTTTGAGAGTATCTTGCAACGGATTGAAAAGTTGGAACGTACGGCAGGAAAAAGACAACATCGGGCGATAGCAGCAGAAGATAAAAGGGATTACGACGAAGAAGACGAAGAAGAAGAAGAACCCGAGTTACCATTACCACATCATCATCGCCAAGGACAAAGTGAACAAGAAGATGAAGAAGGAACATCAGCGGGTGCGATGGTACCACCGCCAGCGTCGAGCAAAAGTAACGGATTCCTGCGGAGTCCTCCGACGATTGTTCGATCCCAGAATGATATCGGACCGAATGAATACCACGGCTTATTAAATGCATTACGAGAGCGATTGGATCGACTGGAGCGGCAGTTTGATACGTGACATGTTGATGATGCGGTTGTGTACACGTACCAGCAGTACCAGCAGCCGCAGCAGCAGCAGTAGTAGTAGTAGTAGTAATAATAATATGAACAGTAGCAGAGTAGCAGTAGGATAATAATAGCAGCAACAGTAGTAACTAAAGCAGTCAGCAGTATAGCACTTTTTGCAGTAGTTGCAGAATTTGGTTGAACACCGAGTTCGTTCACTTGACTCTTTCCCACTTGCACGCTTGTCTTTCTTTTATCTCTTTTCTTATCCTACACACCATGTCTGTTATAATTGTACTGTTTCTTATTGCTGCAAGTAGTTTTCTCATTGCTCTCTTTTTGCAATGTCCTACAATGGGTAAAGTTTCCAACGATTGTCCCCCCCCCTCTCTCCCCTCAAATTTGACATGTATGCGAAACACATGTCAACTTTTTTTTTTTTTTTGGTTTCACACCGTTTTGTGCATAATATGCAAATGTAACTAACGTTACTCATGACGATAAAAAAAAAATGGGAATGGCTTTTTAACAATGCTTATAGAAACGTTCCTGACCATGATAACCAACACACCCAGTCTTGACGACAAGTCTATACGCAACTTGATACCCATTCAACAGCAAATCGGCAATGCCTTACTACGAGCCAGAGTCATTGCACTCGGTCGACAGCAAAGTGTACTCGAGATTTACCGACGTATCCATGTATTGGACGTCACTTTCTACGGTTTCTGGGGCAAGTGGTATGTGTGGGGCCAGCATCATCCTGTTATTACCGGGCTTCGCGACGGTGCACCCTTGCTGGATTACATTTTTCGGGATGCGTCGATGGCATGTCAACTGGCAAAGGATTGGCAAGCGGCTGAACGGGCGTTGGTTCGACCCAAAATGCAAGGTAATCTATTTCCACCCTCGACCCCCAAACCAAACCGGACCCCCTTTTTTTTTGTATTTGATTGTTTCGACCGGGTTTGTTGTTATGGTTCTATTCACGCTACATTTTTTTTTTATGCAGACGATATCCGACCCTTGGAAATGTTTCAACGTATTGCAGAACAATTATGCCAAGTCAAATCGCCGGTAGCAAACATCGATGCAGCACTTGCGTTGCATATGGCATGGCAAGCTTCTGAAGCTGCACGATGCTATGAGCAAGGTGCGTGCTTTGTCTTTCTTTCTCTCTCTCTCTCTCTCTCTCTCTCCAAATAATCGCAACTTGAAAAAAAAACTCTAAATCGATAATATTAGCCATCGCATGTCTGATCAGCTTGGTGAGATTGGTGGAGCATAGCATCGACTATGACCCAATCGTCCGTTGGTTACAGCTGACAGTGGCCGATATTCTTTACAAAAAGCGATATGAGCATACGTTGGAGGCATGTACTACACACAGACTAGCTTCAATCAGTGTGTGACAGTGATGTAGATGTAGTACAGTATCAAAACTAAACGAAAGAAACGGGGGTGGCGGGGACCAGTAGATATACAGACAAGTTATCGGTCGCAATGTGTATGATGAAAAGTACTATCGCAGCATTGGCCAGATCGCACGTATCCTTTTCCACGACAAGCAGTATGAAACGGTGATATCGCATACCGGTCAAGTACTGAGGTATTACCGCAACCAGATCGATATCGACACGGAGCAGATTGGCCATGTGGCTCTTGCGCGCATCCAGGCACAGTTGATCTTGAAGCAGTGGAAGGAAATGCAACACGACCGGTCATGGATGCAGTACTTTTGTGCAGCGGACGGTGGACAGAGTCCGGAACTGACATTTGTGGGACGGCTGCACGAAGCGTGGGCAGACCACAACGTCGAGCTGTACGAGTTGGCCGTGCGGGAGTATGATCGACACAACCCAATGTCGGATGAGCAGATAGACCTTTTCCTATCGGTCAAAGCACGCATCTTAAAGGCAGCACCACCATCCCTCATTGCATCAGCATTACCACCTCCATCATCACGACGGTAAAAATAAAAAAAAAAGTAACTATTTCCTATTTTTTTTTTCTTTCTGCAAATTTAACTCTTTATTATTATAACGAATTCCATATAATAAAAAAAAACGGGATTGTGTATGTTGTGACTTTCGTTGTTGTTGTTGTTGTTTGGGAACAGTGTGTTTTACGGAGATCGATCCAAACTGTTTCGATCGCCACACAAAGAGTGTTTGTTACTGTTTGTGATGGATTGTTGTAATAATTGTTGTTATTCGTGAGAGTGGAAAAGTGAATTGCGTTTGTAAAAAAAAAAAAAAAAAGAAGGAAAAGTGCTAATGGGGTTGAATGTTGTTGTTATATGATGCTGCTGTTATGTACAAAATAAAGGGGGTGGGTTAAGGATTCAGGGGGTGGGGCTTTGGGAGGGCACACACACACAGAGAGGGAGAGAGGGAGAAAGGGTGAAAGGAAAAAAAAATTTTTTTCTTTGTTTACTGATGAAACGCAGGCGTGTCCCACCACCAGAAGGACTTGTCCGTATGAGCATTGGAGCTCAAGGCCGACATGATCAAAGTGTCATAAAGGTACTCCATGTATGCAGGAGAAGCTGCCGTTGGTGGCACTGCAGTTGCTTTCTCCCACGCATCCTCGCTGCTGAAATCACGGTCATCCGGCAACAACGGCGCATCAAATATGTTACTGCTGCTGCTGCTGCTGCTCATCTGTACTTGTTCCTCGCCATTCTCACTAAGCTCGACAATCGTAGGTGATGATGATGATGCCAGCAAGGAATGCGATGCGTCGGTGGCGGAAGTAGTAGTAGTAGTAGTAGTAGTAGTAGCAGCAGAAGAGGAGCCATGCAGTTGTACAAACATCGACAGGATGTAACCGGCCAAATGCATGACTTGCTCAGGCGGCGCCAGAATTTGTTGTTGTTGTTGTTGTTGTTGTGATTTACGCGTGGTGCTGCTGCTGCTGCTGCTAAGGATGGCATGCTTCTGCTGCTGTTGTTGTTGTTGTTGTTGTTGCTGAGCTGTAAAGATCCGATCGTAGTCCCACACAGGCATGACGGCGTTGGAGACCAAGATGCGCGTGTCGTGTCGATAGGTCTCGCTGGCTTTGCTTCCGAGCATGCTGATGTCCTTGTTCAAATTTGGCTTTGGAATGGGTGATGACACGCGTGGCGATCCAGGCGACGATGGTCCTGCAACGACACTGTTACTACTACTACTACTACTCTTTGGCTGCTGCTGCTGCTGCAGGAGCTGGTTCTGTCGCCGCAGCGAATCCACTTCAAGACGCAGCTGCTTGTTTTCTTCTTCCACATCATCCAACCGCGTCTTCAGCCGTTCAGCGTGCTTCTTGTGCTCATCCACTTGTGCTTCAAGCGTGTTGATGTATTCTAAATGTAAACGAGATCAGTGAGTCCAAAAAGTTGCTTGGCTTGGCTTGGTAAGAAGGGCCCCCCTCTCCCCTTTCAAGTTGATTATCTATTACCTTTTCTTCGGACTCGGAAATTGCGTGCCGAGATCTTGTTGCGCAGTTGTCGGCGTTCTTTGGGTGTGAGCTTCTTGATATCGATCCCATCAGATACCGCATATGCTTCAAGTGTCATTGCCTCGTCCGTCAATCCTCCTGCAAGCGACACGCTGGATGCTCGTCGGTTGGCCGAGGCTTGTGCTGGTGCTGAGGTCGGTGGTGGCGACGGCGAAAACGCCCTTTCGTCTCTGGGTGAATCAGGCATTGCGGCGGCGGCGGCGGCGGTAGTAGTAGTAGTACGGGTCGTGCTGGTGCTGGTGCTGGTGCTGGCGGGTGTGGGAGAAGAAGACTTCATCAGTGACTCAGGTGCAACGGTGTCAGGAACAGTAGAAACCGCGGTAGGATGAACAAAGAAAGACATGGGCGCCGTTTCATTGTAAAGTCGCTGCAGGTCCCCGGACTGCTGTGAAATTTCTTGTGCCTTTTCCGGTTCCTCCTGCTTTATGACATGCTGCTGCTGCTGCTGCTGCTTCTCCTGCGCCTGTGGCTGCTGTTGTTGCTGTTGTTGTTCTTGCTTTGGATTTTCTTCTTGTTGCTGCTGTTCACGCAGCGCAAGATGTCGTTTGGCAATCTCAATCAGTTGCTTGATATGTTCTGTGCTTGGCATGACCAATTCAGACATGGGTGCAATGGGTGGTTGTGCTGGTGCTACTGCAGCGACATTTTTCTCCTGCCGTTGCTGCGACGACTCCTGCTTATCGGGCAGTGAAGAGGACGCGGGGCTACACGGTGTGGCCTCCAGCATGTCTAGATCGGTGGAGGGAAAGTCATTTCGCCACATGATTGGCTGATCAGAGAAGCCGTAAAGCGAGTCGTGACAGTAATCGGATAAGGCGGCGGATGGAGAGAATGCGTGGAGTGGCTCACTCTTGATCGGAGCCATTGAGGGCGAGGATGAGGAGGTCAGGAGACTTTCGTCGGTGGTTGTGTTGGAGTTCAACCAGTCCATGTCGACAATATCTTCGAATTCCATGGTGTTGTAGTAGGAAAGGGGGAAGAATATGAAAAAGAAGAGTGTGTGTGTGATGTATGAGAGAGAGAAAGAGAGAGAAAAGAAGAAAGAAATATGTGAGTGAGTGAGTGAGTGAGAGAAAGAGAGAGAGAGCGAGCGAGCGAAAGGAAATTGAGGGAACGACAAAGAATAAGGAGTTTTTGGGTATGGTTTGGGGCCAGTGCTCAACCCTAAGCTGAGTTTTGGGCCTGCCTGCACCTGGTTCTTTTTTTTTCACACCAACCCAACCAAGGCAAGAGAGACGGGCCGACCAGCGCTCGTTTCCTTTGCCACATGAGGTTGCACATGCCCGTCGTACAGCGTGTGGTGTGCTGCGTGTTGATGATGGGCAACGCCTACTAATACATTCCTTTTATAGACCACCACCATACACCTCTCTCTCTCTCTCTCTCTCTCTCGATCGAGACATGTCTCATTCCATCCTCTGAGCGCGCATGCAGAGACCAGGTATTACTAAGCAGCTCCGGTCGTCGTCGCTCTGAGAGAAGGCGCGTTCGACGTGTTCCCTTTCTGTTATATTAAACTTGACAGTGGGTACGCACTGCTGCGCTTGTACTTCATGCTCACACGGCCTGAAACAAATCACGACGGTTGAAAAACCGATAAAGTGATATGTGTGATATTTTCTAGTAGCAGCGATCAAATTCGAAAATCCTATCGCTGCCACCAGGTACTCGCAACAACCTGTTTGCTTCTTTGGCCAAAATCGTACCATACGAGGCCGTAAAAGGTATGAATGGCGTCAGTCATGAAAAAAAAAAAAATCGGTTCATCTATCGTTCCGCTCTTTCAAGAGTCATCATCCGTCACCCCCCTGAATCCCCAGTCTCCCCCTCCCCCTCCTCGAAAGAAAAAACTACCTCGGCTTTTTCTTCCTGTCAAGTATATATCACTAGTAGTAGTAAAAAGTAGCAATATGTTATCAACATCAACGACAGCATAAGGTTTCGTTAGCACCTTTTTTTAGTCTGGCATCGACGAAACTATGATTTAAGCAGCAGCAACAACAACAACAACAGGCGGCAATTACAGATCCCGATCAAATAATTTCCCCAAGCAGCGGCAACAACAAAGAAGGTAACACATGACATCAATGTGGTGTGGGCTGCTGTTTGTCAGAAACCAGGCCTTTTCCTCTTACTCAAAAGTCAACGCCGCGGGGGCGATGATAAAGGAAGGGCTAGAATCCTCTCTCTCTCTACAATAGCCTTGCTAGTTTCAGGTTCATACAAACTTAAAGTGCTTCTGCTGGTGGTGCCGCACTGCATTTCTGCATCAGCTTTTTGACTGTTTTTTTGATGCGATTACCCTTTTCAGGTCGGTTCCCCGGCGCTGCATCTGTGCTTTCGTTCTTCTCAGTTACAAAACAGATGGAATGTCTCTTTTGGTAGTAACAATATGACTATGCTGCTTCTACATGACAAAGATCGATATGCGAATAATGTATCAGTCACATAGCATCCTAGTTGGGGTGACGGTGCGGCTGCAGCATAACTTTTAAGGCATTTCGATATGTCCATATTTGGAACACATGGTAGAATCTTCACCAAGAAGAGAAATGTTCTCGTTCCATCACAGACTCTACACAGTGGCAGTGATCATGGGCAAGCAAGAGAGCACAGAGCTATGCACCATGTACGTTGATGATGATGCACACCATCCTTAATCACTGTCTGTGATGGTGAAGGATGAGCAATTACGCTTTCCTTTTTCTCTTTCACACCAACAGTAGCCCCTGTGTATCGAAGTACACAACGTAGAGATTCCAACCAAGTTAGAAACGTGGAATCGGATCGCCGAGTAAAAAAAAAAAAAAAAGGCGGCACTTTTACAACAACACGTACCATAATGTGAGCGTGTATGATACCTCTTTTGTTACATGGACAATGACTGCTTTTGTCAAGGAACCAGAATGTTGTCGGATGCTACGGAGGATTTCAACCCCTCATAGCCAAAGAACAGATGGTCCCACAATGAGAGCCATTGATAGCACTTTATACATGTATCCAAATAGGTTGCCTCCTCTTTCGGGTTGGTTGGTCACGATTTGCAGTCGCAACACCAGTGATGATGATTCATCACCATACCCATCATTTCAAGTCTCAACCCACTGTTTTAGGTATTCTACTGATCTGTTGGTCATCATGTATGCTTCATGTGCATCACACAGAGCTTAACAAAGTTCTATTATATTATCTTGCTATCATCCGACCACCATATTCATTCCAAAGAACAACTTTCGATGGATGGTATGAACAACGTTGTCACACTCGTGCATGTGATTATTAAGCTGAAGCTTGTAGTTGTAGCAAGAGTAGCTGCCACTAGATATGTATTTGCAACGCTAGAAAATAGGCATACCTTTTTGTTTTTATTGGTAATTATGGAGCTTGTAAAACACATATCGATAATAAATAATGGGTCATGGTCGCTCGCGTTGTTGCTTATGCTTGATTAATACGAATATGCTAGCTAATCGCTTATCTTTTTTCTTTGGCGCGGCCTCTGTGCTAAAACAAATAAAAGTCAAGGAGGGTTTTTGGTAGCAACCAGGAACAAAGGTTAGGCGCGCAATAAAATTATTGCGTCGGTTTTCATTTCAAGTCACGTGCATATAAAATATGAGAGGTGAGGATAGAATGGAAAAGCAGCCCAGAGCCAAAACTTGGTGCTCCATCCGAAAAAGGAAATTCGCGTCTTCACGGGCGGAAGCCCGCAAGGTAAAATTACTGCCGCTGGTGGGCAACTGACGTTCCTCCCTTTCCGTAACCGGTATGTAGATGATGTGTAATGATGGGTGTGGTAGTGGGAAACAAAGGGAAAGATTGGAGCAAAGGAAAGAGAGCGAGTAGACCGTCCATATGCCTTGTGGATGGATGGATGGATAATACGGATAGATAGATGGATGGATGGATCGAAATAATGGAAAATTAACATTGCGTACTGATTCATTTTCCCTCCCATGTTGCCCCCACATGAACAACTAGTTCTTTGAAATGGCCCAGAGACTCACGTACAGACGTCGCCTTTCGTACAACACCCGCTCCAACCGAGTCAAGGTCGTCAAGACTCCTGGTAATTCAATCGTTCCCTTTTTTCTCCAATTACGACAGATCAAAATAATTTGACGATCGACTACTCTACCTCGACCCAACGAACCTTGCCTCATTTGAAAATTAATTCAAATTTTTTCTTTTCACCCCCCCCTTTTTTTTTCTTTCTTCGATTAGGTGGTAAGCTCGTCTACCAATACCAGAAGAAGCCCGTCAAGGCTCCCCGCTGTGGCGATTGTGGTGTTGCTCTTCCCGGCGTACGTATTTAATTGACACTTTGGATTGCGTGTGTGGATTTCGAAAAAGCAAAAAACAGAAACTAATAATAAACTGTTGTCCTTGTTTCTTTTATTCACGCACATTTTATAGCTCAAGGCTCTCCGCCCCCGTGAGTACTCCCAGGTCTCGAAGACCCAAAAGAGCGTCAGCCGTGCCTATGGTGGTTCGCGCTGCTCGCACTGCGTCCGCAGCCGTATCGTCCGTGCCTTCCTTGTTGAGGAGCAGAAGATCGTCAAGAAGGTCTTGAAGGCTCAGACCACCAAGAAGTAAAAATCGTATTTACTACAAAGACAAAAAAAAACGGTTTCTCTTTTGTTTTGACAAAATAAAGTAACAACTTGCTGGCTTCTGCAATGTAAATCTATCTGCTTCTGTTATTTTGTTTTCATGGGTTCTTTTTGCTTTTTTATTATAGACAAAGTTTTCTTTAGAGATACGATATGAGTTGGAAAGACATGAGGAGGGGAAAGGATAACGGCTAACGATGGAATGGGGGGGGGGAATATCAAAGGAAAATGATGTGTATGGACTGCGAGTGTACGATTAGCTTTCGGTATCTGATCGCATTGTGATCTTGATAAACATGGTGCGTCCCAATTTACTGTCAGCGTTATCTAGAAGGTGCTCACGTTCGATTTGTATACAGTACTCAACAGTCGTAAAGCGACATGTGTATTATCTACAAAAGCGATCCAAAGGACGCACTGACTGGATTAATAACACTGACGTAATGCTATGTCTGTGGTGATCTTTATCTGACTCGTTCGTACGGGTACGCAATGTGTTCCCTTTGTGTATACTTTTACAACCGCTCACCTTTTTTATAAAATTTATTATACGGAGAGATTAACAATGCTACTGCTGTTATTGGAAGCTATGACAACATATACAATTTTGTTTCTTTGGCCGTTTTTTAACCGTTGCCGAAGCTGTCATGGCTGTTGCTAACGCTACCTCGTCCAACAAGGCTGATTGCCAAAAGCTGCTCGACTTTTATAGCTCTTTCAACAACGAAGCGTTGTGGTCGTTGGAATGTTTTACGAGCGGGCCCAGCTACATGTCAGCTTCTGGAAACTTGTCAACGCGCAGACAAACCGCTGTCGGGTCGTCGAGAAGGCGCTGCGATATTACTGCTAAACGTCGACTGTACATATCTACTTCAAGCTGTGTATGGTTTTTTGTTGAGCATGTCACTAGCTGAAATTAAGGGTAATATGCTGCTTTACGTTGTAGAAGAGCATATATGCCACACTTTGTAAAAAATGACAAGAGATACTATCCCAAGTGATGTTACTCGTTTACCAATAAACATACTGTTACATACAGTAATGATCTGCTAATAAGGCCACAACCATTCGAAAGGTCCTGGATTTTATTATTATGATATATCTGGATATGAGTATACGCCATGGGTTTTTTGCTTTTATGGCCAACTATCTATCATATGTATATCTCAGGACGGTTCTTAGCCTATAAGGTGTCTCAGCATTGCATTTGGACGCACATGTCCTTCGGAACCGCCTTACTTACAATGGTCGAACAGTATCAGTAAATATTAGAAGCTAAAACTTTCTGTTTTACTTTGACCTCTCTAATGATTACCTTAAGCTGCATGGTATTTTTATAAAAGAGCAAGGATAAGCACGATATGCATAAGGGTACTTGGAGCAGGCGTAACCGGTTTAGCTCAGCCATGGCGAAAAGGCCTTTCCCAGGAAACAGCGTCTTGCAAATCATCATGTAACGCCTATCGTGGCTCTACACACATTTTGGAGCAACAGCACGTATCAGAGTGACAGCATATACAGTATATACATACATTAGCCATACCATTTTCCAAAGCCTAGACAAAAGGCTCTTCCGAGCACCGTGCGGCTTTATCTCTTCTTTCTGGCACGTTTCCATCATAGGATAGCATGCACCATTTTAACTATGTAAAGAATACTTATTGCGAGACCAACGAAGAAATTGCAGTTTACTTTATGCTTTTATTGTCTACTAAAGATAACAATGTCCTCCCTCAGGTATCCCAAGCACTTTTGTTTTTCCAGTACAAACATGAAAATGCCGATCTTGCCCTTTGACTTGGCAAAATGCTACAAGTACAATACAAAGCGCCATCTTGCCGGGCCACGCGTTCTCGACAATAATAAAACATTATATTAAGATGGAAGAAAACTCGTGTCCGTCCCTAGTATGGAACGAACGGCTTATATGGTATGTACCAAAGTTTTCTGCACAGAAACAAGTGTCCCAGACAAGTACGACAACTATCTATTTGCTTCATACAGGATGTGGATCACCATTTATCAGAAAGCATGATCACTAACAACAACTTGTATTCCAGAAATACGTCCGTTGGTGCGCTGCTTCCCGCGAGGAGGTCATTCGTAACTTCTTCTCCCTCACGATCATGTTTTCGCAGCAAGGTGCAGTAGCAAAAGTTGAGCTGCGTCTATGAATTTCATTTTTGCTCGTTGAGACAAAAACATCAAATCAACATTGATACTTTTGAATCATAGTATACACTCGTTTTTGAACGATATGTGGGTCTTTAATGCAGATTAGCTTCTTCTGTGGCATTCTAAACCCTTAGTCAATTTTCGTTTCTACAACAATAACACTCTTGGATTGCTGACTGGTGGGGGTCGAGCACAGCGGTCGAAGGAACCTTCTTTGATGACAGTGGGGTAATACAAGACGCTCTGAAGTTTTTTCTAGTGATTGATACGCTTGATATCCTGGACTGATGGTAAACACAAATTCTTCTTTTTTGTTGCACGACTCCATTTTCCATGATAGTTTGTCCTTTGAAGATGACAGCTGAAAAGCTGATGTCTGCATAACCAATTCGTATGTATTGGCTCTTTAAACAGAGAAAAGCAAACCAATGATCCGTCATGCCAGGATGCCATGGCCCATTTCTTACGTTTTGACAGCCCCGCTGGTCAAATCATTTTTCGAGCTTGTGTCACTTTGCAAAATTCAAGCCCGCTTGTTGAGAAAAAAAAAAATGTTTTTTTGGCAAATCCGAAAAGTAGTGCCTTTTTTTCTTACTTATCGCAAAGAACATGCCAAAAAATAACAAAGACAAAGGCAAAGGCAAGAAGCCCACCTTTGATCAACCCTTGGAAAAGATTACGGACGATCCTCGTTTCGCCCACGTCCACAATGACCCTCGCTTCAAGCGTCCCAGAAGAAAGGACGCCAAGGTCACGATCGACAATCGATTCTCGTCCATGCTAAAATCGAGCGAATTTGCCGAACAACGTAAGTTGTTTCTGTGTATTTGCACAGACACATATGCCTTGAGCTATTGTCATTGCGTGTATCTGTGTATACATTGGTGTAAGAAAGAATATTGAACTAACCCACAAACTACACACATAAGCCAAGGTGGATCGATACGGTCGTCCTATCGCACCTCAGACGGCCGAGAACGAGCTTAAGCGTTTCTATGAAATCGAAGACGAAGAAGAGTCCGACGAAGAAGAAGAAAAAACATTGGAGGAACTAGAACGCGAGCTCGCAGAGGATGAAGGCAATTTAGAAGACGAAAAGATACCTATTGTTGCAAAGGCACGTAAGCCTCGATACGATCCTATGCGTGGTCAAGGTGTCATTGAGTCATCTGACGAATCGACGGACGATGAAGCGTATAGCGACGAAGATTTAGAGCCTGAAGTAGAGGTAAATAATTAAAATATTTCCAAAAGGAAGAGGAAAAGAGACTAAGCAATCTGTGAATATATTGATAGGTTCCAACAGGCGACGCTACGTACCGAATTGCGGCTGTCAATATGGACTGGGACAAAATTAGAGCCATCGATATTCTAAAAGTCTTGAACGCTTTTAAACCCACAACGTCGGTCATTAAGCAGGTTGCTATTTATCCATCCGAATTTGGCAAGGAGCGTATGGCCCGTGAAGAAATGGAAGGCCCTCCAAAGGAGTTGTTCGAGAAGGAGACGGATTCCAGCAAAAAAGATCCAAAGAAAAATGAAGAGGACGAAGAACACGATGAAGATTTTGATCAGGATGCCCTTCGCAAGTATCAGTTGGATCGCCTAAAGTAAGTTTCACTTGTGTTAGCGAGCGTGTGGGTTGAGTTATTGTTTCGTACGCTGACGAATGCGCTTATTAGGTACTATTATGCTGTGATCGAGTGCGATTCGGTACAAACTGCTCAAGCAGTTTACCAGTTATGTGATGGCAACGAATACGAAGCTAGTGCCAACTTTTTCGACTTGCGCTATATACCCGATGACATGACCTTTGACGACGAGCCAAAGGAAGTGTGTACATTTGCACCCGAAGATTACAAACCAGCAAAGTTCTCGACCGATGTAAGCAAAAAAAAAAGCATATGGTCATTACGATGGAGCGGGAAGTGAACGAGAAGATGACTGAAATATCATGTTTTTATCCATGTGTATAGGCTCTGCAACATACCAAGGTCAAGTTGACTTGGGATATGGATGACCATCACCGTCTTGAACTAACTCGCCGCAACTTTACGGAGAACGATTTGAGGGATCTGGATTTTGCTGCATATCTTGCTTCGTCAGACGAAGATGAATCAGATGATGAAGAAGATGTAGATGCACTACGCGAAAAGTATCGAAAACTACTCAATAACGTTGAAGACTCAGCATTTGACAACCATACAAACGAAGAAGAAGGTGATATGGAGGTCACATTCACACCTGGTTTGACCGAAGCTGCCAGTGAAGCTGTCAACAAGCGTCTGAATCCCGCTGAAGTAAAGGAGGAAACAACCGTTGAGACATACATGCGCAAGCAACGTGAGCGGAAACAAGCAAAGAAGGAACGACGACAGGCGGAACGTGATGCTGAGGAAGACGAAGAAGAAGGAGGTAAATCTAAACATTCTGTTTTTGCAATAGGAACGTATGTGACGGTTATCTAACTGGAATCGTTTTGTTTCCAAATGTTCTAGGTTCTGAAGAAGATGAAGAGCTTCAGAACGATCCATTCTTCAAGGAAGCCATGGAAGAGATGGAAGAAAAAGAAGAACCCAAGTCAAAGAGTAAGTTCACAACAGTCAGTGGAGGGAGGGGTTACCTGTCAAGGTATCGTCATGTTAATCATATGGTCTATGCTCAATAGAATCCGAGAAGAAGAATAAGAAGGGCAAGAAGGGCAAGAGCAAAGAAGAGCGTGAAGAAGAAGCACGAGAGAAGGCTGAACTGGAGTTGCTTATGGGTGACAATGAAAAGGGCGAAGGTTTCGATATGCGAGACGTGCTCAAGCGTGAAAAGGCAGAGAAAAAGAAGGGCAAAAAGAACAAGAAGAAGATGGCCGAGCTTGCTGGTGCTCAAGATGACTTTGAGATCAATGTGGAGGATCCTCGTTTCGCCGCGTTGCACGAGAATCATCAATTCGCTATCGATCCTACCAGCTCGCAGTTCAAGAAGACCAAGAGCATGAAGAAACTTTTGAGTACAAGACAAGAAAAGATGAATAACACGGGCCAGACTGATGCCGAGTGGAAGAAAGAATCCGCAAAATTTGCAAAGGTAATACAGAGAAACCATGCATCTGTCTTTTTTATGTTTGGGAGGAGGAGGAGGAGGAGGAGTGGTTGTCTTGGGTGAACCTGTATAAATTAATACGCATGATTCGTGCTATAGGACAAATCTGAAGATGACAAAAAGTCCAAGAAGAAGGACTCGTCGCTGGCACAACTTGTAGCCTCCGTCAAGCGAAAAGGTGGTGCTAAGCAAGAAAAGCTTGGCAAGCGTCAAAAGTCATAGAATCATTTTTCCCATTCAACAAAACACACGCAAAACACACATACTCACTCATACACACACCCCGTACATTTGTAATCAACTGCATATCTCAAAAAGAGACACTTATTCGATAATAAATCAACTTTGTTTATGTACTATAATATGATTATCGCCATTAGGCCTCCACGTTTATAGTTGCTGTACAACTGAGAGAATGGTGAACGCTGGTATGAGAATATCAAGTGTGTATATTGCAATTAAATTTAGACATAGAAGATCAGACTCTCCTTGTTGTTCTTTGCTTTGCTTTCTTACCTTCGACTACCAGGAACTTGAACATATGATAAGATATACGCTTCATTGTAAATAACAATAATCAATAGCAGTGGCTAATAAGTTAGCGTAATACCTAACTATCTGTTGTGCACTGCCGGAACGTTTTTGCTGGAGCATAGACCCATTCTGGTCACCCTCTTGTGCGTTTGAGACATAGGAACCGTAAGCTACGTGGTAAGATTAATCAAATAGTAATAGCTCTAGTCAAGGTCAGCCAGCCTTCCTGTGTTGTGACCATATTCGCTCTCTGTCATAATAGATTGAATCATTACAATGCCTACAGAGCCATGATTAAGAACGGCTCTTAAACCTTAGCCAAAATTTGTACTTTCAATTCTCAAGCTTCCTGGAAGACAATCAGTATGAGTTCTCGTTTCCATTGTAAAATAGCCTCTTATAGCTTTAGATATCTTCACATTATTACATATATTATCCAGCGTACACTATACTTTCTTTTGGGGAAAAAAAGTGTAATATAGTAATTATACTGCGACCCGAAAACGTTAAACCGTCGAAAGGACAATATGATCATAGCACTGCTATTTTTAATGAGTCGGCCAGCACAGTATGATTGGGTGGACATTTATAATAAAAATACCTTTAATATTATTTTTAAGATTACAAAACTATATTATAAATACATAATTACGGCTTATTGTCATTGCTATTATCGATACCCTCTTCAGCATTTGCAACCTTATCGTTTTTCTTTTCTGGACGCCAGACGTATGTATCTTTGAATGCAAAAACGCTTCCAGAAAACACCTCTTCCATTTCCTCCAAAGATCGCCCTCTTGTCTCCGGAACGAGAACGTATGTGAAAGTGCCCATGACGATAGCGCAGACGCCAAAGAAAAAGTAAGTGCCGTACGTGATGTTTTGCATCATAATAGGTGTTACTTTGGCAATGGTGGCGTTCATAGCCTAGTTGTAATGTCATGATAAGACAAATAGTTAATAAAAATGTTGTCCGGCATCGCATCACCTCTCCTTAAATATTACTTGTTCAACTTACCCAGTTGAATGCTGGCACAGTCATGAATTATACAAAAGCACAAGGCAGTGATTACGTGTTAGATCAACATAGAAAAGTATGCTCATGTTGTTTTTTATCTTACCAGTAGTAATGGACAAACACATGGCACGAATACGAGTAGGGAAGATTTCGGAGCAGACGACCCAGACAACAGGGCTGATATAGAAATTTAAGAAATTTGTCAATGATTCACGCGAAGTTAAAAGACGTTATTCCATGATTGTTCAGTACTGCTTACCCCCAAGAGAACTCGTATCTAAAGTCAGCGTAATTTATCGTTTAGTATCATATGAATAAGTTGTTCTGAAGATTATGTATAGGAGCACGAAGTATCTTGTAGTATGTAGTAGTAGGGACTATGATCACTTACCCAACAGCAAAGATATAAATCATCACAATGGCAACGTAACCCTTGGCATCGACATATGAAATATCACCCGAGACACCGCCATTGTCACGTTGAATGCCCAGTACCATACCAGCCAAAATAAAGAACGCAACCATCATAAAGACGGAACCAATCATCAATGTTTGTCGACGACCGAAGCGTGCGTCAATCATAAAGAAGGCGACGATAACAAAGACAGCCTTGACAATACCTATAAGCAGACCATGAGTATATAAGAGGAGATTTTGTAGCTAAAATTTTATCGAGAAACGTAAGAGCGTACCGTAGACACCAGTTGCTAGGATATCCGTGTTGTTTTCCGAAAGACCAACCGTTCGGAAAATGTCTGGTGCATAGTAGTTCTAAATGTCCATCTTCCTTATCAGTCTCGTGTTATAAAGAACGTTTAAAGAGTATGGAGAAGCTGGTTATTCATAAAAAAAAACTTACAACAGCGTTTGTGCCAGTCCACTGCTGGAAGATCTGTAACCATACACCAATGAACAACCGACGCAAGTTGTTTGGAACAAGTAGCTCAGACCAGCGGCTTTTTCGACCTTCGAGTTCCAACTCAACAGCTTGACGGATTTCTTGCAATTCTTCCTGGATTTCTGGGTCATCTTCCTTGCCATCGCGAAGGAAGCACAGTTCTTTCAAAACTTTTTCATATCGGTTCCTTGATTCGATTATGAGTATAGATACTTGAGGGCATATTTTACAAGCTTGCCGACCAAAAGAAAAAAAGAGAGAATTTAACTTACTTTAATGCCAACCAACGCAGAGACTCGGGCAAAAAGAACATGCCAATGAGCAAGATGCCACCGGGGACGATTTGGATACCAAGGGCGGTACGCCATTGTTTATCGCCCTCGGGGATGTGACGTACACAACCGTAATCGACCCTTAGAAAATTATGAGTCAAGTGTACAAGTTAGTATAGGTTGCTGTACCTACTATGGCTCGTACATAACGGCATTCTATGCACTTACCAGTAAGACATCATAATACCCAGCACAATCAAAAATTGCCATAAAGTACCGAGACGACCGCGAAGTTTTCTGGGAGAGATCTCAGCAATGTACATGGGAACCAACATGGAACACGCGCCAACACCGACTAAAAATAGGGTGCGTACGGTTAGAAACAGCATAATTGCTTTATGCTCTTTATGTTACGTAATCACAAACTTACATCCGGCTACAAATCGACCTGCCATCATGGTTGCGAGGTTCTGTGCTACAGCTTGCAGAATACCTCCAACAATGAAAATGACCGATGATACTATAATGGCGAGCTTACGGCCGTAAGGATCTAATATGTTGCGTAGTAGCGGGAAGGATTGTGCAAATAGAATAAAGAAAAGGGTATAAATGTAAGCTTTCATGCGGGCTCTGCTACCTTGTACTACCATATCACTACTACGTTTCGATGTACAGTACCAGCAAAAAAGTTGATCAACAAAGCACCAGCGCAGCAACCAGCCTGAAGCAATGCTACAACATCACCTTTGACTTGAGCAATGTGATCGGCGCCTCCTTCGGCAAAGCCAAAATAGGAGGGGAACGTTGGCATTGCCAACACACCTATTTAATAGAAATACGGCAATCATAGTTGAAGTTTTCGAACTTTATAATGTGATTTTACTGACAATGCAGCACCAAGTTCAGAACATGTATCATTTACCGCTGATGACACCAATATCATAACCGAATAAGAAACCACCAAAGCAGGAAACGAGGGTGGCTATCAATGACATGTACTTCATGACGGGCTTGTTGATTTTTTTTTTCTCTCTTTCTATATATATCGTGTAAGGTGTAGAAAAAAATAGGCCTGAAGAAGAGAAAATAAAGTGTAGCGGGAAACCCAGCGGAAAAGCAAAAGAAGAAAACAGGGACCGAGAGATCAGAATTAGGATGGCCGCTTTTATATGAATGGAAAGGTGCCCTTATATGAAAAGTTGTGTGCGTGCATCTGCGGATGCATGTGTGTGTGTGTGTGAAATAACTGGTGTGAGTGGAGACACGACAAAGTAGCTGTGCTACGATGGTGATCACTTTAATTTTTGCATTCGCACACACACACACACTCACTCACTCACAGCCCGAAGCGTTTTGATTTTGCTTTTTTCGCCTAAATTCCGCATGAATTAACCGATTCTTCTACCTAGCTTTTACCACAAGAAGCAATTTTCGTTTTTGTTAAATCATATGCAAGACATATTAATTCCCACTTGCTACTACTCCTGCTGCTTACTGCTCTTTCGAACCTCATCTGTCATCAATGCTATCACGACGTCGTCCACTCATCGTAACTTTTCCCATTCCAATAATACGCCGATTGATGCACTTGTATTTACCCCGTGTGTGTGTGGTTGCACCCCCTTCCCCACACGCGCTTTATAGAAAGATCGAAGAAGAACAGGTGTACAAATCGAAGACTTCTACTCTCTTTTAAAGCCTTCCGTTCACGGATCAATGTGCCACAGGTGCTGGGCGTGGTGGGGGCGAGAGAGGGGCCAGCCACTTTATACAAGCGCTTGCTACCTAGCACTAACTCAAATCATCATCACTTAATAACCCGACTTACATAAGAAACCGTTCCCTTTTCCACAGAACAACTCAACAACCTCGTTTTGACATTGCACACAAAGCTTTCTCTCTTTTCTCTTTTGTGGGCCATGACATTTCTTTCCGTTAGTTCCCATACAGCAGCAGTGATAGCACGCACATGTCGAGTCATCTTTCATTTGTTTCGACGTCGTCGTTATGGCAATCAAATCATAACGTAACCTGAGTCACAGTTTAGGAGTGGAGCACTAGGTTGACATCAGTTATTATGCTGGGTGCATAAAAGCACATGCGCACATGAAGACGAAATCCCTACTCAATTTCTTCTCTCAGTCCACTCCATCGATGAAGTGCCCATTGATGCCTCTTCTCTCGACACATGCGCGAGTCAATGAGAGAAAGAAAAAAAACTGCTGATCAAACATAGGGCAGAACGAGTAGCGTCCACTCGCTTCGATTCCCATCGCCCATCACAGAATTGCCTATTTCGGACCAATTTCAACATTCACTTTTACTTTGGGTAAGGAAAAATACTCGATAATGTACGTGTGCAACGCGAGTTCTGTGATCATGTACAACAATCGATGCAACAAGTTTTTGTTTGTAAGGGATTAGAAGAGTTAACTTTGTTTTAAGCTTGCTGCATGTTGTAAGTCGTCTGTTATTTGATACTTTGATAACAAAAAAAGGCCATGGCTTTTAAACGAGTGTGACCTAATGTGAGAACATAAAAAGTAGCGGTGATTAGCAAAGATGAAGGATGTGTTTGGTAGTCTCGGTATAATGAATATTTACCAGCTCTTCACCCGCAGTAGGATGGATAGCAACACAGTTATCAAAGTCTGCCTTGGTAGCACCCATTCTATAACAAGATGACGAGGGTCATGAGTACGACGTGCGCGGAAATAGTAATAGTACTGCACACTGCTTTCTTCAAGAAAATATCAAAGTATATCAGTTGAAAAGAATACTTACTTGATGGCCACACCAAAACCTTGCAGCATTTCATCCGTGCCTTTGCCAAATAGATGCAAGCCGACGACCTTTTCGTCGGGCCCTTGAACAACCAGCTTGAATGCGTTCGCTTGCTTACGATCCAACAACGCGTAATACAAGTTTGTGAATTTCGTGTTATAAACCTTGACTTGATCTCCGTACTTCTCACGGGCCTCGGCTTCGCTCAAGCCAATGGAACCTGCAGTCGGGTGACCAAACAAGACGGTAGGAATGTTCTCGTATTCAAGGAACGCATTAGTCGAGCCAAAGAGGCGGTCAGCAAGTCGTCGACCCGCAGCAATGGCCACTAAAGAACAATGTCCTCGGTTACTCAGCGTATGCACAATGAGAAGAAAAAGAAGAAGAGAGGGATAAACTACGAACCTGGGGTCAATTCGAACTTGCCTACGCAATCGCCAAGCGCATAGATACCTTCCTGACTTGTGTTTTGGAACTTGTCCACCTTGATGAAATTGCGGCGAGTCGTCTCCACGTTGGCTACCGGTAGGTTGAGTTTTTGCACATTGGGCACACGGCCAACAGCCCAGAGAACGCAGTCGACTTCAACAGGCGCCTGGTTGCTCTTGACGCAAATGCCATTTTCTGTCTTTTCCAAGGCGGTCACGTCGGCATCTTGGACAAACCCGATGCCGCTCTTTTGCATTTCTTCCAACATGTTTTCGTGAATGACCGGATCAAACTTGCGCAAGATCTGCTTTGAGCGCGAATACACGGTGACTGTGCTGCCGAGCTCGTTAAAGATACCGGCAATCTCAATGCCAATGTAGCCAGTGCCAACGACAGCCACACGTTTGGGCTGGTGCTCGAGCGCAAAGAAGCCATCCGAATCAATGCCCAGTTCAGCGCCAGGCACTTCTGGAATAACGGCATGCCCACCCGTAGCAATCAGGATATTTGTAGCCACCATCTCCACACCTGCGTCGTCGGGTGACTCTCGCACACGGATTGTATGGCTGTTGACAAACTCGGCTGTGCCATGGATGTGCTCGACCTTGGCCTTCTCGAGGTTGCTTTCGTAGATACCGTTTAGGCGTTTGATGTAGGCATCGCGCTTGCCTTTCAGCACTCGCCAGTCGACTGGGGCACAGGGATCGTTCAATTGGAAACCAAAGCCAGGCGCATCGTGCAGTGATTCGGCAATTGTGGCAGTGTTCCACATGATCTTCTTCGGCACACATCCAACGTTGACGCACGTGCCTCCGAGCTTGCCGTGTGCTTCAACGATGGCAACGCGCGCTCCATAGAGACTGCTGGCTCGTCGTGCTGCAGCCAGACCACCGGAACCGCCGCCAATGACAATAAAGTCATACATAGTCTTTGAAGGTCGTCGTAATGCTGGCATTGTATATAATTGAGAAACTGTTATATGTTAAAAGTAGAGATGATTAAAAGAATCCGAATAAGAAAATGGATGCTCTAGCACAGCCATGCTTCAATTTTCTCTCTTGGGCGTGGGTTTCATATTCATTGTCTTAAATCGACGTCAAAAACCCATGTAAATTGTTTTTGTTTAATACAGAGAAAATTTGGCGTAATATATTAGTTAATAACGTAAGAATAATAAAGGTAGGTAGATAGGTAGATAGATAGGTAGACATATAAGTAAGAATAGAATAATAGAAAACTACTGAGTAGAAGAGATGCTTAAACATATCATGAAATAAAAAGTAAAATCTATGAAAAAATAGTAAGTAGTACAATAGCAATAGTAGTAGTAGTAGTAGTAGTAGTAGAGTAGTAAGTAATAGTGTTCTATGATTCTTCGTGCGGTGAAGGAGGTTGTTGTAATTGCTGAGATGAGGATGATGTTGCTGGTTGTTGTGGCTGTCCGCTGCTACTGCTACTGCCGCCTTCGCCTGGGTCGGAACACCCTGGGAACGAAGTGCCGAGTGCTTCGAGATTGACACTTGCAGTGCTACTGTAACTTGCTGTGTATTTGCTAATAATCTTTTTGAGTGCCATAGCCAGCGATCGCCACAGAAACACCTTGACCTGGTATCATTAAAGTGTCGTGATGAGCATTAATGTCTTTCCCAAGTCATAGAGTCCTCATTCCACGGTATTAACAGACTCACATCTTTTTCAATATTTCTGGGCTTTGGGTTTGGAAACGCCATGATGAGCTTAAAGAAATCAGCACTGTCCTGCCGCAACTTGCTAACAGTCAATGGGCGGAAGCCTTCCAAATTGCGACGTATCCGATTCTTTTCCTCGACCGTAAACCGAACACCAATCAAGCTTTCCAACAGATAAATGCAGTCGACGGACGTGATGAAATAATCGTTATGTTCCCGCCAATAGATACATGAGACGACAATCATGTTTTGTTGCTGAGGCCGTTCGCTCTGAGCAATGGGTGCAAAACTACAAATCACCTCGTTGCCTTGTTGTCGCCGCCAAAACTGAACGAGACGTCGCTGATTCTGCCATTCCTCGGGTGTCCAATTCGCGAGCATGTCTTCGAGATTGCCTTCGACATGGAGATTCGCCTTGTTGAGAATGTGCGCGTAAGGATCGTAAAGGGGTGCTGCTCCTGCTTGGCCAGAGGTCGGCGACGTCGACGGGGTCGTGCTGGAAGGCGCTAATGACGGTCCTCCTCCTCCTCCTCCTGGTGCTGTTGTTGTTGTTGCTGATGGGGGAGCTGGAGCAATAAGCTCCATACTCGATCCAGCGGCAGCTGAGGTGCTAGTAGGAGTAGTGTCGGAAATGTTTGGATGTTGTTCGTGTTGTGGATGTTGCTGGTGGTGCTGGTGGTGATGATGGGATAATGGCGGTGGATTTTGCTGCTGTATTGACGGTGGAGTGAGCTGCTGCATCATGTAGGGCTGCAAGCCAGCGGCTGCGGCTGCTGATGGGTCTGCTGCATGGGCCAAAACACCTGACTGAGGATGGCCCATCTGACTCATGGCGGCAGCGGCTGCAGCAGCGTCCTCATCACTGAGTTCAGCATGCGGAGGTGGCGGTGGAGGTATGCTTGGATATCCCAGTGTTGGCTCGCTGCTAGGTACGGAGGATGGAGGAAGAGGCTGGTCGCGGTAAGAGTAACCCATCATTTGAGTTGGGGAAATGGTGGGCGGCGGCGGACCTGATATTATGTATTGTTTGGAGGAGGATGATTTAAACAATAAGCATTCAACATCGAACACAAAAAAGAAGAGGGAATAAAGGAGAGGAAAAAGAAACCCAGACACAGAAAAGGACAGCAGTAATAGTAGTAATAATAAGAGGTGATGATGATGATGATGATGATGATGAAAGGAAACGGAGATAGGTCCAATTATAGCAATGATATGCGAAAGCGGAGACAGAGAGAGAGCGAGAACGAAGAGTGTGTTGTAATGGAAAGAATAGCACTGCAAAAAGCGAAAGGAGAACAAGAAGAACAATCAATTAAGAAAATGACTTTACCTTCGTAATATCCGCGCGAAGATCGGGTCGGAGCCGGTGGCCCGGTGGTGTGGGAAGTGGGTGGATAATGCGCCATGTATGGTGCTGGAGACGGCGGCAGGCCATAGTAGCCGGATGCAGGATAGCCTTGATATGCAGGTACCATGTAGGCAGCAGCTGCAGCAGCTGCTGGATCTAGAATAGCATTGGAAGGCCAACATTTTGTTATCAGACGGCGGGTTTTTCTGTCGGTCAGTATCATCATCATGTAACCTCTTATTTTGGAGGAACGTGCGCTTGACTATAAACAGGGTGCATTGTGTTAAGTCTAAATGGGCTCATTACCTGTCTGATGCTGTTGTTGTTGTTGTTGTTGTTGCTGCTGCTGCTGCTGCTGTTGCTGCAAAGACGACAATGACTCAGCCCGCCTGGTGCGTTTGGACCCAGTGCTCGAAGTCATGGACGATCCGTACTCAGCTGAGGATCGTTTTCGGGCATAGTCGTAAGCAAAGTAGCCAATAAACCAGTTATCAATGACCTCTTGGTGGTTCTGCTCGCAAATGACGACATAGACAGGAACGCGGGTTCTGTCAGGCGCGCGAGTCATCTGCCAGTTTGGAACGGCGGCTGTCAATTGTACATATACGGCAGTTGGGTTGACAAGTGTTTGCCGTGTCGGCAGGACGCACGAGCCGAGTGCTATGCGTAACATTGGAATCAAATCGACGTCCACCAGGCCCAGGACGATTCGGAGGGTATCTGAATCTAAGCCCACCGGAGGTCCGTACTCGAGAATTCGTGGCGGTACAAAGCGGTTCGTCGGCTGCTGTTCTATCCATTGCCGTAATGGCAGCTGATGCTGTTGATGTGGTGTAGTAACGGTTGGTTGTTGTTGTTGCTGCTGCTGCTGCTGTTGCTCTTCAGAAGACGATGGCTGTTGCGGGGCTGATGAGCGCAGATCAAAATCTAGAATTGTTCGTTTAGTTCGCCATGCACGATAATATGATTTCCGTTACTTCATGCTACATATGCGAGTGTTATACTTTGTGACATGGCGACTTGAAGCCCCGCAAAGACGTAAATCCGGCTTTGGAGTCGTTTCTATGGTCTGAAGCGAGTGCTGTCGGTGGAGCTTGTTGCGATCTCCTTGTCTGCATTGTGCGAAAGTGCGGTTGGAATGGCGAGAGCGGTGGGTGCAAAAGTTGACGATTCCAAATCAATGTGGCAAATGTCAACGCGAGTGGAGAGGAGCATTTCGAAAAAAAGAGAGAGAGAGCGAGAGAAGCAAAAGGTTAGTCTGGTTGAACTCCGGCTGTGCATGGAGGCAACAAGGCGGTAGTGTATGGTTACACAGCCATGCTTCTGGATTTGCCACACCTTACCCTTTTGTTGGCAGAGAGTGATCGCGGCCTATATTGCTGTTGTGCGTGTGTGTGTCTGCTACCAGCGAACAATAACAGTAGTAAATAAAGTAAAAAGACGGAAAAGATGCGCGGGGGATGTGGATAGAAAGTACGCGCGCAAAACCCAACGCAACTTTTTTTTTCCTTCTTTCCACATACCCCCAATCCGGCCACCCATCCTTTCGTAAAGCCTGGCTTAAAGATTTCCGGTGGATATAAGCAAACTTTCGAAACCTAAGCAATCATCGGCCAGCATGACCTCCGCACTAGTGCTTAACCATGGAACATACACCCTCGGAATAAAGATACCGTCGATCCTTTTCAATTCAGCACACACCCCCACCGTTCTTATTATCTCACCTTGGAGAAAATGATCGCACAATGGAGAGCGAGAGAGACGGAGAAAAAAGGAATCCTTCTTTTTCCTTCTCTCGATTGATCGAAAACAGCTTGTTGTTGCTGGACAACAAACAGCAGTAGCAATCAATCACTATGGTCACGGGCAAGGGTATTCCCGTCAAACAAAGAAGCAAACACAGAAGAAGAGCAATGGTTTGCTGTTATCATCCAACATCATGAGGATATCCTGTTGTTGTGTCGCGCGCATGACTTTAGCGTGGACGCAGTAGGAGCAGTACCACACGTGTAGTAGATAAGTTGCACGCACGTATCTACACATCGTAACGAATTTTTACTAATGTCGCCTTACCCTAGACTTAATACAATTACTTCGTAACGTTAACAATCATTACAACTAAAACTATGGGTGTCCGCTAGCACTCTGCCTTTCCCGCTTCTTCTTCTTTTCTATTTAACAGTTGGTATAAGATGCAGGGACTCGACTATTGTATATAACACCTGTTTCAAACTAACGCTACCACATTCTTGCTCGATGCATGCTGCATTGCTACTATCCTGGTAATGATATGAACAAGGAGTATAGTCGAATGCATGTGCAGCTTCGAGACATGTGTATGTATAAAAGAAAAGCACTGCTGTTGTTGTTTAGTTCATATGATCTCCACCACACACATGCACTCACTCATTGGAGTACTACCAGGCATCCGGCTTCTATCCGAGCTAAGCGTAAAGTAAACAAATAAAGAAATGTCCGCGCGAAACATTTGTCGATCGCGCTCTACTTACCCTTCTCTTTGTTTATTACATGTTGCCTCCAAGGTTAATTTATGTTTGCATCATAGATGATATAGCGAGATGCAATTGTAAAATATAATGCGAGCAAAGAAGATGGTTGACGAGTTTCATTATCTTCGTGTGGCTTGACAAAAAGCAAGACTGGTTTTCTATACGGCATCATCATTGTCACCATTCAGTTCAGTTCAAAATAAAAAAAAAAGAACGAGTGACATCCAAACATCGCCACAGAGAGCATTGAATAGACGATTGGACAAGCAGCGCAAACAATGCGTAGTGCAAGCGACAACAAAGTCTGCTCTACCGCTTTTGCACTGGAGAGAAAGCTGGCACTATGTAAATCATCATCACCATTATATGGTATACTAAATAGTTATAGGCGTATGATAGTAGAGCATGTTTTTTGAGATTCTTGTTCGCTCTTTTATCTGTTGCTCACCATGAAGGGAAATTGTTGTCAGGCAAGTAAAGGTTGCAGTATCATATGCGCACTGCATACCAGGCTAAATGCATGTGGCGAGTGAAAAAGAACAGTAGAAAAAAAAGGATCCACAGTAGTATCGTGAGATTACCTGGAAGTACTGCGGCTCCATTTTCCGAATACCGAGCAACGAGAAAGCGTGCAGCCACATTCACCATCATTAAAGAAGTATGTGCGTATCACTAAACTGAAAGTTTTTATCCAAGACGATATGTGGGCGAGGCAAGAAGAAAAAGACACATTGTGTATTATGTATACTAAGGCGCGTGAAGAGAAGGTCTGGAACGGTGGTTTTTTTTTATTATATTGGTTCTCAGTATGGACGTATGCAGCAGTTTGTTGATTTTCCCTTTTTCGACATGTGTCAGATGAAATAGAAAGCCATATGTTTTTAGGTTCTGGCACAATAGTAATTGCTGCGAGTTCGTCATCATCATCGCATCACCTTTGAAATTTCTAGAAACCATCATTAAATGCGTTTACACTAACAAAGTGTACTCACATATTTTGAAAATAAGCCCTAGGCAAGCGTTCATGAAGACATATTACACACAATGAAAATACAGAATGTTGCTATAGTGGAGTGGGTGTTTCTTTCAAGGCCTGGTATGGTAAATGTATTGAACGAGAGAAAGAGACGAAGCGACATTCTGAGATCGATGAGGAGGGGGGGGGGTATGGAGTGGGAGTCCTCTGTAAATGATGATTACTCAGTATATGCAATGGCAGCACGACGCAGCATTGTTTATGCATGTCGATCGGCATAAACGTGACAGTCTAGAACTCTGATATGTAATATCAGAAGTTAGAGTACAACCACTACATGGTATGCTTTGTCATTAAAGAACTCTTAAATTCAGTCCCCTTTATTGTGTTTGTATGTGATATGCTAGCGAGTGTAATAAACTGGATCTACTATCGACAGTAGCAAAATATTATCAGCATACGTAGATGTGATGACACTCTATGCACATCTCGCTGTATTTATAACATGAGCCCGTCCTCAAAACCTTAGTGCATATCATTACGTAGTTATTATATAATCTCGCAAAGAAGCTGTTAGCATGCCTAAGGAAAAGCAGTAGCAATATCAGTATACGCCGCGTTATGCCGTCGCTATCCATTATTCTGACGTTGACTCAATAGGCTAGTATATGTATCTGTTATTGTCGATACTGTCAAAAGCATCATGTCTTTTTCATGCAAGAAAGAAGGTTAGAGTTTGGCGGAGTACGTAGTAGGAGTAGTAAGTGAAAAAATATAACCGAGTCTCCTAATTATGGCGTGCGTGCTTGGAAGAGTAAGATTCAAATAGCTGCACGGTTTGAAAAGAGGATACTTTAACCTTTATGAAATATATACTTTTAATAGACAGAAAAGATCTGCTGCAAACAATTGACATATCTTTTAACCATTGATACACATTAGATGAACGAACTACAGTGAACTCAAAGAGGCTGTCACACGTATTACTGCCCTCTGCGGACCTTCCCCCTTTCTTATCTCTGACGTCTGTGTGCATCATAGTGATGGCTCTATATCATAATGACAATTTACTTTATCATGCTTATAAAAAACATGCGCAGCAAAACTTTAGACATAGCCGGAACCAAGAATTACAGTGTTTGTGGAATCTGCAAGATGTGATGACGAAATGCCAAGAAGATTTTTTTCTTTGTTGGGAGGGGGGGGGAGTGGAGAAGAAAAGGAATGATATATCGATGGTTGTACATAACAAACACATCAAGAACCACATGAGAGATGACGATAACTCGTCATTTACAAAAAAATTCGCGGAAGAGCCTTTTGTCATACAATTGTAAAGAAGAAAGAAAGAATAAGCTGGAAAGAAGCAGTATTGCTGCGTGTATTAATGCGTTTCTTATGAACTGTGTCACAAAATGGTGGTATCCATTATTAAATTATGATTTATTATTACAAAAGAATGGGAAACCTTAGAAAGTAATCTATGAGAAAAAACTGCTGTTGTTGCTGAGAAAAATGCTAGCGTGGCCGGTTCCTTGTTGTAATACAAAAATATTTATACATATATATATATATATATACAGTTATGTCGTAACGGCAATCTAATGGCTAATATGAATTACTAACCAACGATGGGATTATTTGTGCCACGTACGTCTAAACTCAACGAATGGTGACAGCAGTTAGCAAGATAGGATGGAATTTTGTCCCCCTCCTTACAGCAGTAGCCACACAATAGCAAGAGCAACAACAGCGGCAAGTAGAAAAGCTATGAGCTCATTGTGTACATGGCACAAACAAACACGATTGGATCCTGACCGTGGCGATCTCTGCTACTGTGGGTTCAGGGTCGATCCCCCGGCCCCTTGATCTAAACACAAAGATTGACTTGATATATGTGACGTATATGTATATATATATATATATATAATAACACAAAGAAAATCCCATTAACATTTTGTATACAACACCCGCCATTGGATGATCAAAGGGGATGGGTGGGGAGAGGGAGAGTAAAGAGAGTGGTGTGTTAAATTACAATTGCTACACGAGAGGAAAGAGAAGAGAAACCAAAGTGATATATTGGAAGAGGAGAGATACAAGAAGAAGGAGGGTCCTTGATGCCCATCCTTCGTCCTTTGTTTTTTTTTTTGGTGCAAAAGAAAAAGAGAGAGAGAGAGAGAGAGAGTATATACTAAGGGAGGGGTTTGGGGAATGGGATATATTAAGGCTGTTGCTGTTATTTGCTGTGTGCGTCCAAGACTGGCTTCCGGCGTTGCCACCAGATCGAACTTCCTCTAATCACAGTTGTCTTTGGCATATGCGCCGCACTGCCCATGAAATGCGAAAGATTGTTGTCAGCAGTGGGTAATAATCGATCGCGCTCTCTAGCGTTATCATCACCATCGACATTATCGTCGTCGTTGTCGTCATCGTCATCGTCTTCGTCGTCACTGTCATTCGTGCTGGCACTCATTTGGATGAGACGAGCCAAGCCTGGACCTTGGATGACTTCTCGTCGAACTCCGCCCAAACAGAGCCGCTGCAATCCATAGGAGGGTGCATGAGGATGATGCTGTGCTTGTGCTTGCTGTTGTTGTCTGGGATGGTTTTTGCTGTTGTGATGATGGTTGTTGTTGTTATGACTGTTGCTATTATTATTACTATTGTTGTTGTTGTTGTTGTTATTGAGAAGATGATGCTGATGCTGATGATGACTACTACTTTCGACAATTGCGTCGAGTTCCCGTTCGACTCTTGTAGCTGCAAGTTCAAAAAACTGATTACCGAGAATCCGGGCATTGCTCAGGCTCAAGACACGCAACTGAGTGCACTGGCGTAGCACTTCAATCAATGTTTCCTCGTGCAGTTTGTTGCCGTCGGGATTGCTGAACAGGATCAGCTGTTTCAGGTTCTTGCACCGTTTGGCAACATGGCGTATGGAAATGTCGGTCAAGTGATGCGCATTCCCAATGCTTATGCTCTCGAGGTGGGCACCGCAGTGCTCGGCAAGCGTGGCCAAGCTCGGGTCGCTGACGGGAGTGTTGCCCATGATCTCTATGTGCCGTAGCTGCGGATTGGTCAATGCTAGCTTGCAGAGCGTCGAGCCTTGCAAGGTTGTGCAACCGGTAAAGATGATGCTCTCCAGCGTACCGGATTTCAGGTATTTGGCCATCTCGTAGACCGAGTCGTCTGTCTTTGGCGAGTATGAGGTCAGTCGAATGTGCCGTAGTTTGCGACAATTGTGTGCAAAATGCGCAAGTGGGAGCGAATGATTGTGTTGACGATGCGTATGCGAAGAATGATTACTGCTCATGTTGACGACTGGCTGTTGTTGTTGTTGTTGTTGGGTGGACGGTGAATGATGCGGTCGAGGAAGAGGAGGGGTAATAATGTTGTTGTTGTTATGATGTTGTTGTTGCAATAGTTGTGATGGTGTATGATGGTGTGCGTTATTATTGTTGTGCTGAGGAAGATGATGCTGTTGCGGTAATGGTAGTACTGGTTGTTGTTGTTGTTGTTGTTTCTGCGGTGGCATGTCTCCTGTCCGTTTGATAGGTGGTAGGACCGGTCGATGCTGCATCTTCACAGGAGGCGCGACAGGCCGGGTATTATTAAAGGTAATTGATATCGACTCAAGGTTCGGACAAGCCGAAGTGACGAGCAGGATGATGTTTGGGCTGACAAAGAAGTCTCTGTCCGCATGAACCAGTTCAAGCGTTTTGACAAACAAGCCGTACTTGCGCGAGGCGCTGCGCCGCGTGATGATGGCGAAAACGCGCTCAAACTCTCGCTCGCGTGCAAACTTGAAGCTTGCCCACACCCTTTCAAGTGCAGGTGTCGACCATGCTCGGCAGGTCAGCGCTACGCGCACCAAATCGGATCGGGGAAGGTTGTTGAAGATGCGTTTCAGGCACGACGGCGTCAGCTGCGTTGCTGTTGTTGTCCTGCTGAGCGACTTGGGTTCCCACTCAGCCAACGGTGAGCTTCTACCCAAGATCGCATCTCTCGTCATGCACAAATCGTCCGTAATGTCGTTTTGTGGCAAATTGTCGAACAGCCAGCAAGGTTAAAGACCGAACACGCGGCGCGATTCAGCTTTGCGACGTTGGGGAGTGGGAGAAGGGGTGGGAGGGGGGCGAAAAGAAGAAGAGAAGAGAAGCGAGCGAGTGGGTGTGTAGAGAGAGAGAGAGAGCAAAGAGAAAAAGGTCTTTTTGGTGGTGGTGCTGAGGTGATGGAAAATTGGGGGAGGGGTTGGGTGCTGAGGTCAGAGTTGCTGTGAAGACTTGGAAAGAGAAAGAGAGAAAGAGAAAGAGAGAGAGAGAGAGAGAGAGAGAAAAGGGAAGCGAGCCACGTAATTTGGGGATGCAAGAAAGCCTGGTTCGTCCCATCGGAACTGAGTTGAGGAGTGGAAAAAAAAAAGTGGCTCGTTGCAAAAAAAAAAAGTCAGCGAACAGTAAGTACGGCTACTACTAATGCCTTCGCTAGAAAGGCGTGGACTCAGTCATGGGGAAAATGAAGAAGCCGTCTTTGCTCTCCCACTGGTAGATGTGTCCTTTCTCTTTTCTGCCTGCCGTTGCTCGTTTGCACGGAAAAAGAGACGGTTAGCAGTCGCAACGGGTTTAAAGAAGAGGGCAGTTGCAGGAGAGAGCCGAAAAAAGACTTCCAGAACTCCATTCCACCATCTCCAATGATGTCATTCCGGTTACACAATGGCGTTGCGCGTGACCTATCCATGCTCCTTTACGTCACCGCTATTTGACGTTACCTTGTATCTTCTTGTACACCGTCGTCCTCATATACTACTACTACTACTACTACTACCACCACTACTACTACCCACATAGCCCCTCTTCGACTCAACCCCCCACCCCGACTTTTCTCCTATCTTTGCACACGCAACTGATAATCCCACTGGCACAGTCATCAGGGATGATTGATATGAGCAACACATTATGTAGCAAATAAGCTAATGATAGAAGAATGAAAAAGAACATGTAGGGTCTGGTCTATTACAGAGCCTTTTTTTATTATTTTGGGTTGGTCGAGATTGATCCGCATCAAGAAGGTGCCACAAATTGAAGGCTTGTGGCCATCTATCAACCTTTTATTTTTCCCCAACTTGAGTGTGTGTACAACCACCACCACCACCACCACCACCCAAAAAGAAAAATGCATCTCGAAATGCTACAGAAACAACAACAACAACAACAACAAGTGGGCATTCTGTATTAAGGAGGAGATGCTTTTTACGCCCACTTAGTAAGCATGTGCTCCAATACAAAAATACTACTACTACAGCACGTATGTATTTACAACTAAACATGAGTGAGGGAGCGACACCCATCTTCTTTGCACAAAACTTCCTGACGTGTCACAAAATCGGCAGACCTTTTTGTGTTCTCTAACACCTTGTGTAGATTACACAAAGCAGTGCCACGTGCTTTCTTGCTGCTGTAAATCACTTAGTACATCATACATATACACACATTGTTATTATTATTACAAGAGGCACTCCTCCTCGTCCTCGTCCACCCCCCCCCCCGAGGGCCGTTCGCTCGACCCATAAACCATCGTTTCACTTCACTTCTATAATATGTAATTATCCAGTTCTAACCCATTGTGTATTTGATTAATGCCCGCTGGTGTTCTGTTGCACTCAAATAGATTCTCTTATTTGCCCCAGTAGTAGTCACTATATGCGGTTATACAAACCATCAGAAAGCACCTTTTTTACCCACTCAACGATTAAGCTTTTTTTTGTTCTTTTGACTTTTGGATTCGCTGTTTTGCTTATGATGCAGCCCCGTATGTTATCTTTAAATGAACGTGTATGTTCCCCTTTAACGGATTCTTTATTTCTTCTTCCTTTGCTCTACCCCCGCCCCCAAAACACACCTCTTCAATGTACGACCGTGAGTATACACGGAGCTCCTTGTAGCGTTGCAACAAAGTGGCGATATGTGTGTTGCAAAAAAACAGACATAGATGTTGTCCAGTAAACTAACCTGGTTGATCTTGGGATCTCTTCTTCTCCCAGTACCCTACGTCACATAACAGCCCCCGCCCCCCCCCCCACCCCACAGTCCGTCAAAAAGCATGAGTATGTGTCTTGGTATTAACTGAACATGTGTCTATAATTAGGTGCATACAAAAGACATACAGGCACATACCAGCACAACAGTGTCAATGCAATGCACGACGTAAATCATGCTTATACTTCTATCATACTCTGTATGTAGTATATGCGGACGTTATTACAGTATCTAGCATAAGCTATGTACACATTATTACGCACAGTACGGATCCCTTGGAGCAAGCGGTAAAAGCTGAAGCGATAATATTCACGAAGAATGCCATAGCGAAAGATGGCAATTAGCCATGAAAAAGTGCAGTAGAAAATAGGGATGATGACCATATCAATCATATCATTTGCCATCATCGAGCTGTCAAACTCCCATGTACGTCACATTCAGAAGCTTTCTTGCATATCTCAAGATGTCAATTTCACTAAAAAAAAGGTATGTGTATTAATTTATAATGAGTTAATATGAAGAGATTGCATTAAGTGAAAGAGTGAAGCATGTATGTACGGATGAGGGTGTGTGTACGGGAATATTATGGAAACATGAACTAAACAAAACAGGTGTATCTAATAATTTATGCAGTGACGACTTGTTTAATTGTCGTGGCCTTCATGAAGCGTCGCTTCACTGCCTTGTATCCTTCGCCAAAGAAGATAAAGAAAATATCCAAGCCAATGGCAAGACCCCATTCCCAAGTGACTCCCATCATGCTAAAGCCATCGATGGCTGCTTGTGGAATATACATGAACAGGAGCAAAGTGATAACGTCAAACAAGAATGTGCCAATGATAGTCTTGGATCGCAGTGTTTTCTTGATACCAGCCAGATCCCACTCGGGCCGGCGGTAACTGCGGACGTGGACCATGACGATGATCGAGCTGAACAAGAAAAAGATAAGCATGCTTGCACGGCCGCGATAGAATGAATCGCAAAGTCCTTCTTGGTAATTCGTGTCACAGCCAGAGGCACCCACACCAACACCATCACTGACGACATAGAGTGGTACTAAGAATGCGACCATGCATAATGCGGCAATGGCGATTGAATAAACAAACGTGTCCCACAAGATTTCCTTGTTAAAAAGGCTTTCGGTAGGAGGTCGAGGGGGTTCTTGCATAACCGTAGGGGATGCAGCCTGGGTGCTCAGATCAGCAGCGGGTGGTGTAATAGCGACATAGATCAAGATCATTTGCAAGGTCGACAGTGGAGCAGCACTCTTGTCATCAGGATCACGGACAGCCAGACAGACCAAGACGACAATGGCCAATGCAACAAGACAGATCCAATAGTACAACAAGAACCGTTGCATGTTTTGATAAATACGACGGCCTTCAGCAATGGCTCTGATAATCGTGGCAAAGTTGTCGTCTGTTAGAATGATATCCGATGCTTGTTTTGCAACATCGCTGCCGTTCTTGCCCATGGCAATACCCACATCGGCGATACGGAGCGAAGGCGAGTCATTGACACCATCACCCGTCATGGCGGCAATGTTGTGTCGACGGGCAGAGGCCTGGATCATCTTGACCTTAGTATCAGGTGAGCAGCGGGCGACCACGAGCGGAAGACGTTCGAGTTGGTCCACTTGATCATCGGTGAGAGCATCAAACTGAGGGCCAGACATGACGAGCTTGTCGATTTCTTTTTCAGAAAGCTGCTTTTCGTCCAAAATGTTGATTTCCTTGGCAATAGCGCGGGCAGTAATTTCGTGATCGCCAGTAAGCATGTGCACCGAAATACCAGCTTGGTGCGCTTCGCTCACAGCGACGCGCGATTCAGCACGTGGTGGGTCATAAATGCCGGTCAAACCCAAGAACTCCAGGTTGCATTCCATATCTTCTCTGGGAAAACGCTTGTGCATTAGATCCAAGGAAGGCAAGTCGGTCATGGCAGCAGGATCCATCTTGCGAACCGCGAGTGCCATCACGCGCAGACCCTTTGAAGCAAGCTTCTCTACAGTTTCAAGAACCAGTTGCGAGTTGTCGCCAACGTTGGTGCACAGAGGGACGATACGTTCAGCAGCACCTTTGGTGAACAGGAGTGCATCGCCGGTCTTGGTGTCGCGGCACAAAGTCGACATGCGCTTGATGGTCGAGTCGAATTGGTATTCAGCCAGCATTTCCCAGTCCAACGCGGTCAATTGAGGTTTACCCATATCAAACTTGTGTGCAAAAACTTGAAGGGCAACTTCAGTGGGTGCACCGCTCGGGATCCAGTCGTCAGATTCGGTGGGTTCTTCTATATCGCTGCTGTCAGCATCACTTGGTGTGAACGCCTTTTCCTTTACGTTGATGCTGACACTGTCATTCGCTTCCTCGCGACGGAAAATACTTGACATGTTACACAGAGCAGAGCAGTGAACAAGTTGCTGGAGAGTTCCCGAAATAGTGGACTTGTCGACCACCTCACCATTCATGTTGTTGAAAGCTTCATCCGAAAGTCCCTTGGTTCGATACACGTTTCCTTCAGGGGCAATACCATTGGGCTCGACGTAGAAATGGCCTTCATTGAGCGTCCAAAAGCGGATCACCACCATCTTGGCCATGGTCAAGGTACCGGTCTTGTCGGAAAAGATGTTTGTAACAGAGCCGAGGGTTTCGAGACATTTGAGCTTTCGAACAAGAGCTTTTTGGCTAGCCATCTCTTTACCACCGAGCACAAGAGTAACCGTCATTACTGTTTTCAGCAAAAAAAACAAACATCAGTATTTCATGTCTACAAAATTATATGCTTTTCATGTATGTACCTGTTGTCAAACCAGCGGGCAAAACAGAGAGCGCAGCTGTCATGGCATACATTCCCACGTCATAATCCGCGTTAACAAACTTTACTGAGGCGAGCACAATGATAACGCAAATTACGGCGGCGACCATCAAGGCAATGTACATCTTGTTGAGTGATTTTTGTAAACGGGTTTGGTCATTGTCGCCAGCATCATTAAGTTTTTTAGCAACCTTGCCGATTTCGGTAAGCATACCGGTTGCTGTGACGATAGCTTTACCACGGCCTTTGGAGACCACGGTCGAGCTATATGCCATATTGACGCGATCACCCAACGGTTCGTCTATGATGTATTAACAATTGATACCAAAAAAAAAAATGAGTTACACAAGAAAGAAAAAATAAAACTCGTAAAAATGCCGAAGCGAATAGACAGCAACATACCAGCTTTCTCTAATACAATCAATTGCTTCTGAACAGGCACGGATTCGCCAGTCAAGAGGGCTTCATCGACTTCGAGATTAGAGATACTGAACAGTCGTGCGTCGGCAGCGATGGAATCGCCTTCTTTGATCAATAGAACATCGCCAGGGACAAGTTCTCGACTTTCCAAGGTCTGTTCACGACCGTCACGTAAGACTTGAGCCATAGGCGAAGACAAGTTACGCAATGCCGCCAATGTTTGCTCTGCAGCGTATTCTTGAGAGAACGAGAGGTAAAAGTTCAATATGGCAATAAACAAAAGCATCGATCCGGTCGCCCAGTCTTTAAACCCATAGGAGATGGCGCCGAGAATAATAAAAATCCAGTTCATGGCATCGACCATTTGGCGAAGCAGGACCTTGATCCAGGTTGGACCGCCGTCTGCTGAGAGTTCGTTGTAACCGTATTGTGAATAACGAGCAGTGGCTTCCTCAGTGCTCAGGCCAGCGTCAATCGAAGTATTCAAGGTGTTTGCAACAGCATCGACTGATTGGGTATGCCAATCACTGCCAGGCATCTTGTCGGTCATGATTAGATAACGATAAAAAGGGCCATATGAAAAGGGGGGAAATTCGTTGTAGCAAAGAACTATTTCTTTATATAGCGAGTCGTTGCCCAGTTCGAAACATTCTTTGTTATTTTTACGTAAAATCTTGCTCTCCGCACCAACATCTGACCAATTATAGACAAGAGCCATAATCCACGATGTACCCAAGCGTGCGAATTGATTCGGAGGCGACTTTTCCACTTTTGCCGATCGACTGAGTTGGTGGGGTGTTAAGCTATGTATAAGGTTTTTCCCCGGAAATAAACGCCGGTAGTTAGAAACACGGATTTAAAAGCCGGGTGTATATAAATGATTTAACTTTGTTAAAAGCCATTCAGTAGCATGCATACAGTGAGTAAGTAAAATGCATAGCACGATATAGCTGCAAAAGCTTGTATGTAACTCAATTATCTAGGAGAATCGAACATTGGTTTTGTGCTGAAATTTGATTGCTATGGTGATTCCATTGTCGGTAAGTTATTACCATATGTGACAGAATAAGAAGGTGTCAGAACAGGCATATGCCGTACGCACGGTCCCCGTTTTCCATTGTTTTACAACATTTGCTACGCTGTTTCAGGGCAAAAAAGCATGCTTCTTTTTTGGTTTGGCTTTCATTATGAATTTATTTACAGAGAAGAGAAGTCGCACAAAGGAAGAATTGTATAAATGTAGAAAAAATAAACTAAGAATTTCTACAAACCCTTGACGTTACTATTTATGCATTTTGCAGTAATTCAGCCAACCATTCTCTACGTTTTTTTTTCATGCATTTGTCCACAAACGAAGACCCCTTCTCCTTCCTTTCTCTTCCCTCAAAATTATCGTCGTCCCGCTTTCCGGTCACGACTAACATTTGGTACACCACATATTTCTGTGTGTGGACGAGGCAAGATACACATCATTAAATGTAATTATAAACAAATTGTTTAATGAAACATATCGTTTCTACGTAGAACGTGCGGACGTTTCGCTCTATGTATGACAAATCGCTTAGTAGTGTGAGGAGCTGTCATGCTACAGAGATCTTACGTAATATTCCGTTCTCCTATTATCAACTAGAGTGCAAGCAAGGCATACTGTTCCGGACCTGTAGAGCCAGATAACTGTGATCAAAATAGCACAATGAATGGTTTTTTTCTTTCATTTCTGCGCAAACGCGCTTGATTATGGTAACCTCGACGTTGCACATCCAAACTATAAATGAAGGTTTGTTTTGATTCGTAGTAGGTGCCCGCTCGCTATGTATAGCGTCATATAGCTAGTAAGACCAAAAATAAAGAATTGTAGTTCTGTCAATGACTTCCGGCAAATACATTAACCGTGCGGTATTATATGGAGAGCTCAACGAAAAATGCGTTTTGTCACAATTGATTTTACTATAAAGTCATCCCCCCTTATTACAGCTGATAGAAAACTGGCTTCAAATATGTCGTTGGTGGGATAACCCTTAAAACGACAATCATTGCACGAGCTCGCAACTGGTCCCAAAGTGCACTTGCAAAGTGGGCAATGGAAAAATGTAACTCTGGGCTATTTCTCCTTTCCAGCCTACTATATCTGGAATTGTCAAGAATGCTGAAAAATTGTTGGCGATGACTGACGATGAACTTGATGGAAAGAGAGCAAGAAGCTGTGCACTGTCGGATCTAGATAGAGCTCTTGATCGATACGTTGACGAGTTGGAAAGCCTCGGCATTTGTTCGAACCTTGAAAACGTCAGAAATAACTTTAACTGACTTTGATGGGTGGATTACGAAATTCGAAAAGCGGCATGGTTACAAGTCGTGACCCATGCATGGTGAAGCAAATTCTGCCAACATAGACATTGAAAACGTGCAGTAATGGATCGCCGACTTTAAGAAAAAGGCCGTGCAGTATGGACCGTCGAACATACTTAGCTTCCACGCAGAAGCAGCCTTTTGTTTTTTTTTCTCGCCGAAGTCACTTTTCACTATTGCCTTTTTGACATACTTTAGTGCAGCTGATACGGCTGTTTCCGTGTACCCACCATTCACGAAACTACTCGACAACAAAGTGAGGATGATATAGTCTCTTACATAGTTTAAGCGATCAACTGCGATTTCACATTTTTTTATAGGGCAACAACTGCTTCCGCAATGAAGTACACTGAACACTGTTACTGGAAGGTCGTCAACGTGATGGCTAAAAGTGGAAAACATTTTCATTTTTTGTCCCAAAGATTCGGATGGCAAAGATCTACGTCACGAAGTTGCAAGAGGAACTTGCCTTAATTTCATTTTTTTCCCATATTAGTGAAATAATGCGGAAGAGGACAAGATCGTTGTGCTACTTTAATATTGAGCGTACCAGCACATTTACCGCACAGTACAAATTACATCCATACGAAAAAAGCAGTCGCTATATCACTGAACGAAAAAGTGAAATGTGCAACATGTAGTGGCTGATGTATTAGGATGTAGGTAGCATAAAATTGTAGATAACGGTAAAAAAAAAAAAGAGAGAGCGAGAAAGAATGTGATGCACTAAGTCAGTTTGGTGAAAACCGAGGATAGTTGGAAATTAGTTGCTTGCTTGACCAGATGCAAAAGCAAAATACAGAAAATGGGATGTTTACATATTAGTTTTTGTCCTTATAATATCTACTGTGCAATATTTTAATTTGCTTTTGGGGAGTATTATCAAGATGCTTTGTTGCTGCCGTGTACTGTAGAATTATGATGGTGTTGTCCGACCTGGTGCTGCTGCTGGTGCTGCTGCTGCTACTGGTTCGCGCTGGTGTCGAACCATAACAGGCTCGGGAACTGTAGGAATAAGTGATGTCTGTGAGGAGCATGTTGCTGGAAAGGTCAGCGTACTACCATCCAAACGCGACGACGACGCTAGAGACGACGATTGCTGGTGCTGATGCTGCCGATTTTGCTGTAGTTCCTGCATGTTAACTTCGGAATAACTGGGCGGCGGTAATCCCCGTGGATAATATATGGAAGATGCGGCGTCTGTCACTGCTGCCTGATACGATGGCAGTTCTTCCTCTGCGCGCCCAAGTTCAATGATTAAACATAATCGGGCGGTTCGAAACTCGGTAGGTAATGGGTCGCCGGCGGTAGGACGTCGAAAAGACCATCGTATGCGATCTTTTTTGTTGAATTCTCGTAATGTCTGTTTCAATGCTTGTTCGAACTTTTTTTGATTTGACAGGCACCACACACAAGAGAAATATTAACTCTCCAGAAATAGCCAAAGTCGTTCCAATCCGACAAGCAATAGTGGAGATGATGACAAAGGAGCCGCACTTGTGTATTCAAGTAGTTCTATTTACCTGTTTAATCCGAAGAACAAGTGTAGCTCTTCGTCGACTGGTCCAGAAACTTAGTGCAGCAGGTACCAAAAGCAGGATCAGTGGATACCACATGGATATATCTGCTGAACGCGCAGCCAAGGAGAAGCCAGCTGAACATGCAATGCACGTTATGATAAATACAAAAACATAATACTCGGTGTGACTTGAAGGGCACTGGGCGCGCACCAGGCGGTTCAACTGTTGCAGCCGAGCGTCAAATACCTGCTTTGGTAGCTATACGTCGTGTGTAACGGTGTGTGTGTCATCGATTAGTTTTCTTTATTTATATAACATGCCAACAATGATCGACGGCACTTTGAATCAACAGCAGAAGAAAACAGGCGGGTTATTATTTACAATATCGCTGAACACAGCTATTTGTCGTTCGTGATCTTCGAGCCATAACCTCGGGGGGCGCCATCGCATATTTATTATACTTATGGTCATAAGCATTGTCGTCGGTGATGCTGATAACGACGATATCGTTGTTGTTGTTGCTACTGTTGCTGCTGCTGATGGCATGTCGTATACGTGTGCTGCTGTGTTTTAGTAGGTGCTAGTAACGTAATTTCCGGTACAAGCAAAAAGTTGAGGAAGAAAAGGCCAAAAAAAGTTTGAAAAAGAAAAGACCAGCAAGAGAAACAGGTACATAACACCATCATATTCTTGTCCTTTCTTCTTCCTTTTCCCAGTCTGAATTGGCAGGGCTACAAAGGACAAAGTGTAGAGAAAGTGAGAGTATAAAAAAAGGAGGAATTCCGGTGCAAGGATTAGGGGTTGTGGTGGGAGGACGAAGTGGGTGGTAAGCTCGGTTTTTTACACTCTTTCTTTTACTGTTTTGGTCAATTGCTAACATGGAAAAGGGATAGACAGGGGTGCGGTCCTCACTGCCGTATAAGCTGTTCCTATCATCAAGATAGCTTCTTCTTAGAATGGTTTAAGCGATAGCAGCTACCATTCGAGCCACTACTATATTACATGGTCAGTTCGGTATCAACAAGCAACTCCAGATTTTTGTAGCAGCAGAGCAGTAGTAGTAGTAGTAGTAATAATAGTAGCAGTAGCAGTATTATCCAGGGGTATTACTATGTACATTTCGGTTCGTTCATTTTTTCCTCAGGAGTAGTTATGCTTGCAGTAGAAATACTCGTAGTCGAACATGCAATAGTCGACGCAGACGTATGGCAGATGATGATGGTGGCAGTTGCGGTGTTACACTAGGGAAGTAGACGTTTTACCGTTCCCGGAGCACGTATCATACAAGTCAGTGTCGTTGCTTTTTAGCAGGAGACCTATCATAACGTAATCCGTCCTGTTGAAGGCAAACTTGTTTGCCCTTTTGTTCCTTCAATACAAATTATATGTGCTATTATCCAAAGCAGCGTGCGTTTAATCAGCACGAGTTTCTGTGCTACTAATTTGTTTCTACAATTTGCTTTATTATTTGGCAGATCATCCATTGAATTTATGAATGATACGGCAACTGTGATCCTCAAAGTTGCATTACAGTATCCATACTCACAGAGAATCTGCTAATACTAAAGCAAATGTTCATCTGTAGAGATTGTGGGTCAATAGCGCAGATATCTACATAAGATGGTTTATGCAGCAGTTGATTATCCACCCGGTACCTTGATCTTGTTTCCTTCTCAGCGTTAGCAATTTGCAGAATAAAGCGGTCAACGCGTATTTCGAATTTTCGAACCGCAGCCGCTAGTTCAACTAATGTAAAGGATATATCACCAGCTCAGCAAGTCTGTTTGCCCAAAATCCGATATGCAGGATGCCGAGATCTTTAGAAAAAGCTTGGATACAATCGACTGGAGTACATGCTATGAGAACGGAAGGAAAGACAACATACGAGAGTAGCAAGCTTAAGAGCCGTGTTTAACGAAAACACATAAAAGTCAATGGACAGTAACAGCTTTCACCTGCATAATTTTGTGTTCTTTTGTTCCACCCTTTGACCTCTTTTATCTCTCCTCAATCTCGTTGCACCCCAGCACAGACCAAAACAGCAAGTTTCTACCAGGTTAACACGCTGTTTATATCAAGTCATAAGTACAAGAACTTTTGAAATGGCATTGATGGAACCTCATCATCATTAAGAAGTGGGATGAATAAATATACTGTACTTTTATATGCTACTATCAATAATTAAAAAAAAGCCGAATATTTCAAATTGCTATTGCTGGCCTTCGCTCATTCTTGTTTTGGATAGTGGACAGCGAAAGAAATTTGCAGCCATCCTCGGCCACAGACAATGTTTTGCTTTGAAGACTCTTCATGTACCGAGAAGACGCCAGCATCCGCTTAATACCCTTTCGCGCATTCAAAGGGTATCGGTGATGGGTACGACGAGTAGTAGTGGTCGTCGTTGTTGTTGTTGATGCGGGCCGCAGTTTATCCTTTTGCTGTAGTTGTTGTTGCTGAGGCAAGTTGAACGAGCTGCCAATTTCAAACTTCTCTGAGGGTGCTGATCTCATGATTAATGACAAAAACATCATCATGAAATACAGTGAGTATATATACTATGCTTGTACCACATTTCTTCTCTTTGCAGCTTACGTGTTATGGAACTACATTTATTTACCTTTCCAACGTGAAGGCAAACTCGCACATCGTTCTGGTGTTGGCGAAATCAATGTGATTCGTGGCAACGAGCATCGCTCTGCTGTATACCCTTCCCATGCTTCTCGCGCGGTTGCCACATTTAACTTGTGTCGAATATCAAGTCCTGCGTCTCCCATACTATCGGGCTCGGATCCAAATTGCTTCGGCGAACTTACACTCCCAAGTTCAGCGGTAGTAGTAACGACAGGAGATGTCACAATCGCTGATCGTTTGTAATTGTTCTGATGGCTATTATGAGATATCCATTGACTGATATTTCGTCGCATTTTTCGGAATGTCTTTATGGATGAGGCCAGCGACGATGTGGATGACTTGCGACTAGCGGGGCTTTTTGTAGCTGTTGTTGCTGTTGCTGGCTCCAAAGACGGGACATCACTTTCGGAGCTGCTGTTGCTTACGGGTGTAACTTCTCTGAAAATGTCGACGCAAAGCCTGCGATACGCATCTTTGGTCTCGGACGAGTTGTCTCCTGGCGGATAGTCGCCTGGAGGAGGATCCATTGAGATAGGATGAACAAGTATGACTGGTATTTCCAGCACAGCATCATTGCTACACAACGATCCATTTTGTTAGTCACCACGAAGTCATTCTTGTTCATCAGCCCTTATTACCTGATACTAGATGAAATTGACACACGGATAGAATAGGATACATCAATAAGTTTTTGGCTTCGAATAGACAAATCACCCGCCTGTGCGATAGTTTAAAGATGAAAAGTTTAATAACATCAATATGTGCTTCTTTATAAAACCGAGAAAAAGCTTACTAAAGGTTGGATGGCCAAGGTAACTTCATCCGATACGCCTTGTTCGATAGGTTGCCACCAATCAAAGCTTGCCGCATTGACGCGTGCCACGGTCTCACACGTCGAAGTTACAGGCATAAGTCCAAAACTTCCCGTTAAACCTGTCTGAGAAAACGTATTTTGCCGTCGTAGTAGTTCCAAATTGACGCTCGATATCTTCTGTCTGGCCATGTTGCTGATCTTGAAACTGGTGTATATGGGTGAGCCTGCAATCCAGATGGTGCGTGATAACATCACCTGCAGCTCAACGGAACACGATGCCGCTAGAGAAGGGGACTGCCAGATATGGCGCGTTTCATGGATAGGCATGTATAGCGTCGCATCGGACAATGGACGTGCCATGGCATTTGGATATATAAGAACTGACCGGTCGGCTTTAATTGTACGTTGTGTTTGACGTGGTTGTTGCGACGGTGTGTACCCAGGCAATGTAGGACAGTCAAGTGTCATTTCACTGTTTGTGGTGATAAAAATATACATGTATGAGTCCCTCTTACTTATTCTGATGTCAAGAAGCTCCACTTTATAGAGAAACAATAGTTAAAAGATGTTACGTTTGCAGTAGATAGCGCACCCAGGCCTTCTTGTCTGCATAGCTTGCGCCCAAGTCTACCGGAAGTTGGACTGTGAACGGAATCTTGAGCGCTCCATTATGATTGTGGCATGCCGCAAGAATATCTCGGCCATAGTGGAAGATGGGTACTTCAAGAAATTGGTGTGTATGAGTAGCGGGATTGTAGTTGGCTTGATCGTGAATGTCTAGTAACAAAATAAAAGTAAAGAAGTAGGTGAGAAGATAAAGAGTTGGGGGTGATACAAGAGCGGAGAGAGAGAGCGAGAGATTACCTTCGATGCCTACAAACCGGAAAGTAAAGCTTTCAATTCCGTCTAGTGGATCGGGCATGAGCAGTGAGCTGTGTTGAGGAAGGTTTACTACCACAGAGCCCGATATTTGGCCACCTGCTACATAATGAGGTGCCTTGACGTAGATACGGAAATGCTTCTGTTGCAACTTGGTAAAGTAATTCTTCTGCGAGGATTTCTCCGATGATGATGCCATGGTTACAAGACTTCTTGACGTTGATTTGGTCCGTGTAAGCACCTTATTGAGTACACCGTTGGCCGACATTGATGTGGACATAGATGGCTTGGCATGGTTGCTGCTGCTGCTGTTGCTTTGCAGTCGGCGTTCTTTTTCTTCATGCAAAAACATTGCTTCTGGCGGTGATCTGTGATGAGCGGTGCTACCAGAGCCACTGCTCTTAGCTGGAGACAAAGCAAACGAAGCTGGTGAACAAGGAGTAGATGATGGCTCTCTAAGGATGGTTGGTGTATTGTCGCTGTTACTACGTTGACATGCCGCATTGTAGTGATGATCAGCATCTGGTGTAACTGAGCGATCGTTTTGCTCCTGAGTGTCGCTGTTTTCAACTGCAAGAGGAGCAACCCGCCGACTTGCTCGAATATGCAACACTTTGAGTGCAGTTTCATAACACGAATGCAGTCGTCGTAAGGAGGGGTGCTGTGATAGCTGTTGCTGTTGTTTGTTTTTACGGTTATCCATCGCGTGTTGCTGCTGCTGCTGCTTTTGTGATAGAGGGCTGGGCGATCGTTGTAAAACAGTGTTGTTGGTGGCAGATGGCGAATAACAACGGTGTGATGTGGTAGACTGCATGTTACGATTGTTATTGTAAAGAATTTAGATATTAGAGCTTAAAAAAGGCAGTAGTAATATCTTTTTAAGAGAAGGAATAAGGAAAGAAGGGGTGACATGCAAAGAAATGGAAAGAATAAAGCAAAAGCAATTATATTATCACCAACACCAGTAGCGTCGTTCTGCGTGTGCAGTAGGTGGCATTGGTACATTCCGGAAAGTACAGAGAAGTCTTGCTTTCTCCTCCACAGAGAGAAACATATAATGCAGATAGCGTATGGGGAATGTTGCATGTATGGATTTTGTCTGGGAAATGCATGATTCTGTTAAATTATGGCAATAATAAAAACAGATCAAATTCTAACTTTGTATTACGATGTGCGCACAGGCACGGGGTTGTTTGTATTGCTGTAGTATAACTTCTTCTATATAACCTCCATCGTGTATTAAATATTTAGCATTATTAAGAGCGAAACGTGATAGGTGAGGTAACTAAAAAGATGTATAAAAATGGGGATAGAAAAGCATATTACACTTGTGCTAATGTTGGTTTTGAGCGCTACGCAGAAGGGCCTTCCGTTGCTGGTCATCCATAAATGAGGCAGCAGGAGCAGTGCCAGCAGCATTCCATTCATCGTCGGCCTTGTTATTTTCCAGCTGGATCGGCCGTCGCTGATAACGCGTCAACAGTGATGCTGCGATGACCAGTTCGATCTCGAGAAACAGGACCAAGACGATCAAATACTTTAAACCGTGTATCGCATTAATGCCAAAGCAGACCCATTCGCTTGCAAAGGGTGTGGAACGGTCGAGCAGACATATGTCCCGGAATAAGTTACCCCAAGACACAATCGCACTATTGCTGGCCGGTTGTTGTTGGTTTAAGGCGGACACGGTTTTGCGGTCAAACAAGATACAAAAAATCCAGCTCAATGCCAAACCAAAGGGCATGATGACATGGCAGCAGATAAGATCCAAAGCGAAAGCTCGCCGATGGTGGCCCACGTCATTATTGTTGTTGTTGTTGTTGGTTTGTTGCTGTTTGCTGTTATTGCTGTTACTTGTCAAGAGCAGAAAAAGCGGGCAAAACACGGATGCCTGTGCAGCCACCAATGTTGATATCAGTCGCCGGTCTTGAATCATTTCCAAGAGTACAGTTGTTTCACGCGTGGCAGCAACGCTGCTTGACATCAACCCGTTCGTGTGATAGAGTTGCTGTTGCGATGTTGACGGTGATTGTATGGTTTGATCATGGCGTGAAAACAAGGAAAAGATGGGGATGGTATGTGTGCTGTAGATGCTGAGGGAGGTTGCGACGATAAGAATGGCTAATACAAGCACAATGGTACGTGTCCAATGGATTCCAGAAAGAACAGTTTCTGTAGAGAGAGACATCTTTGAAATTTATTGTCGTGCCGTGACTATGGGTGTCAGCTTCGCGTAAAAACAAAAGAGAAAAAGAAGGCGTGGATAAGACAAGATACAGCAGAAAGAATAAAGGCTGACAAGAGAGAGAAGAAAATGTAATAAAGAAAAGAAGGAGTTAGCAAAAGTACTTGGACCCGCTTTCTCTCTCTCTCTCTCTTGCTTACTTTCTCAGGGGTGGATGAAAGGTGTTCAAAGGTTTGAAGACAGGATCAAATAACGACAAACAAGGAAGGTCCGTCCGCTTATGCATATGATGCATGATTATGTGTACCACTTGCACTAATTTGTTGCCGCACCACTAGAAAGTCATTCTCTTCTTACAATTTATTGCCGTGCGTTTGGCGGGAAAGTCATAGCTTGCTTTTCTAAAACGATAGCACACACCACTGACAGCCTAAGTCAATAGGTCAAATGCACTGCATATCTACGAGCTACTGATATAGTACTCTACTTGATTATCTTCTCCGTCGCATTAAAGCATAATAGGCAACTGCAGGCCGACGTAATAATGTAGCATAAAAGGGAACATACGCTGCTGGTATTGTGGTAAGTTATAAGTAACACATCATTATTATCACCACCACCTATGATAACCAATATCTGCTTGACTATTTTGAGTGTGTACAGCCCTCAGCCTTGTGAAGGGGGGAATGGGGAGTATAGGGAAGGGTGTCGGCAAAATGCAAGGCTAGTATCCTATTTTGAGGATATTAATAAAAGCATTCGCTGCATCAACACAGAGTTTTTTTCCTACACATTACACATATACGATGAGAAAAGAGCTACTGAAATTGTTGTTGGGGGTACACTGTATGTACTCTGCACAATACATGCGTTCATACCTGCCATGAACATTGTATTGAAGCCATTAGAAACATTTCCAGCGCAGCCGAAGCCCTCTCTCTCCCTGCGGATACAAAAACGGATATCAAAATCTCAAAAGTCATTGTTTGTGAATCATTATGCTGTGATTTTGTCCTTCATCGCACGTATGTCCTCAAAGTTATTTGAGTGCCACCACACGCGCAGTACATGCAAACAACGACAGATCATCAATCATACAACGATTACGAAGAGTTTTTAAAGACATATCGAGCAATTCGTAAGTATCAGGGTTTGTTTACTCGACATATGCGATGGGTTAGCAGTCGCGACATATATATACAAGTGTGATGTAATAGCCCTTATCACGTCACATATAGTTCAATTTTCACTGATAAGAGGATTCTTCATTAATAGAACAATGGGGAAAAGAACCAACGAAAACTACCACCGGAAGATGGAAGAAACCTATTGTCGCCACTACTCGGTATCACAAAATGTGAGCTTTACTAATAGCCAAATTTATGCGTGGATCATGCTCGATTTACTAGAACAAGGTCGTTTTTAAGCCTGAAAAGGAAACATCGACAGCAAATAAGACACATGTGAGGGTGAGAGAGACTCAAAGAGCACCTGGTCATTCTTCTGGAGTGGATAGGCGATCAGTCGACAGTAACATTTACTCTTTCATTTCCTTTTCCGAACAGCGCGCGTGTCGTTTGTCAAGAGTCACACATCGTTGACGGTTTCGCTTTTCTTTTCCTTTCGCTTGCTTCCAACTTCCAGCAGACACTACTCGTTCGACTTTATCAAACACCCCACAAAAATTATTCGGATACAGGCCTTTTTTTTTTCTCTTTTTCTTCTATAACGAAATTGTAACACACATACACCATGTCTACGAGTCCGTCATCCCGACAAGAATCGCAACAGACAACCGCAACACCACGCTATTGGTGCTATTCATGTAGTGCTGAAGTACCAATTTACATGGCTCCAGACCCTACATGTCAACGTTGCAATGAACAATTTATCGAAGAGGTAATAACGCCCAAAAAAGAACATGAGAGAAACGTCTAATTTGTTTTGAACTGGGACTGAACGTACTTGTTAATAATTAGATTGACTCGGAAAACGATCCACGGACTTTCTTGGCTGGCGCTCCTGCTGCTACTGCTACAGACGACAACTTTAGTGGTAACGCCGAGCGAACGGGAGGAGGAGGTATTGATCCTGCCACTGGTACAGCCTTCTTTCGTTACGAAACAGGCGATGACGATGACATTTTTCACTTTTTTACGCCCATGGGGGCACGCAGCGAAGGAGGTGGAGAAGGTGGTAGTGCCGGCGCCGGTGACGAACCGGGAAATCTTAACCAACAACCACTGGCAGCCATGCTACAGAATCTGCTAACGTCCATGTTGGGCTCTGCTGCCGAAGGATTACAGCATCAGCATCAGCAACAACAACAAGGTCCTGATGGCGCGGGTGATATTTCTGCTGGTGAACAGCAGGACGAAGAAGGTATAGGAAGTGGAGCACAATCACAGCAACAAACACGACGACCACCACCGGTTGTGTTTTACAGTAACATGTTAGACGGGCAGTTTCGTCCATTGAATATGAATCCCCAACGGAATGACGGAGGAGAAGGTGGAGGTATATGATAATGATAATGATTATCGAGGAAAGACGGTGGGTATGTATATGTCGCTAAGCATTGCAATGGAATATATTAGAGGGTCAAGAAGCTCGAGGTGACGAGAACAGACCACCTAACAACTTTACAAGGTATATACTTCGTGAAGGGACTAAGACGATATCAGGGACATGGAGTCGTTGAAGGGTTACTCTAACGGTAAACCGGTTCACAATTAGCCTTCTTCAGTTGCTTTCTACCTTGGCCGGTACTCCCATTGATGCAGGTCTCGTCGGCAATCCGGATGACTATGTGTTTTCGCAAACCGCTTTAGACAACATTATTAGTCAGCTGATGGAGCAAACAAGTGGGTAAGGTTTTCGGGTGCTGTGATTATCGTTTTAATGGCGGTGCAACGCGTGGCGAACCAGAGAAAGCAAGAGGGAGAGAAAGAGTCATGGGGTTAAAATGTTATTGTCTTACCTTAGGAGAAATGCGCCTCCACCTGCACCGGAAACTGTCATCGATTCTTTGCCAAAGCGAAGTTTAACGGATGAAGAGATCGGTAACTAGAAATTTCGGAACAATCTGGAAAAACAAGTATATATGAGGCCACTGAACGCGGTTTGGATTTTTTAATAGCAAGACAAACCGATTGTGCCGTATGTAAGGATGAGTTTGAAGGAGCAGAGCAAGTAGTTGAGCTTCCGTGCGCGCATGTGTTTCATGAAGATTGTATCAAACCATGGCTTAAAGTCAATGGAACATGTCCTGTCTGGTATGTGAATTGTGGTATTAACTATTAGTGGAAGATGAAAGAAGAAAAGTGATTGTGATTGGATAGCGTCTGAAATGGTATCTCATATGAAAATTTATTTCTGTTATCGTTAGTCGACATTCAGTGATAGGTGGTAAAGACGATCCATCTAGCGCAGGTAACGATGGCAGTAACAACCCATCTTCATCATCACAACCTGAACAACCATCGGGACAGCCCGGACAGTCTAGCAGTAATACAACACAACAACAAGCTCCTCCACCATCCTCGTCGTCGACACAGGGTAGCAACAGCAACAGCGGCCAAGTCCCTGATACCACACCAACTTTGTCCTCGTTGCTTTTCGAAGGCGCTCGTCGAATTTATAACGACCGACCACCTTCAGCTGCATGGCATACAACCATCCCAGGTCCATTCACCTGGGGGCCAGGTGGACGAACGACGAACAACGCCGCAACATCATCATCAAACAATAATAACACTTCTTCCACCAGCAACAGTAGCACTAGCAACAATAACAACAGCAATACCCAACAGCAATCCTCCGCTGATCCCAATAACACTGACCCCATGGACCTTGATTTGGATTAGAGTAATCAAAGACACAGCAATAACAACAACAACCCACACAGAATACACGATGCAGGGTAACAGGAGAAATCCATCATTTTTTTGTACATTCAAAACTTGCTTAAAAAAGAAAAGAAAAAATTCAGAATGGCTCCTTCCCTGTATATACGTAAAGGCATGTAGCTGTGTGCTTTAGACGTGTCGCTATGAAGAATGTGGATGAGCGAGCTGATACCGGGATTTAAGGGAATATGCCACCAGGGCTGTTGAAAAGGAAAGGATCCCGATGCAAATGATGATGGCATACACACAGCCATATCGAATAGTTTCAGATGAGTTTAACAGAGTCTAGAGAAGAGCAAGGAATACATACACATGTGTGAGTGCTTGTTCACAATACAGTTTATTGCTTAATACAAAGAAATGACTGGACAACGACTTTACAGCATAAGAAGCACCGAAATGTGACACGATTACCCATGCTACACGGGCAGCGCCAGCGGGTTTACGGACACTCGAAAATCCTTCAAAAGCAATCATCATCCAAGTTATATGCAACAATGAGAATATGGATGTCGTCGCTGCGGATATAAAGAATGTGGTCGCTTGCGGACATGAAGGACACATCATGACACCAGGACCAATCGATTCGACGAGCAGCGATATATAGCTGACCAAGGCTGTTGTGAGAGCATAGCCGAATCCGGTGACGAATGAGAATATCGATTGATTCAATGGCGAGTGAGGGTTTGCCGATACCACGTTAAGTCCTGCTTCTGAACGTCTGATGTATCACGAGAAGTTAGCTGTTGTTTCTTCTCACTTGCTCTCTTTCCCTCCCAAGCGTGTTCTTGTTAGGAATAAAGATAGAAACCTTAGCAGCAAAAAGAAGAGCCATCGAAATATTTCTTGAACAGCAATGCTATATGCGATGCTTGCTGAATGTATTAATTGCGCTGCTTTGGCAAAGTACCAGATGACGCTTGAAATGAGTAATGCGATTAAGCAAAAAAAGGCACTGTACGTGAAATAGTAGAAGTATTATTATGTTCTGTCAGAACACACGCGAGAATGAAGACATGAATGACGGTGAAAAGAATTGGTTACCTTGATACCATCAACAAGACATACTGTGCATTCTGACCAATATATAGGAAAAATATGGAGAGAATAGGACCGTATGCAACTAGCAGGCATCCAAAAAAAGTGTACAGTGACATATCAAAGTGCCAAAGTGCACACGCCTAAATTTTATTTTTGGTGGGCAATTTCTGTTACACTCTCTTTTATTAATTTTTCTTTCAATCCTGATGGACCTGACGCAACAAGGATGCTGCCTGTTTCTCCAAGTCCTTATCAACAAGTTCTGCTGCCAACACACCGTCCTCCGTAAACCAAGACGACACATTCTTCTCCAGCTTGATCTTGGTTGTCTTGTGCAATATCTGGTCCTGGTATTGCATGTGGATGGTATACATGGGCGAATAGCGTGACATCTCGCTTGAGATGGTCAAGATGCCTTGACGCTATAAAACCACACATGGTATTAGCCTTCACAAATCGGTCTGTCTTTCCTCTTAACCACGCTGCCACTCCATAAATCACATGCTCCAATCACCATGGCGTTCTTTACATCACGCGTCTTTGGATCATTTTTGTATCCCACGAAAATCTCGTTTTGTTCAACAAAGATGCTGTATGCCCATGAAACGCCCTGTAACAGCCAAAACACAATAACCGAGCACAACAAAACAGGTTTTGCTTCTTGAAAGCTGGTATAATATTCAAACAGGAACGCCGCTCCTGCAAGTATACACGACGAATACCCTAGCAAGAGCTTGATGTCCGTATGCACGTGTCCTTCCACATAGCCGCTCTTGTCACTACCAAAGTGCTAATAGAGACGCGTACATCCATAGTTTTCCCTTTCAGCTATTATGTTAAGGAATATTTCTGCTCCACCCAGCTCCTACATCTCGTAGATCTTACTTTGCGAACTTGGTCATCTACTGCATTCTTGATCTGAGTGCCATCATACTTGTTGCTGATTTCAACTGACTCCTGATCTTCTTCAACGCTGGACGTGATACTGCTGTTGTCTGTAATTGATGGGCAGTAAACGAGAATGTACTCAACTTTATCAGCAATTTTTTCGATGAATTACATTGACAGTAAGTGAGGCGTTGTACCTAGTTCTTTTGTTTCTGCCATGGTTGTAAGTGTAAAATAAAGCCGGACTGAAATGAAATACGGTCGCTCTTACAAAATGATTTTAGGGATGTGCTTATATGTAATGTACACGTGGCGTTTAGTGACATTATTTAGTTACCCCTTCTAAGCAAATAGTTATCGGTTTTGTCGACCTGTACAGGCTCTGAGCAAACACAAAAGAAGAGAACCAATCGATCACTTCGCGTCGCGACATATTAAACATCACTATATATCTCTACGTGTCATTATGTTTCGTGCCATTCTGGTGTTTACTGTCATGATTGACGCGCTGCTTGTTCACTGCGTGGTTCTTCTTCCATTCATGCAATTGTTGCTTTTAAAGTAGTTTCGACTAGATTAGAGTATCGCCGTTATCATCACCTGACAGAGTAGTTAGACACTCTCATCCGTACAAACTATGGACGTTTGACTCAAACCGTTATATAGCGTCATTGTCAAGAACGAGTATGAAACAATGAGACGGCTATATACTCAGCGTGCTACGGTGATTGAGGCCTTGTTTTCAGCAAAAATATCAAAGATGTATGGGTATAGGTGAATGAAAGATAGTATGATAGTAAGGATGGTGTACAGCACTACTGCTACCGCTACTAGCAACCTCTTTCGAAGGGCTTTATATGCGTGTGGTAGGTACATGGGTGTCATAGCCTATTACCTATCTAATATGTTTTATGCATCAAAACCCATATGCAATGATACTGTAGACGAGTGCGGAAAGGAATTGCCCTTCAAAACTCGACTTACTGCGCACCGCAAGAATATTTGCATCTAGAGTAGAACGCACATTCGTAACGGAGAAGAAGTGCTATCATTGTTTTGATTGCAGAGGAGAAGGCGCTCATTCACCCAAAAAAATATGTTCCACCGTTTGCATGATTAAATAGCTAACTCTTATGATTGGTCATGATTTCCGCCGTTCCCCCATCACCACCATCCCACCCCCAACTTTTCCATTGCCAGTGCTAGCGCCAAGCAACAATTACCAAGCTACCAGCTACACCAGCAGAAGCACCACCACCACCAACAACAACAACAACAACAACAACAACAACAAACCCCCTTCCCCACCTTTTTTCCACTTCGGCCGTTTTCAAAACACCGGTTTGCTGCCTTTTCCTCACTTCTTTTTCGACTCTATCTTCCGCTTGCTTCCCAATTATCGCTTTCGCCCTCCCTTCTTCCCCCGTTACAGACATATCTTTTTTTCTTATTCATCGAAAGTTATGCTTAGCACTTATGCATGGATTTTCATTACTGGCATTATTGTCTTTTTTGTTATAATCATTGTTCTTTTATTCTTTACCCGCTCGCCTATTGAGTTGCCCTTATCCGTCAGTGGTGGCGACTCTGATTTTGATGAATGGCCGATCGAGTCTGAAGAACAAGTTGCTCAGCTCCCTGAAGACGCCAGACTAAGCTATGAACGGGCAAAAGGTAGAGTAGGCTTTACGTTCGCTGTTGAAAGGACTTTTTTTTCCAAATGCGTGATGCTATATGGCATTATTACGAAATCTTCTGCTTTTCAACTAAAACAAAATCGTAAACTGGGGTTCTTTAGTCTTCCAGGAGCGTCATCCTCCCGATAGCATTCCCACCGATATCACACCGCCCCAGTTTGTATCTATCCAAGAAAAAGGCGTCTCGGCCTTTGAATTTGAATGGGAGCCGGATGCTAACTGCTTTGTCGCCGGCCGTACCGAAATCCAGTTCAATTACGGCGAGTCGTGCGTGCAGACCAACCTTCCTTTGCCTCGGAACCAGGAAGTGTATTACTGGGAGGTAGTATACAAATTCATAGCTGTATAGCTGTAGGGGAATGCACTGCGGGCGATCATTAAGAATTCGATTAGTGTGTACTGAAGAGCTTTCTCTTTACCATCTCTAGGCAAAAATGTTTGATCTCCCCGAAACAACGACTGTTTCCGTTGGTGTGGCAACCAAACCGTATCCGAGTTGGCGGTTGCCAGGTAATCAATCAAAGTTTTGCGATGACAGCAAGAGAAGGAAGTGGTGTGATGTGGCGCAGAAGAGATTAGTCAAGGTTCATACGGATGATACTAACTTGAAAAATAATGTAACAGGGTGGAATCGATACTCGATTGGCTATTTCTCCAACAATGGCTGCAAATACTTTAGCTCCCCATTCAACGGCAAACCATACGGATTAACATTCACCCACGGCGATGTGATTGGAGTTGGATACCGGCATCGTACAGGCACTGTATTTTTCACACGAAACGGACGTAAACTCGAAGACGCATATACGGGATTACGATGGAACTTGTTCCCAACGGTGGGAGCAAACGGTCCTTGTCAGGTGCACGTCAACTTGGGACAAATGGGATTCGTGTTTGTCGAGGCAAACGTGAAAAAATGGGGATTGGCGCCGTCTCAGGGTACACGCGCACCACCACCTGCATACGGATCCGAAAATGACACAATACTACTCGCTTCTGGGAGCTTTCAAAACAGCAGCAGAAACAACAACAACAACACTTATAGCAATATTAATACTAATGATATTGAAGGAAGCAGCAGTAGTGGCAGTAGTAGTAGTAGTAGTAGTAGTAGCGCTGGCGGTACATCACAGCAACAAATGCTATTACAAAATAATCGACAGCAACCGCCAGATGAGAGCGCACACCCCCCTGTCTTGATCACCATTGATGGCCAGACAGCCACTTCACCTCATCCAGGCGGTACTGAGCCCCCGCCTTATTCCTCACCGAACATCAGCAACGGCAATGAAGAAGATCAACAACAGCAGCAGCAGCAACGACCTATATTGGACTGATGCCATAATCTACTCAAGCGCCTTATCTGACCTCTTTATCTTTTGTCATACCCTTACTTTTCGTTGTTCTCTACTCTTTGCTTTATTTTCTTTCTCATCCATTTATTTATTCCATCGTTTTCTGTGCAAATCTTTTTTCCATCTCCTCCTTCATATAATTTGTCGGTTGTATATATAAGTTATTTTTCTTTCACACTTTCTCTTTCGTAAAATACAAGCGTTTCGCGGAATCATTCATGATCCTGCTTTGCGTCGAGACAGCTGCGCCGTTCTTTCTTTTTGTTACCCGCACTGTATCAGCGTCGAGTCTTGCTACAAGCTACGTCACAATTTTACGGTATAGGGAAGAGAATTGGGAGAGCAGTTGATTTATCATATATTCTCTTTGTGCAGCTAAGCGACAATTAATGAGGCATTAAATTGTCAAGGCTCGGCAGGGTGTGAATGGCTTGGCATCAACGACAAATATCCAATGGTCTTGTCAGTTATATATAAAGCTGCAAAACCTTTTGTATAAGCTCTGCAATTTTAAGTAGGGAGATTACATAATGCCGTATGAACGTCCGCTGTAAATATTGGAGCTGAGAATTACTGTGCTTAGTTGTTTCACTTCTATCGTGGCAGATTGTGTAAGTCAAATTAAGCTTCTCAGGTAAAATGCTCTTCACAAATCATTTCTGTTGTTGATCCTATAAACCACGTGCTTCTGACTTGCGTCAGTAGATCAAAAGCAAAATTTAGGCCCCACGGATTCAATTGACTTTACTGATCTAGATCGTTCTTTTAAAAAATCTTCAATAACCTGCGAACGCGTCTGTTTGGAGGTATTTGTAGAGGTTGTAGCTGGATGATTTGTAGCTACGTCGCTTAGTGGTAGAGTGGGTCGATCTGGTCAGGATGATACTGTGAGGATATGCATAAACGGATGGTGCTTGTTGAACGGTACAAATACTTCTGGAGGACACCATCGTCCAGTTGTCCCACGAGTCTCGACGTTGAATATCGACGCTTTGTGAAATTGTGGGCACGTTTACTACGTAGACATCATTGTCATATAGCTTCAAACACTCCCTTCACCCATTTTGGGATACGGTGAGTGATATTATATCGCTAAGTCCTGGCTTGATGGGTTGATGGCTTAATTACATGATGGCCAAATATGTATTTTAAAATAGAGAAGTGCTACCGGTACGAGTTATTTTTCTTACGCGTACGAGTTTTCCTAAGCGGGTTTTCTTAATTGAAACCTCATTATGTAATGTCGAGGTCGGCAAATAAACAGCAATAGGATCTAATGAGGACCCTGCCATGTGAGCCAAGAATAGGGGATAGAACAAGACAGCAACAGCAAACTACCTTTAAATGAGATAGAGCATATTCGAGCTATACTAAAATCCAATCCTTGGGTCGCTAGATAGCCGATACAGAAACTCACAAACGAGTAATAACGGGGGAAGTTGTGCTAGAACCTTTTTCTAACAAATGATACTTGAGTGAATACAAATTATATAATACAGCAGAGGGCAAGACTATACTACGAGCGACATCCACAAGCAGGGCCCCTTCGTTGCAATTGCGGGAAGAAACGCTCTTCTTTATTTATCAATTCAAACTTATACATATACGGGTGATACTATGATAGGACAAATTCAGTTAGAGAAGGGAAGTACTATGGTATGGTATGGTTTTACTAGTTTCTGTGCTGGCTCCAGGGATACTCATTCGTGTAGGCTGCCGTGGTGGCTTATGTTCTGGTAACCGATTTCTGACGCCCCCCAACACCCTCCAGATGGGGACACCCACGGCCCGCGAAGTCACCATCTTGACTGTATTATCATTTTCTTGTAGTTTTGGTCGTTGTAGCGCTTGATAACTGGGATGTGGTTTAGGGCGATGTGTATACAATTTGAGTTGATCTGCATGAACTTGGTGTGTCATAGTCGAATGGCCGTCTCGTAAGCGATATATATTTTTTCCCAATACTTCATGAGCATGAAATGGCCCCAACCAGTGTGGCGCCAATCGCACCCAATTGAGGTGTTTGCGAAGTTCTTGATTATGACTTGATCCCTAATTAATATCGTCGTAATACCGCCTGTTTATCATATTTCTCCTTCATCTTCACCCGATATTGCTCGTGTCGTGCCATAAACCTTGGAATAGTGTATTGTTGATGATTCATAATATCCATGAGTGCTTTATGGCTGCTTCCTTTTCTTGTTCAACATCTGACTCGGTTGAATAATGTGCATCCCATGAGTCATATGTACGGGGGTGGCGGCAATGACCAGGTAGAAACGGGAGGCTCCCATCGGTTGACTGGGAGTCGTGCGTATCACAAAGAGGGCAGCTGGTAACCACGTATTCCAGTGTTCTTAATGATGTTGGCAAAGTCTTGCTAGTACGCTCTTCACATTGCGGATCATTCGCTCTACCTTGCCTTGTCGGTGAGAGTGATGAGGGGGTCCGAGCTCGAGCTTGATACCATAATTGGGTCGAAATGAGGTGATAATGATCCCGGATGCAAAGTGAGGTCCTCCATCGACAAACGCCCTCGATGGTACGCCGAATCTACAAGTCCATTGATATAGGAATAGAGCTACGGTCTCGGATAACTGGTTTGGGCTAGCCATAGCCTCCGGTCAACCACTAAACATATCCACCGCAATAATGGCATCGCGAAAAAATCAATCTTGGTCTCGCTAAACGATCCTCGTTCGGGTGCTTGATACGGTTGCAATGATACTGGTGGATTTTGGGGGCCAAACTGTTGGCACACTTGACCGGACAAGAGATAGCGACAGATTGTCTCAAAGTAGTTTGGCCAATAGTATCGGGTCTGCACCTTAACCACTGTCCTTTTGAATCCTTGGTGCCCAGCCAACCAGTGGTCATGACATTCCCTTAATACCGATAAAACAGCTTTTTCTTCCACCAGTTTCTTTGGCCTGTTATCTGACTTCTCTCGTGTAAATATCTCGCCATCGATAACTTGGTACTTGAGCGCTTTTTGCCGTAGTTGCCGTCATTGGCATTCATCATACTCGGCTGGATATTCCATGCTAGTCAAGTATAGCCCCAGAGCGATATATTCTTCAGTGGTAGCACCTCCTAATCTTTCTTACTGTTGCTCTTGTTTTCAGCGCTTAGTGGTAGCTTTATGGTCATGAAAACCAGATGTGGGTCATCCTCATCGATGTCTACATCCGTGTCCTCCCGCACGTATTATCATTGCCTTTGCATCCTCGTCAACGCATCTGCGTTCGCATTTTGCCTGCCACTTCTATAGAAGATATCGAAGTCGTACTCCTGTAGCGTAATTTGACACTGCAAAGCCCGGCTCGACGCTTTCCCCTTCATGTTCAAAATGTAACGTAATGCTAAGTGATCGGTGAAAATGTAGAACTTGTGTCCCAGCAGATAAATTCTTTTTTTTTAGGCGCGCAACAAATTATTGCGTCGGTTTTTATTTCAAGTCACGTGCATATTAAATATGAGAGGTGAGGAGAAGAAGCTAAGTAGCGTTTGACTAGTTGGTGATAGAAGGAAGATTTTCTTGGGTGCGGGTTAACAAAAGAGAATGGATTTGCGTTATAATGTTATCGGGAACGAAGGGAGAGTTGTTTAAAACAAAGCGCCAGTGGGCTCCAAATACATTCTAATATACAGCTGATAATTATATCTGAAGGGAGACGGGGAGCATTTTGGGGAAAATACAGGTGAAAGATGGCATTGTGTACAGCAGATTCTGTAACAGAATGTAATAGTAGGTCGGGCCACACGGAGCACCAGATCGACCATTTGCGAGGGCATTGGTACAGGAAGTGAGACAAATCATCTTCATCTTGGTTACAAATTGGGCATACAGCGGATGTGAAATCGGAGGGCATAATTGAATGTAGAGTTTTACGGCATGAAATCTTATTGTGAAGGGCTCGATACCAAACATTTCTTGCCGTTGGCGATATCTTCAATCGCCAGAAGGTATCGCATTGTCTAGGTGTTAAGATCGTGTTTTCCCGGGCTTCGACGTGTATAGACTTGTCGATGATTGCTTGTCTGAGTTCTTTTGCTGTGATCGTGGTCAATTGTTTATCTTGGACCTTGCACCATGCTCCCAGATCGACCGCCTTATGTTCACGGATAGCGGGATCAATAGAGTTGTGAAGAAGATGCCTCGGGATCAAAGTCTGAAACACCGCTGGTTGGAATCCCAACTCACCCAAGTCCAAGAAGCGAACCAGTAGACCCAAAAGGCGCGGGTAAATCAAGAATTCCGTGGCGAGCCGTCTCCGTAAACAGCCATTCGCTAAATCAAAGAAGAACAAATCATCCATTAGGATCCTGTGTTTGGCGATGCGTCGTAAGCATACGTCTAAGGTTTTGGTGAGCGGGCGCTGTGTCGGCGTCATGGCATCTAGGACGTGCAGTTGTAGAACTGTAGCGGTCGGTATGAGCTGGGATTGATAGTCAACCGTAAAATTGTCTAAGGCCTTGCATAGCTGATTTGAGAAGCTGACGGGTTTACTCATTGAAGCGGTCCGAAGTCGGGGAAATAGGAGACACATATGTGGGTCCTGGTTTGGAGTCCATGTTGCCTGAGTATTGATTATCCACGAATGTATGAACGATCGCTGCTTGGTGTCATTAGTAAACATAGGTTGGATCCATCTGAGCTGGAGTGCTGATTGTTGTGCTTCCGGGACTAATATTGCAAGGCCCCCTTGTTTGCGAGGTGGTGCCAGTCGGTGAAATGCAATCTTGGGAAACATCTTTTTAGTCAAGAAGTCATGGCAAATGCTGCGAACTTTCTTCTGGAATGCTTGAGGGACCGCGCAAACTCGTAAGACGTGCCAAAGTGATGATAAAATCAGCACATTCAGAATTGTCGCTCGACCGCGAATCGAGAGTGACCGGTGCGCATGGATGTTGCAGGCTGATTTGATCTTGCCTAGGAGTTTGTCCAGGAAGCCATCCCGTTGCTGCGGCGATTGATACAAAGGATATCCGAGATATACCAAGGCTTGATGGGCTCGTCGATCGAACCATGATCTAATGCCCATTCCCTCCAAACACGAGCGCAAAGTGGATGACGACTTGCCATATAGTGATATGGCGTGCGTTTTGTCCATATTGACCTTGGCGTTTGATGCTCTGGAGTAGGTGTCTAAGTGGTGGCGGACTTGTTGCAAATGTGATTCATTATGAATGAAAACAAAGCAGTCATCGGCGTAGGCTAGAACCTTTAGTTTAGTTGGAGACGGTGTGACTGGGGTAAGAGCTTTACTTGCTGCCATCGATATATCATATCCGTGTAATTGTTCATCGTTGAGGATGCGGACCAAGAAAGGCTCTAAGGCCAGATTGAACAAAATAGGCGAGAGAGGGTCTCCTTGTCGAACGCCATGTTGTTGTTTAAATGCTGGAGACAAGGACCCGTTAATGTTGATTCGTAGATTGCTGCCGAAGAAAAGAGTCTTGATAGAAGAGATGATCTTTGCTGGGAATCCTCATTTGCTAAGACAACATTCGAGATATTCTGGATGAACGCGGTCGTACGCTTTTTCCATATCCAAAGATATGCCGACGTCATCGGCATTTACGCTGGCGGCATGGTCCATAGCAAGTCGTACAGCAAGCCCATTGTCTGCGATGTAGCGTCCGTGCACGAAACCCGTCTACGAACGACGCCTAAAATTTACTGCAGATACTGCCAAAGCATGAAAGTTAGGGGAGCACTAGCAACTTCACAGACGCATATGACGCTCACAGTTACAAGAGACTCAAGTTGGAGAAGAAGCGCCTGGTTCTAGATGAGAAGAATTGGGAACTCGCAGCAAACAGATATGACCTCGATGTCAGAAGAGCAGACTTTGAAGAGAAGATGCGCAAAGAAGAGTTGGACGCTCGCATGACCGAGATCAAAACAAACTTCGTCCGTGATTTGATTTTGGGTGGTAAGACTCCAGAAGAAGTAGAAGCATTATGGGTACGTTTTGGTTATCCATTCTAATTAGGTCGAATAAAATCTTTTTGTGATGTGAATTTCAAACTTTTAATTTTCCAAAACAAGTACTTTGATGGACTCGCGCCATGCATTTGCATCCTCTGGAGTATTGTCGTCACACAACTCGTCAATGTCATCTTGATCCCTGTCTTGTTCGTTTAGCTGCCACTGATCTTTACGAAGCTGCAAGAAGTTATGCAGAACCACTGTTGCCTTGCCGATTTGATTCAAGTAACAGTGGTCCTTATCTTCACACAACTGTAAAGCAGTGCACTTGAGGTATCGCCATTGACCCTTCTATATACCAAAGGTGTTTTCGATGGCAACCCTAGCCGAACAATGGATTTCGTTGAAGTTCTTGTTTCCGTTATTACCACACGTGGCCGGCTCACAATAAGGTGTCAACAAATGCGCGGCTAATGCATATCCGGAGTCACCAAGGAGGAACTTTTGGAAAAGTGATCCAAGGGGCGATTGTAAATCGATGACATCTTATGGGCCTTGGAATCACTAAAAGATTCAGGAAGCCCCACCTGGATATGACGGATCAAATTTTTGTCGTCACAAACTGCTTGTACGTTCATCGAATAGCGCTGTTTTCGATTGAAGTAAGCTTCTCGATTTTTTGGCTTCTGACAAAAAACAACGTGTGTGCCATCAAGGAAGCCAACACAACCAGGAAAGTTATGCTTTGATTGGATACGCGTGGCAATTCTGTCTCTCTCTGTTGCATCAGGCCAGTTCGTACTCAGGGAAGAGGTCATTCAGGGCTGTAATAACTCTTTCTATATATAGAGGTACAGCGCCTACTGATAGTCCCCAGTGACGTGCGATACTGAAAGCTGAACTTCCAGTACTACTATGTGCCAATCTCTCTAAGGTGCACGCCAGTTGAATCCACACTGGTTTCTGCTTTCGCCCACGTGGATCTGCTTTCTTGAACACATCATTATTGTAAATTTTCTTAATGAGTTCTTTGAAAGGCGACTTTTTTATGCACACCATGCGTCAAAATTCGCGGTTGTTCCAAGAGTAGAAAAACAATGCATACTCATTCAGCTTCGGTACTGTTCAATGCGGTCGTAAAAAATGGTAGCTCTTGATCCCTTGGACAGTACATAAGCTCCTCAATTTGAGCTTAGATGTCGAGAAATTCAGGCGAGCCAAGCATAGGTGTTGCTTTTTGTAGTTCCAATTAGGGGTCGCAATCTGACCCGCGGGTCAAAACCGACCCGCAGGTTGAGGACGGGTCAACGGGTCGGGTTGATGCTTTTCTGACCCGCGGGTCGACCCGTCCAACCATTGACCTGACCCGTTGACCCGTCGTGACCCGTGTATACATATAATATGTATGAGGTACCTGTATTTAAGTAGTCAATCTTCTTGTTGGGAAACATAATTAGTTGTCAATATGTCTGCTATAGAACTATAGCATAAAACGTACTTAATTCTTTTTATTGTGGGATTATACTTTATATTCAACAGTATGGGATAAGTAAGCTATAAGCAATATATATGATAGGAGTAAAGAAGTAGCAATAGTGCAATAAGAATATACAATAGAGGGTGGCAGTAAGAGACGCGATTTAACAAAAGACAGAAACGGAATTGAGAAAAGAAAATCGAAGGAAGAAGAAAGAAGTGAAAAGAAAAGGGAAAAGGGAAAAGGATAAGGGGCATATAGGGAAGTCGATTTTGAACCACACTTTAAATATTATGCTTTCTTTAAAGCATGTGAGCCCAAGCGATTTCTTTTGTGATGGCACAGAACCCCTTACCTTTAAGAATAATTACTCAAAACGTAGATGTTGCTAGCACTGCTAGGAATTTGCATGCCATCATGTTAGAGAGCTATATATATATGGAGTTTTGCACTTCCAGCGCTCAA